GCTCACACATGCTAAAGGGTTGTTCAATGCAGCTAATGCTAGAATCACACAGAGGTATGGCAAAAGGCTGAAGAATACGTCCGTGAAATAGAACGTCAGTACCGCCAACATGGTGGCGTAGATATCAGCTTTGTTGCATTAGTTCGCATACCTGTGGGTATAGTACAGATTCACATGTGTCAGGTGAGTCAGATGCAGGCTAAAGATCTTCTGCAGAACAACAAATAGTTCTTGATAGTTCTCCAATACTCATCCCGTTTAATATCTTTAAACTATTCTATCATTTTTCCAAGCAAATATAATGCAGTACAGATCTTAATAAAGTACAATAACAGCAATATTTTGAGACCACCCCCAACTCAGGGGACGTCTGCGAGAATGCACGCGCTGGTGTGAGGTCATCACCTCGGGACAGGTGTCAGGTGATTACCTCAGGCTATAGGCCGTTTCACACATGCATGGCAACACACTAATATTGTCTAAGTTTATCACCATTTTACCTGTAACAGTACCTATTCAGGCTAATCACAGTGTCAGTTAGGATTAGGAAGATTAGGCAGATTAGCGCTATTTTGATATATGCTATTTTCATAGCCCTCGTATGTATTAAATGAAACCAGAAATGCATTTTTCTCGTATTTCCGACAGTTCTTTTGTTACTTATCTATTATACTCCAAGGAATAATGTAGAAGACTCCCCTCATATCTAATACCCCTGGTTTAATCTCCTCTTCAGCATAACTGAACCATGTCTGACCCTGCAGCCATTCGGTCATTCAGGGTGGGACATACGATGACCAAATGGCCTGCACAACATTTTAAATAGCTCACTGGCGAGCAAACAATCCTGGCCTAAGTTTATACTGAGCCTCTCAAAAAGAGCATTGAGGGTGAATGTATCTCTAAAAAATAAGCAAGTCTAACAGTTTATGCTCCAACAAAAATACTTTCTTATTAAAGTAAGCGATTATCATAGCTTGAAAATGTATTAGTTTTATGTCTATCAAAATGACGAGGCATCTTGTTATGAATTTCAAACATACATACGTTATAATACTTTAGACATGAAACATCATTACTATATAGAAAAAAACTGATGTTAAGTGTAAGTATCAACGGTCTAGCGCTGCAACTGTCGTTCCTGTTACAGGTTAGACGCACTATCGTTGAATAGAGTAACATATTCCTTTTGTGGGAGAGGTTTATTTGGTTTTAACGCCGCACTCAGCAATATTCAATATTCCATTCCAGCTATATGACGGCGGTCTGTTAATAGTCGAGTCTGGACCAGACAATCCTGTGATTGACATCATGAGCATCGATCCTCGCAATTGGGATACGTTGACATGCATCAACCAAGTCAGCGAGCCTGACCACCCGATCCCGTTGGTAGCCTTTTACGGCAAGCATGGTCGCCCCTTTCATCAAGCATGGGTTTCTGAAGACCTATTCTACCCCGGATCTTCAGGAGAGGTTCGTTGCTTTCGACATGTTACATAATTTACACCAACTGACAGAACGCATTAAACTGCCCGGTTTCCTTTATAATCTGATTCCGGGGTAGAATGGGTCTTCAGCAACCCATACTTGCCGTAAGGGCGACCATGCTTGTCGTAAAAGGCGACTAACGGGATCGGGTGGTCAGGCTCGCTGACTTGGTTGATACATGTCTTCGATCCCAATTGCGTGGGTCGATGCTCATGATGTCAATCACTGGATTGTCTGGTCCAGACTCGATTATTTACAGACCGCCGTCATATAACTGGAATATTGCTGAGTGCGGCGTTAAACAACAAACTAACCAACCAACCAACCTTTATAATCTGTACAGAAATCGTTGCGCCAAATGTGGGTGTTAGATTACCCATATGAATTCTTGGCTGTAAATGAAATATCAAATTTCATAACGAAGTTACAGAATTGATAATTTTTAGACCTCGTAGAATTCATGGATTTATATACAGCTACGAACTCTAGTGCTATAAAATACGTCCTGTAAATAACCAAATTGCATTATCGGGATGTTTAATGCATTTGAGGGCCGTGGGGTAGCCTAGTGGTTAAAACGTTCGGCTCATCACGGCGAAAACCCGGGTTCGATTCCCCAAATGGGTACAATATGTGCACCCACTTCTGGTGACACCCGCTGTGATATTGCTGGAATAGTGCTGAAAGCGGCGTAAAACATTACTCACTCACAAATGCATTTGAGTATATGATAGCGGGTCGTGTAACGACAAGCCATGAACAGGTATTGTGGATGCACGGTGGGGTCCTTGGTTCGGTTGACGGGGAGGGACGTACCAGGTGCATGCATCCCAGCTGGAGGCCGTCACATTGACTTGTAAGCTGATTTCAGCGTTGACACAGTATTGCACGCTTATTAACTCATAATGCAAACACTCCCGGCTGAACAAGGTAACCGAAATTTGTGCCAGCTGTGGTTAATTATTTCAAGTTGTCTTCACTCATTTGTCAGTATATCTTTAGCCGAGCTCTGTATACCAGAGCTCTATATATTCCTGGATGTACCACAGTTCTCCATGTCATAAATGACACAATGACGAACACAGGGTTACGAGAATGAAGTAAAAATACAACGTTGTTTTTGTTGATTCCGGTGAAATCTCTGATGTACTGCATCACCAACAGAGGTGAATATAAACTAGCGGGAAAAAATAACTGTGCTTCAAATAAAGTGGTGTAAATGTTATACTATTTTAAATAACATGCTATTTGGTCTTTCGTCTGATCACCAGATTCGTCTGGTCAAAAAGTTCTAAGCCCGACTACTATTGGCCATAACGAAGTGAACCAGTCAATGTAGTACATTGTTTGAATAGTTCATTGCAAGTGTCGTAAGAGGCGACTAGCGGGATCGGATGGTCAGGCTCGCTGACGTGGTTGATGCATGTCATCATCTCAATTGCGTGGATAGATGCTTACGATGTCAATCACTGGATTGAATGGTCCAGACTCGATTATTTTACGGACCACCGTCATGTAGCTGGAATATTGCTGAGTGCGGCTTTAAACAAACAAACAAACAAACAAACAAATCATTTCAAGTGTATTTGGTCTGTTCAGGCCATTTGTATATTAGTTGACACATCAATGAAAAAGAACGAGTACCGAGCAGTCATGAAGTTTTAAACCATGCAGAAATGTACTCCATGCAGAAATGTACTCCCATAAAATTCATGACCGCATGTCACAAGTGTATAGGGATAAGCGCCCTAGCTATTGCACTGTTAGACGTTTAAGGCTGGGAGAACAAGCCTTGATGATGACCCTAGATATGGACGTCCCTCAACTTCCATCAATGAGGATTCAATCTAGGATCCATTGAAAGTATTATTCATGAACATTTACAGAGGAATAAGATATCTGCTCCCTGGGTGTCAAAGTTTCTAAATTCTGATCTCAAGGAAAAAAGAACTGATATTGCCTGGCTTACTTTAGAGGAAATTGAGGAGGATTTCGTAAAATCTAAAACGAGATTAGTAACGGGTGATAAAATATGGGATCTTCTCAGGCAACAAAAAAATTGAAGTTCTTCAAAATCCGTGAGGATAGTTATGGCCACTGTATCCTGGGATGCAAAGGGTGTGGTCCTTGTTGATTACTTAGAAAATCAAAAGACGATTACCGGTGCCAGCTATGCTGATTTGCTTCATCGCTGAGAGATTCTATCAAAGAAAAAGCCGCGAGGAATGCTGACTGATGGAGTCCTACTACTTCATGACAATACCTCTTCTCACACATCTCGACTTGCAAAGACTGCTGTGTATCAATGTGGTTTGAAGAACTTCCTCACCCTCCATACTAACACAATCTTTTAAATCTTGTCACCTTGCAATAAGAACGTTTTCCTAAAAAGAATAAGTGTCTTTAGCAGTCCTTTTTTTAATTAACGTGTACCTCGTCTTTGCATTGGGCTATCGAAACTACATACTAGGTAGGCCTCGTGAACATGTTCTTATAATGGACAGACAGCGATAAAAGGCTTCTTTATTGATATCAATGTAAAGGAACATTTAAAAACTGTTTAATAATTATCTGTAGTATTGAGATCAATCGACTTGACAGAGTTCAACCGAAGTCGCCATAGCGTACAATCGGAAAACGTCCGATTAAGAGTCGGCAAGTGTTCAACTCCTTTCATCAGGAACAAGTCATTGATCCAGGTTGATTTGGCTAGATGCACCCAAGAACCGAGCAGATATTCAGTTGAAACTACATGTCTGGCCAGACATGCTAAATTTTAATCACATCTCTGCACTTGTTCCCCGTTTTATTGACCAGTTTAGGGCCATTATTGTATTGTAACGTATTGTCTATATATAAACACATAATATTCTAGACGCTTTACCTATGTAATGTAGTACAGATGTTTAAATGAGAAACCGAATGTGACGTCATCTATTGTGTTCGGATATATCTCATATTCGTATAATGACCTCTGCTGACTTATTCCCTGGTTCCACTGTGCTCAATGACAGGATTAAGTCCATCTTCCCCTGGTGTCCTTTTAACAATCCTTATGATAGCATGTGCTCCCACTCACATTGGTTAGTACATACTTTATAATACGCTGGACCTATACTGAAGAGTGTATTAACTTGTTTTAAAATACTGGAATTTGAACTGCATGACTTTTCCTTAGTTATTACAAACTTAGAACAATTTCGGCCTCACGAACAGAAGGTTTGTTTGTTTGTTTGTTTGTTGTTAACAACGCACTTAGCAATATTCCACATATATGAAGGTGGTCTGTAAATAATCAAATCTGGACCAAGCAATCCAGTGATTGATGTCATGAGAATCGATCTATGCATGTATCCAGCAAGTAATGAATGATCAGCAGGCCTGATCATGCACCCGATCCGGTTAGTGGCATCAAAGATCCATTCTATCCCAGATCATCACAGGTCTAGACACAGGAGGAAAACATTTGGAAGTCATATGGATACTTAGGAAATAATTACTCGGAACATGTATTGAATAAAGTTGTTTTATTATATACCATATAAATTGATCATAAACTGAAATGTGCAATCGCAACTGAATAATGTCATAAAAATACCAAGTCTGTCTAAGTCCAAAGAAGATACTTATATTTGTTCTATTTGACATATTTTCTTATTTTATTCGGAAATATTTGATTGTTATTTATCGTTATTGAAGTCACACAAAAAACTCCTCTGTTATGCTGTGGATAGTAAGACCCAAGGGAAAAAGTTGCGGTAAAGTGCGACTGTTTTGTCTCAACTTTCTGTCCTCACTCATGGTCTTACAATCTCAAGCAGAAGAGGGGTGTTTATCCTACACAGTAATATTATAACAAAAGCAAGTCATTGATGACCGAACAGCTTTTTCTTTACCATATAATGACTGAGTGAAGTGGAGATATGTACGATTCCTTTGTACCCCACCCCCACCCAACACACACCAACAAACAAGGAAATACAATGAGTGGGTGTCAATGATTGGAAATAAGCTGATCTGACAAGCTTCTAACAACATAAAATTTGTCACCCAAGGGAGGAGTCATGGTAACATGCATAACATTAATAAAATATGACTTGACTTGCAGATGGACAAAAATGATGTGATGTGACGTGTTGTTGACACAGCTGTGGATGGACATGGAAATGTACAAATGCTGACTTGGCTGGATATAAAAGCTGTTAATATCTTGTACAAACGACTAGAAATTATTGGATAGAAAATATAAACTTTTGTCCCATAGAATGCAGGTGCATCGACTTAGTGGTTCTGATGAATATTACGTTTCGACAACACCTGCATGTTTCTCAGCTTTTTCAAACATTAATCATAAAATGAAATATGTATCTTAAACCAAATGACAGGTTTCCAAGCCCATCGTTGTTTAGCTGGCGTAAACACATGAAGTATCAAACAATGTGTACAAGACCAGGAGAACACTCAACACTTCCTGCAAGAAGCAGCCCCATATTTCCTGTCTACCCCTCAAGTTATTTTCCATGTGATTCACACTGGTCACATCATCAATTTTTAAACGGACAAAATTCAGGCCAAGGAATTCAATGGATCACACATTTGAAAATGCAATTTATCGTACATGAGCACAACCTGAACACTGCAGTAACACATAGTGACCAACATCCATACAACAACTTTCCATCTAGAATCTGCGCACCGTTCCTTGTTGCAAATAGCGGGCCTCTGGTTGTCTTGTTATGCCCCCCATCATCATGAGGTTTGTGTTTTGTGGGGCAGCAGCCATGTACAGTCCTGTTCCCCCCATGTTGTTGATCAGTCCCCCACTCCCCCCCATGTTGAACCCTCCTCCTCCTCCTCGGTCACTGTGTGTACCCGTGACTCCGCCCATCCATCGGTCGCCGCCGCCGCTGCCACCGCCACTGCCGCCGCCTCCCCGAGTCGCAGAGTTGTCCATAACACCATGGCCCCATGACGGGTCTATCTTGCTACGGTCGCTGTTATTTCCCCACACCTGACGTTGATTTGAATTAGCACCGTCTGCAAAAATAATTCAATCATATGTTAGAATAGTGGAGTGAGTGGGCAAGTGTGCTATTTTTGGTCCATGTTTTTGTTTGCAATCGACAGTCAATTAAACACATCTGTGACGTCATTCTACTGTTTGAGCACTCCAATGGAGAGTTGATTGTGTCCTCTGCCGCTGCTGCACGTGCTCCGTCGCGACCTGATCTTTACACTGCATGTTTTGTGAGTGAGTGAGTGAGTATGGTTTTACGCCGCTTTTAGCAATATTCCAGCAATATCACGGCGGGGGACACCAGAAATGGGCTTCACACATGCATGTTTTGTGGCTCTTTGGAATGTTTTGTCTAAGTGTAAGAGTAGAGATGTGTTTTAAGTAGGGGAATATCCTCGTAACTCTCCTGCGGATCCTCGACTCCATTATCTATAAGGAATGGAGAGTTACTCTGACATTGCCCTCTACATTTAATACAGAAACTCACTTGACATCATACCCGATCCAGAATTATAACTTTTGCCACGCCTGTCATCTTGCACCCCAGAGCCACTTTGACCCTGCCAGGTGTCCCGTCCACTCGCCACCACCAAGCGTGTGTCTGGAACCAGATTCACTCCTGTCAGACAACGGTAGGAGACCACCACAGATCAGGACCACTACCAGGATTTTGGTTTGGTATGTTGTTTTACGCCGCACTCAGCAATATTCCAGCTATATGACAGCGGTCTGTAAATAAACGAGTCTGGACCAGACAATCCAGTGATTTACATCATGAACATCGATCCACACAATTGGAATCAATGACATGCATCAACCAAGTCAGTGAGCCTGACCACTCGATCCTGTTAGTCGCCTTTTACGGCAAGCATGGGTTGCTGAAGACCTATTCTATCCCGGATCTTCACGGGCAACCAACAAGTCACCTTAGCTTAAACTTTTTACAGAACATCACAACTGTATCTTAACATTCAACAACATTTGAAATGCTAACATATCTCTGTTGGAACAAAATCTTTCCACAAAATCCAAACATAGAACTCTGAAGTCCCATTCAATTTCCAATCCAATTTTTTTTAAGAAATCAGAAATGCTCATTACAAAGAAAATACACAAATTTCTTCCAAATGAGCAAAATTGGAACACGTTCAAGTAACATTTCAATAGCTTGCCAATAAATAAGGCATGATGATTCAAGATGGCATCTGTTGTTTCACGAGCAAGGGAAGAAACTCCGTCAACAAACCACACAAAACAAAATGAAAAACATAATAACAAGTATTTGTCACAGAGTGACGAAATATCCCCCGCCTGTACACCATAGTACCAAATATGAAGACAATCCAGCGATTAGTTCTTGAGATATTGTGGCAACAACGTTTTCCAACTCCAAAAACAGATTTGCCTGCTGTGACCTTGAAAATGGGGTCAAGGTCACCAAATCTGACAGGTGTATGCGGTGTCTGTATATACACTATAGTTCCAAATATGAAGACAATCCAGCGATTAGTTCTTGAGATATCGCGGCAACACCGTTTTCTAACTCCAAAAGCAGATTTGCCTGCTGTGACCTTGACAATGGGGTCAAGGTCACCAAAACCGACTGGTGTCTGCGGTGTCTGTATATACACCATAGTTCCAAATATGAAGACAATCCAGTGTTTAGTTCTTGAGATATCGCGGCAACACCGTTTTCCAACTCCAAAAGCAGATTTGCCTGCTGTGACCTTTAAAATGGGATCAAGGTCACCAAAACCGACTGGTGTCTGCGGAGTCTGTATATACACCATAGTTCCAAATATGAAGACAATCCAGTGTTTAGTTCTTGAGATATTGCGGCAACACCGTTTTCCAACTCTAAAAGCAGATTTGTCTGCTGTGACCTTGAAAATGGGATCAAGGTCACCAAAACCGACTGGTGTCTGCGGAGTCTGTATATACACCATAGTTCCAAATATGAAGACAATCCAGTGTTTAGTTCTTGAGATATCGCGGCAACAAACAGGTGGGACGTACGGACGGACGTACGGACGGTCGTGAATACTATATCCCCCGCTTCGCGCTTTCGCGCGGCGGGGGATAATAATAGAGAATATTCTCATGGAATCCTCCTCCCTAACTGGAGAATAAGGCTACTGTCAACTAGATGTGGAGTTAATCACTAAAATGTCTTGTTTTGGAAATATTTTGTTCACTTTCTTACCTCTATCTGATTTCCAGTCATTCCGGGAATCATGCCGCTGAGGTGACCTCGCGGTCCGTCGGTCATCATCTCGACTTCTGTTGAAGTCTCGTCTGTTATCTTCCTGACGGGAATGTGTCCGCGTATCTCGTCTATCGTCTCTTGTGTTTCTAGTTCAGTTCAGAATATCACACATTAATCCACATGGATCTACGTTAACCCTCACAGATTACAGATGCACATAGACCTATGTTAACCTTCACAGATTACAGATGCACATAGACCTATGTTAACCCTCGCAGATTACAGATGCACATAGACCTATGTTAACCCTCGCAGATTACAGATGCACATAGACCTATGTTAACCCTCACAGATTACAGATGCACATAGACCTATGTTAACCCTCGCAGATTACAGATGCACATAGACCTATGTTAACCCTCGCAGATTACAGATGCACATAGACCTATGTTAACCCTCGCAGATTACAGATGCACATGGACTAACAGTAACCCTCGCAGATCACAAATGCCTTTGATGATCGAAGCATCCCTGAGGATTGTTTGCACTGCGATAAACTACATGGATAGAGTAAATAGTGTACCATTTCACAGCAGGTTCCTATATGTTATTTACTATCATCTTACTGATTTTGTTTGTTGTTACTGGAAGATTACGTTTCAAGAAACCCAGCAATACCTCTGAGTATCTGCAAAGCTGTCTCCGCGTCTGTCTTCTCGACGATCATTTCGGTCTTCCATGCGTCCTCTGTTAGAACCACGAGTATCAGTATTACGATTATCACGCCTATCATATCGCTCCACTTTCCTGTCGCCATTGTCACTCCGGTCAAAGCGATTATCTCGTCTGAAAAAGAGCAAAAAGTTTTGACTGCTGAAAACAGAATTCCATTTGTCGGTCTAACACTTTCAAGTTGACAGTTTTCATATTGTTATGTGATGATACGTTTGAAAGACACCATAAAAACTTTAACTCATGAATACTTTTTGCTGGCTGACAAGTTCCTCACCTCGAATCACCATAATTATCGTATCGATCAGATGTAGGTCGTTTAATGGGTCCACTCCAGTAGTCATCGTCGTGACGACTGGCAAGTTTTTCAAATGGTCTTTTTGCTGCTCTGACCTGCTCCTCCAGTCTGAAAATTAGAATGAAATTGTCTTCATTGTGACCGTGCGTCTAGTTTACTATCAGATATACATTTACCATGTTGGCTTGAATTATAGTAAAATCCATAGTCTGCAGATTATGAAAACTATGAAGACCTCTTAATCCAGATGCCAAGATTTCCGGACAATTTGGAATGTTGACATTACATTATACCAATGACATTTTCCAGGGCCCAACTGCACAAAGCAACCTTTGTAGTACACCAATTGAAAATCAATGATAAAGTATAGAAGTGAAAGAGTGATTATTGCTGAATGCCAGTTATCCCGCTACAGTATCTGTGTGCATGAATTGTTTGATAGGCATTTCTTAGAACTTGACTACTGACAAAGTAGACACAATTTATGGACAACAACTTCTTTGTGCATGTGGTCCCAGATAACAGTGGTCTCACCGACTTCAGATTTTGACAGAATTTATACATTCATTTTGTTTACACATATCTGTAATAAAGACATCCAGCATCACATGACCCTGACATTCATTGTGCTAAATGTTATCAAATACTTGAGACTCCATCATAGGTGAGGTGAAATTGGGTTTAACGTCGCATCCAAGATTATTGCACTTATATAGCGACGTGCATGCACGTGTATGTGTGTGTGTGGCTGCTTGTACTAGTCCGGACTGATGCCGATTTATAGTGCTAGCTCACTGAGATACCATGCCGCAGTTTAACATGAATACCCCACTCAGACACAGTATACTGACTCCGAGCCGACCAGTCCTTGTTTTAGCCCCTTAATACCGAGCGCCAGACAGGGTAACAACAAGTACAATCTTTTAACGTCTTTTTGTATGACGCGGCCCGGGATCGAACCCTGGACCTTCCGCTCTCCGGGCGGACGCTCTACCACAAGACCACGGAGGCGGTCGAGACTCCATCATAACTGTCGGCAGCAACACAACAAAGGACCCAACCACCTCACCTGCGTTGCTCCAGTCGAAGTTGTTCGATTCTCTGCCTCTCCAGTCTTTCTCGTTCCAGGAGTAGTCTCTCTGTTTCCATGCGGTCTCGCTCAAGCCTTTCCCGCTCTTGTCTGTTACAACAGATGAGAGCTGTGTACCAAGTGTGTGTGTACATACAATAGTGCAATCACATCAAGAAAACATTAATAAAAACTTGCGTTTACAGCTGATGCCGTGTAGAGACTGCAACTGGAAGAACTAAATGCCATACTTATTGCTAATCATGCTCTATCTGTATATACCTCAGTTTCAGTTTCTCTCGTTCAAGTCGCATTGCTTCTTCTCGTTGACGCATATGAATCTGCTTTTGTCTTGAACGTTGTCTCTCAAGTTCCGACAGTCTCCTTTGCTCCTCACCACGAAGGGCATTTTCTTTTATACGGAGGCGTTCTTTTTCCCTCTCAGTCTGATAAAGAAATGACGACTACAAACATGTTGATATTGAACTAGTGAGTGAGTGAGTTTGAATTTACGCCGCTTTTAGCAATATTCCAGCAATATCACGGCGGGGGACACCAGAAATGGGCTTCACACATTGTACCCATGTCAGGATTCGAACCCGGGTCCTCGGCATGACGAGCGAACGCTTTAACCACTAGGCTACCCGACCGCCCCTGATATTAAACTAAAAACCTTATTAATGTAATAGGTAATGTATGTCCCAATAGTAGGGCTGGGACCACTCCAAATTTACTACCCGGGTCCCTGGCACCCTACCCCCTATTTCCCGACCCTACCCGGGTACCCACTGTAGGTCTCAATTGATACAAAATGTCCAATTGGGAATTTTGTTTTACCACAGCACTTGCAAAACATATTTAGATACATGTATTAAACGATCTGGTCATGCATACACTGAAGTTGACTTAAGTTATACCTTTATTCAACCATATGAAAAGTCAGAAGGAGTGGGTGCATAGTCAGAAAGAAATGCGAACATTAGTGACTTGTAGTGTAACCATCAAGTTCTAGATAATTTTTGTCATTAAACACTATATCCTGTGACTAACCACGGGTCCTGTGGGTACCCGGGTCCTTCTCAGTACCCACCTGAATCGGGTACTTGAGTTACCCGTCCCAGCCATACACCATAGTAACAAGAGTCATCAGGATATGACAAATCCCCCTGGGCCCACAAATTTAAAAGAACAAATCATCTGACTGTAACTTTAAGTCCAACTTGATGAGAGAATTTCAATCTAATCTGTCGGGTCTGTATACAAGAGTAGTTATTGAGCTATCAATACAATACCATGGACTTGGATTTCAGAACTTTGTATTCTATGTCACGTCAAAATAAAACTTGTTGCCATGGAAACAAACAAAAAATAATCTAAAATCCCTAAATTGCAAAGGGCACCAGTTGTCTTTGTGCGTGCACAGTTTCAAGAAAGAATACCTATTAGTTTTAGAGATATGGTTTGGACAAAAACAGAGTCAAAGTCAAACTTGTTGCCATTGAAACAGGAAATTATTATTATTTTTTATATTCCCAAATAGAAAAAGCCACCACTTCAGCCCTTTTTTTCATATTCCAAAATAGCAAAAGGCACCACTTCAGCACTTAATTAATATTTGGGATACATGCTCTGGAAAAGACACCTACCTCAGTTTCAGCTAAGTCTAATGTGTTTCAAGGGAAACAAGTAAAAATCACATTCTGAAAAATTCCTAAATAGCAAAAGGCACCACTTAAGCCCTTGGTTAATACATGTACCGTATTCGACGTAATAAGCGCCCTGCTCTAATAAGCGCCCATGGCGATATTTGCTAATATATTGGCTAGTGAACAATCCAAATTAGTACCCCTTCGGATTGATCAATGTACACAAGACTTATTTATTCGCGTACAATACGCACTCGTGTGTTATATGCACCCTTAATTATGGGCAATTAAATTCTGGAAAAATATATCTGCCGTACATAAACATTTCAGGCTGTCAGCATAAAGCACGAAAAAAAATTTCCCCACCGAAATAATATTCTAATAAGATCCCCCTATTTCTAATTTTGAGAGCGCCCTGGGCGCTTATTACGTCGAATACGGTACCTGGTTTGCACTAAAAGTCTTTCTTACACTTTTTTTAAGTAGTGCTCCAGAAACGACACCTCCCTCACCAATACCTCTTTTGAGAATAAGTCAAAATAATTTCCATGGAAATCGAGAAAAATAAAAATACAGTCGTGCCTCGTTTATACGGACACTTGCGTCATTTCACAATTTGTCTGTATAAACTACTGGAAGAGTTACTTCCCTTCAATTATGCAACTCATGACAGATGACAGAGCAAACAGATACATCCGCTCAATATTTATTCAAGACATACACCATACACGTTTAAAAAAATCTGTCATGGAAGTTTGAACTTTACCACATTATGAGGTTTCAATTTTAAACAATAATTCCAAATTATCCAGATCGCCTGTGTTCTCGTAATATGTAATCAAGCACTCTATACAAGCACAAGCTTCCTTGTGAAAATGTGACCAATTGTCGATTTTCCTATGGTATGTCCAAATTCAGTGCCATAATGCTTACTGATGGTTTCCAAACTTGCTGACGGGTGTTTTTCCTTAAACAGACAAATTTCCCTTTTTTCGCATGCTGTAACTGCGTGTCGCTTACGTTTCGCTGGTTGACAGGCCATACTCACAGTTTGAAGTCACAACTTTGACCTCTGACCTCCACAGACGCCATATTTATCGAATGGGATTACATGTACAATAAACAAGCTCGTCTAAAACGTAACTCAGTGTCACTTGGTTAATTGACTGCTCACGAATCAAAGGATTACCACCAGCGGAAGTGTATTGTCCGTGTAAGTGAGACAATTTTGTGTGCATTTCAGTGTTTTGTGTATGAAAATGACCATCCGGTTCCGGAAACTGAATTTCCATATATACGAGTAAATTTATATAGTAATTATTTCGTTTTGAATGAAAATCGTCCAGGAACTGAGGTTTCCGGATTCCTGAAGTCTGTATAAGCGGGGCATGACTGTACCAAAAATTCACAAAGAGCAAAAGGCACCACTTCAAGATCTGTTTGATATTTTGTTGGAAGTTATTGAACGGTTTTCACGTTACGTTCGAAAATGAAATGAATATGGACGGACGGACAGATGGACAACGCTACGAAAGTTTTCCCCAAGCACAATTGCTCTCAAAAACAAGTCTTGACTGGCTGATTACGTGATGTGGGCGGGTGTGTACTGGCTAAGCGGTTTAGATCTTGTCAATACATTTCAAGTTATGTTTTCGACATGTAACAAGCACAGCAGAGGGACAAGTTGACCCAAGATCTGGTCTGTAAGCAGTTTTATAGGTGTGGTGGTGGTGGTGGGTCTGCGGTAGGACCTTGCTATATCTAACAAAACATCTTTGTTTGGTTAATCTTCCCTTCTGGGGTAGTCTGAACTTAAACAGATGCTATGTTAGGATAAAAAGCTGTACCTTGATTTCTTCAAATGAAAGTATGTAATCTTTAGAATTCTTGGACTGGGATTTGCCCGATTCAGATTTCTTCTCCTCCTTTTCTCCATCTTCCTCTTTCTTCACCTCTCCTTCTGTCTTCTCTTCGGGTTTCTGCTTCTCTGATAAACAGATATTTTTTAGCATGAGTCAACAGCTTCCATACCCTCAGCCTAGTTTAAGAGAGTGTCTGTTTAACGCCTTACTCAGCAATATTCAAGCTATATGGCGACCTGTATGTAACCAAGTCTGGACCAGACAATCCACAGATTGAGTTTATGAGCAACAATCCACGAGATTGGGCATATTGGAGGTCCTGATGAGCAGGAAACTAACAATCATTAGTGCAAATCTGAGATGAGTCGCATGTGTCGTGAGAGAATAATGTAAAAGGTCCATTAAAAACTGCTAAAAACAGCGTAAACGAAAACTTTATTGTAAAGATGTAATATAACTTGATCTTCTCACATAACAAAACCAGTTTGGTATTTGCAAAAACACGATTTGCAGTTATGAAGGAGAAACTGCTGGCCCATCTTTCCCTCCAGAAAGACCAACGATCTGTATTCACATAGTCACAACTTTGGCAACTTGACAGTGACAATGACAACTTACTAGAGTCGTAAATGATGACAAACACATTTACCCTCTCCCCCCAAGTTAGGTGTATGCAATCAACCAGGTCACTGAGCCAAACAACCTGATCCATCAACTTTTGAACCAGCGGAGGTTGCTGGGGACCAAATCTAACAAGGAATCCCCACGGAGATTGAGGCTTGTAACCAACATTATTGTGGCCTATGACATCTCTACTTCATCTCTACTTGCAATTGGGATTCAATGACATGCATCAACCAAGTTAGCAAGGCTGACCTCCCGATCCCGTTAGTCACCTCTTACAACATTGCCATTTACGGCAAGCATATAGTCACCTTTTACCACAAGCATGGGATGCTGAAGACCTATTCTACCCTGGCTTTGTCCTGATGAAAACATTTGCATCCACCTTTATGGAACAAACCTGCTGATTTCGGTGATGTTGTTGAAGCTCTCTTAGTATCTGTCGATCGTTTATCATCCTGCTTCTTCTCTGGGTGTCTAGCATCTCTCCTAACGCGGTCGTCATGGCGAGGAGACCTTCCGGCTGGACGTCTATTGGACCGATTATCCCGGGTCACAGGCTTCCTGTCATCTTTCTTCTCCACTTTCTTCTCCCCATCTTTCTTTTCCCCTTCCTTCTTGTCTGTAAACATACACGTCTATGTCTAAGAAACAGCTCATCAAATGCTATTTAAAAGGACAACAAGGTAGAGATGTAAATTTTACATTAAATTGTATAATAATACTATCTCACACTATGCATTTCTTCCTTCTTTCTTTTGCGATTCTGTCCTGATGATCAATCTGCTGAATCAGATAATGATCGTCTTCAGAAGGATGGAGATCGTCCTGTCAAAATTGAGCATTTTGTGACTTGTTTTGAGTTTTAGCAGGAGAATGTTGATCCTGAGAACGTCGATCCCTTAAGTGTTGATCCTGTCTTTCATCCTTAGTTGAAGGAGAGGGTGAATGTGAATGATCGATCCTCAGTGAAGTTGATTGTGCAGGTGTCGTCTTGGGAGCGATTGTGATGGGGCTGTCTGTTTTCTGATAACTTGAACATCATGTGGAGGAGTGGGGGATGATATGCGACTCTTCACTGTCGGGGAGCACTGGGTAGGGATAGTTGTAGCCGGAGTGGATATGCTGTTCTGAGTCATGACCCTGCAGACGTCTATGGCTGCAGGCTAAACCAACGTAGGAGTGGGATAGGGAGCACTAGACACACCGTCATTTTCTACCAAAGTGAACGCATGGTAGAGATGAGGTGAAATGGGGTTTAACGTTGCGTCCAAGATTATTGCACATATACAGCGAGGTGCATGCACGTGTGTGTGGCTGCTTGTACTTGTCCGAACTGATGCCGATTTATAGTACTAGCTCACTGAGATACCATGCCGCAGTTTAACATGAATACCCCACTCAGACACAGTATACTGACTCCGAGCCGACCAGTCCTTGTTTTAGCCCCTTAATGCCGAGCCAGACAGGGTAACAACAAGTACCATCTTTTAACGTCTTTTGGTATGACGTGGCCGGGGATCGAACCCTGGACCTTCCGCTCTCCGGGCAGACGCTCTACCACTAGACCACGGAGGCGGTCCGAAGGCATGGTAGACGCGGGATGTGGCTTGACAACTGCTACAGTAGAGGGGATAGCTAGCTTGGTTACACAATTGGGTTTCTTGGCTGACAAAGGCCCATATTCAGATTTAGATCGATGGTCATTACCTCTCTGACATTTGCGTAAATATATATGCAAAAAGCTGCCTCTGAGAGTTAAGAGCATTGCAAGCATCTGTGGTCCGATTTCCTACGGTAATCGCAACAAAGATCATGTGGATTGGCTGAGGAATAGGTACGTCTGCAGGTTTTACAGGCTGGGCGTTTCTCGTGATGTTCCCATACTCTTCTTCAAATGCTGTAGATGTTGAAACAATTGCAAAGGAAGCTCTCAGCGAAAAAAGACCCCCAAAAAGTATTCTCTACTGCATAATACATGTCCCCACATGGTGGTAATGAGAAAGAGAATGATGTGGCAGGGGTAGTCAGGTGATGAAGTGACACGCACAGCCTTACAGTGCGTCACCAATTTGTTTGGGTGGTGACCATGGTGATGCTGGCATGTGCTCGGGCGAAATGTTTTCAGAAGCTTAAAACTCTGTTCTATCATATTTTGACACCAGAATCAAAAGAAGAAAGAAATGCATAGTGTGAGATAGGACAAGTTTAAAAATTTTAATTGCTGTCAATAAAGTACCAATGATGCTGATTACCTGATGGTACTTAATGAGTTACATATATACCTGTCATCAAACAAACAGCATTTGTATAAATACTACTCAAAACAAGTAAAGAACAGCCACAATTGGAAGGCTGTGTGTTGCAATACCCAACAGCCATGGAAGATTAGTCATATGAAACAAATCGGCGTTCTTTAACTTCTTATACATAGAATAGAACTTATATTTTGGGCCAGAGGCCTTTATGGAATATAACTGTCTGATAATTACAACACCTACCAGATGGCTTCTTGTCTTCAGGTTTCTGTGCTAAAGCTGCCTTACTGGGCCCACCTGGTTCATTCTTTGCCTTGTAAAACAAAGGAGATGCATCATGAGGAAGAGTGAGTGAGTGAGTGAGGTTTTACGCCGCTTTTAGCAATATTCCAGCAATATCACGGCGGGGGACACCACAAATGGGCTTCACATATTGTACCCATGTCGGGAATCGAACCCGGGTCTTCGGCGTGACGAGCGAACGCTTTAACCACTAGGCTACCCGACCGCCCTCATGAGGAAGAGGGAACCAACAAATATACTACTCCACTCATCTTAGGGATACTCTGGTACTTGATATACATGGATACCCCAGCAAGTACTCTGAGTCGACAAGTCCTTTTATAATCTTAATCAGTTGTTAATGCCAAGTGATAGGCAGGTTAACAAAGACCGTCCATTAATATGACATTGCCAGGGATCGAACCACCAACCTACCACTCTCTAGGCAGATGCTCTATCCACTAGACCATGGAGATGGTCGCATATCAAATGAAATTAGTGTGGCGCTACATAGTGAGTGAGTGAGTATGGTTTTACACCACTGTTAGCAATATTCCAGCAATATCACAGCTGGGGACACTAGAAATGGGCTTCAGACAATGTACCCCCATTGGGAATTGAACCAGGTCTTGATGAGCGAACACTTGAACCACTCGGCTACCCCACCACCCTGGCGCTATATAGAATATTAGTAATATCCCTATCAAAAGGTGAGTAGTATATATCTTTCAGGGTAATGAAACAACTGTTATCTTAAGAAATTAACATCAAGAACTTGACTGTTAAATCGTAGTGCGTACCTTTTCCACCGATATCATCTTCCCGTGTAGTTCGGTCCGATGTAAGTGCTGAATGCACTTGGAGGCCTCTTCCGCTGATGACATCGTCACAAACCCATAGCATCGTGACCCTGGACTGCGAGCATTGGTCACAACCTTAGCTCCAATAACCTGCATGGTGGGAATAACATTGTCATTAATGTGTTCCTATTTGTCAATATGGGTGGGTGCGTAAATATTGCTTCAGTGTCAGTGAGAAAATCTCATGACAGCTTCTGTCAATAAATACATGGTACGGAAGCAGACCAATTGTATCTGCAATATGCTCCTCATACACGTCACTATTCTATGGTCATATACAGATTTTGATTAACAGTGACAGATGACTCAACTCAGTACTTAAACACAAAACCTATTCAACTATTGTTGAGAGAACTTGTAAAATGACTGACCTACAATGAAACTACAAAAGAATCACGTCTCACCTTTCCATATTTGCTGAAAAGTGACTTGAGGTCCGTAGCTCTAGTAGAAGAGGACAGGCCACTCACCCACAGGTTGCGACTATGCTGGCTGCCTAGGTAACGAAATGTATGCTTTTCGTTATCAACTTCTCACATTCACAATTCCATAACATCCTCAAATCAAGTAAATTTAAACAGGAAAATATTTGCTAAATACTGGAAAAGGTTACTCCTTATTTTTGTTTGTTATTTAACGCCGCACTTAGCAATATTCCAGCTACAAAGAGTGGCCTCCAAATAATCAATTCTGGACTGGACAACCCAGTGAGTGTGAAAACGGTCCACATTGTAGGGATATGCTGGGAATCTATTTGAACCCGGAATCCCCGTGTGGGTCTTCCTTATCAACACACATCATGAACAGCTGTGCCTGGGACACTCACCCTTCGTGTCCTTCTCCTTGCTGTCCTTGCCTTCAGAGCTACAATAGATAAAATGGAGACATCTTTCAACAGGACAGTCACAGCAAGAACAGTGAGCATGAATAAAAATCCTTAAGAATTTAATTTTGGAGAAAGTGAGTTGGGTGTTACGCCTCTTTCTGCACTATTCCATATCCAACAGGTGACACCAAGGAAAACGTAAAGGAAGATGCAATAACAGAAATATCTTGCAAGTGTTTGTCTTTAGTGAATAAAATTATCCTGGTTTGGATCTAATGAAAAGAATATTTAGCCATATACCACCATCTGGCTGGTAGGTAATTTTCTTCCTCATTATTCTCAGGACTTGTATTACAATTTGATCATGTGTAAAACATTTCACCTTTTAAGCAAATTATGATACCAAGAGATGTCATGTAAAGCAAATAAAGAGAACGAAACTAGTTATCATTTTAGGTGTGTAACTGAGAAAATCGGCTGACAGCGAAGATATCTACAAGACACTACATGAAATCAAGAGGAACCTTGGGTAGCCAGGCATCATCCCTAGGGAAGGACACCACATCTGACGACAACAAAAGCTGGTTTTCTGCTGTCACTTCAACAACGACTTGCTCATGCTTGCTTCAGAGGACTGACATGATTATCTCATTGTTCAATTTCTTCAGTTTTCCAAAACGATTTTTTCTCTCATAAATTATCAGAATTTGATGGCTCTGAATTTCTGTTTGAAAACAATTTTTTTTACTTTGGGTGTGCTGCCGCTTTAAGTCCTGGTTTGAATGAAAGGGGAACACAAGAAAGCATCTAAAGAAGGACAGCTAACCCCAAAGAATACCTTAACTCATTGGTGCAAGCCAACTTCAATATGACTGAAGCAGCCCTATACAACGAGAATCTCTTTCATCAGGTCGTTATGGCTAGTGAAAGCTGAGTGATCTTGAAGACGTTAGCATGATCAAGAAGACATCAATACAAACCAAACCAACCTCTTGGCAGGTTTTGCATCTTCTTTTTTCTCTTTTTTTATGTCCTCTTCAGCTATCATGCTTTTTTCCTCAGTTTTCACTTTGATCGTCTCGCAGTCACCTCCCTTGTCCTCCTCAGATGTTGCTGTGGCGTCAGCTCCGACAGGTTTCTCTTCTCCTTTGTCATCCTTCAGATCGGCATCAATCTCATTCACCTGAGTGTCATCAACACTCACATCAAAGGAATCATCTGTTGGTTCAAACAGGGTGACTTGATCCTTTGGAACATCCTTCTTTGCTGTTGCTGTCTTGACTGTTGCCGTCTTTGCTGTTGCTGTCTTTGCTGTTGCTGTCTTCACTGTTACTGTCTTAGCTGTTACTGTCTTAGCTGTTACTGTCTTTGTTGCTGTTGTTGCTGCTGCTGCTGGTGGCGTTTCTGCAGTTTTTCCAGGTGCAGTTGATGCTGCCTTTGCTGCTGCTGCTACTCTTGGTGAGGAAGATCGGGTGGCAGTCTTCACTGGAGCTTTCTGTGCAGCCTGTGTCTTTGCAGGGGTCGTAGTTTTGGCTGGAGTTGATGTTGGTGCTGGTGGTGCTGCTGCTGCTGCTGCTGCAGCACTCTTAGGTGTGGCTGCTGGCTTTGCTGCAGGGGATTTTGCAGCTGCCTGTTTCACAGGTGTTTTCACAGGTGCTGTCTTGGCAGGTGCTATCTTGGCAGGTGCTGTCTTGGGAGGAGTAACTTTGGGAGCAGTTTTTGCAGCAGCTGCTTTTGGCGCAGGTGTTGATTTAGCTGCTGGCGTGGCAGCCTTGGTCTTTACTGGTGAAGTCGACTTAGTAGGGGTGGGAACAGGAACTGGGGTGACTTCAGGAACAGTCACAACCTCAGTCAGTTCCTCAACAGTCTCTGGTTCCTCTGGCTCCGTCTCGTCTATAATCTCTGTCTCCATCTCAGCGTCTTCTTCAGGATAAGCGTCTTCTTCAGGGTCAGCATCTTCTTCGCCACCTTCAGCTGGCATCTCTCCGTCCCCTTCAAGTTCCTCACCCAAGTCAACTAAACCATCCTCCTCACCAACATCCATTTCCATTTCTTCATCATCTTGAGGGGCTAGAGAAATTTTCAAGTTAAAACAAATTTAGACCACATTACACAATGTCCATTTGAAATCAAAACTCATACTCACCTATTAATATCAAATAAATATTAGTTCAGTAAAATGCAACGGACATTATTCAGCTAACTACTCAGGGCTCTGACGATGTACATATGGAGTCCAGAAATGTTCTTTCCTTAACAGCTTCCACTCTTGTTGAAACGAACGTATTGAGGTGACAGAAGAATAGTCATCAGTCCATGCAAACAACAATCCGATTCACAAACACAGTCTTCTTCTGTTTTCTTTTAGAACATGTGGCAAGATCAACAATCTCCATTACAAAGTTTGTTTCCTTACATGGGAAGTGTCCATGATCTCGTTGTCTTTGTTCTTAGTGTCAACTCCACAACAAACATCACTGTGCCAGGAAAGTCACGGCAAGTCTCTTCCAGATAATATTGCAGAATCTGTCCAACTTATTTCTCAACTACTGCTTCTTCATACACAGTAATGCCAACAGAACTGGCACATGACAAGGCAATGCCAAGATGTCCATCAAGTCATCTGGTTTCCCCAAGTGCAATGACAAACAAAATGCCTGCATCAGTTCCGCTCATCTGATGTCTTTCTTCATCCATAGTCAATACCGAATAATATGTGTAAATATAAGTGCATCTGCAAGTAATAACTTCTCTCAAATTAAAGACTATAATGTCATGAAAATATTGGTATTAACATATTTTCTATTTATACAAAGGACATGATGAAATTTATCCTGTAATATTTTGTAAGAAACAGACAAATGTTATTGATTAGTCACATGTAGACTGTCATTCTACTCTCAGATTGAACCTTCTCTGCATGGTGTTCCCTTACCTTCCTCTTCATCAACCTCTGAAACATCAACCTCAAACGCATCCTCTTCACCGGTACCCTGCAAAACAGGTATGCATTGTAATTTGTATATGGTGAAAGTCAACAGGAAAATTAGTGCTCATATACTATCCAACTTGTCTTGGCATAAACTGTCTAACTGGCCTTGGCAGATGGACATGGAAATGAGAGTTGATTGCAAGGGAAATGTTAATTGTGATCATGTTTTCTCAGGCTAACCATATTGCAATAACTGTCACCTTCATCAAAGTCATGGCAAACAGCCACTGTGAAACAAAGACGTACTCCCTCATAACAAAACGTATGCAATGTTCCCCATGAAGCAGGTTTTCTGAGTATTTGACATGATTTTGGTCAGAAGATAAGTCAAAGAAGCATGAAGTGAGTGAGTGAATGAGTGCAGTCATATCATGGTGGATTAGCTTAAGGTGGGAGGAAAGCCCAATGTGTTGCACGTCTCAGACGTTTACTTCTCTGGTAAAACCCCACGAGCATGGATATGGTGCTGACAAACCTAGAAACATAATCCAGGTGTACCAGGATTTGAACCCATAATCATAGTTTTCTTCCATGTCCAAGGGAAGCAATTCTGCAAAGCAAACTGCAGGATCTTAGACGACAAGCCACCCGTGCACATGAACTATCCAATGCCTCAAATTTCATTAAGAAGTGCATATTCTGTCTGTAGTTGTCTGTTGATAACCTGTCTACTCTGATTCCAACCAAAGTTGTTGTACAATTTCCCTGTCATTCCCTACCTTACTTTCACACGTAACATTATTTTTGAGAGTCAAAACTTAATAGAATCATCACAACACCATAACACAAAACCCTAGGAGAATAATCTGCTGGTACGAAACAGTTAACTTCAGGAAAGACTAGTGACATTTCTGTAGCAGATCATTGTTGAGGACGAGTGAGGATAATAATCTATTTCTAACCCAGGAATATACTATCAGTGTGAGTCATCCTTTACCTCTGATACACAGTTCACATTCATATACAACCTGACATCACTTATACATGAAGCATGAGACATCTTCATCAACATGAAGTACTAATTTGATGGAGAGAGTGTTATGAACAAGATATCGAATTGGAATGAAACATTTGAGACTGATTAACCTGATGAATATGGTCCTGTACCCACAATGCTGCAGTTTTTCCTAAATGCAACCCTCTTAACTTCACGGGACATATACGATGAAGAGTATCTCGACACTGACCATTTCCTCTGCTTCAGCATCCTCGCCAAGGTCCAGGATAACATCATCCAGAATGTCCTCACTTTCATCCGGTTCACCCTCAATGTCCTCTTCAAAAAATTCTTCTTCATCATCCTCTTCCTCTCCTTCCTAATGCCGGGGAATAAACAATGTTATCACCCTAAACTGACTTCCATGGAAAATACCACCACAATGAAACTGTATCACCAGTATGATGTCATCAGTTACCATGACATCACAATCAAATGAAATCAATCAAACTCTATGCCATTAATTCCTAGTACTATTGCTGTTTACAAACTGAAAAACGTGGAAGAATGATTTGGGATGATAGAATCTCACTCTCATGTCTTTTTATATTAAAAAAAAAGCCTTAGAATTATAAACTTTAAACAATTTGTTTTTATACATTTGATATCAAAAGATATGTTGACACATCAAAAGGCATAATCATTCACCCACAGCCCTCTATACCAGTAAGTTCTTTATTGTTCTTAAGTTTTCACTTCTCTAATGTATGTAAAAGGTTTATCAAGCCTGTGTTAAAATGCTGAAATAATTGCATCAACATAATGTTTCTAAGGAAAGTAAGATGAAACAACAAACAAACACTTACCTCTCCCTTTGGTTTTTCTTTTAATCCTAAAACAAACAGAATATTGAAATGTTCAAGTTTTTTTTAAAGTACATGAGATAAAAATAAAGTTCTGCTTATTTACCATGCTTATTGAAATACATTACACTCCTTATACTTACGAGTACTTTTCTTTTCTTCTGCCTTTTTGGGTGTAGCATCCGAGACTGCAAATGTGTACTCATCTGGGTCATGCCCTTCGTCCTCTAGTGCCTGGAACAGATTGGTAACACTTTACCCTCACCGTCGTGTTATTCCCTAGAGAGATCCTGTAGTACTTCTCACGTGTCAAGATATATCACAGAACCACTTGTCCAAGCTTCAGACTATTTGTATTTATCTCATGGTGTCTACCCCTCAAAGTTTAATGAGAATGGTTGTTGTTAAATGCCGCACTCGGCAATATTCCAGCAATATGATGGCGGTCTGTAAATAATTTAGTCTGGACCAGACAATCCAGTGATTGATATCACGAGCATCGATCTACGTAATTGGGAAACAGTCAGCCCGTCTGAACACCTGATCCTGTTAGTCGCATCTTATGACATGTACAGTCATCTCATACGGCAAGCATGGGTTGCTGAAGACCTATTCTAACCTGGATCTTCATAGGTAAGCTCAGTTAGCGAAAGCTTGAGTCATTCTTTACTTTCATGACACGTCATAAGAGGGAGTGAGAAATACTGCAACTTTCAGTAGCTGGTGTCAACTATCTAAGGTAGCCTAGGGACATGTAGAACCCGATATGGATACTGATAAGCTATACCAAACCAAGAAACAATGAAGTCATTCTGAGATATTGGTAGTGTTAAGTTTCCAAACCAATCAAAGCCAGACTTAAGGATGAACGAAACTACACCACATGTTGTTGGGTCACACTGATATGTATATAGTTTAATACCAGTTGATGACGGATGGATATTTTTGGTATTATTTAATTTATTTCACACTTCAGTGGGTTGCTGTCATTACAAATTAATACAGTTGTTATTCGCTTATTCAGACACTTGCGTTACGAAAATAATAAACGAGCTTCCAGGTATCTCAATCCCTTGTTAACTGACCAGAATTACAAAATTCTATCGAAGCAATTTGAAAATTGAATGGCAAAAGTATGATTTATGAAGGATCTACCGATTGATAAATAAGATACATTGTGCTACAGACCTCTCTGACAAGGCTGTTCATTACTGAAACAGCTGGTGTTGGAAGAAATGCATATTATGCCTAGTTTAGATAATAAACTTGTTTCGTATACAGATGTGATGGAGAGATTGGTACAACCTGCAGCACGTAAACATAAATTATAGCTATGTTTCTTATATGTGAAAATGTAATCAAGAAACATATTATGCACAAATGAACCTTTTGAGGATGAAATCTTCTTTATGCCGCGTTTATGATTGTGAAAGTAAGATGAGTGGTTCAGGGTTGGGATGAAACTGGTGTTATAAACTGGAGCTTGTAAACATGGAGAACGAGAGAGGGCTGAAATTAATGAGTTAGAGAGACGCAGGGAGGATGATAGATGTTTTTCTCAACATCACGAGTGCACACACTATTAATCCCCTTTTTGACAAATACAGGTCCATTACTCTGTGGGTGAGGCGTAACTATAGCGAAGGTGGCATAATCATTTAAGCACCACAAACCTACATTCTGATATATCATGTGTACATCATGTGCATATTATTATCATTATTCACGGAACTAAACAAGCATGAAATACTCACATCCCCCGCCAATATGACATGTCGGGTGTGTGCAATGCACTAGCTCCTGTGAACTATGTTCACTGGGCCTTTTTGTAAAGAAATATAGTACGTTTTTCAAGATCTGCTCCAGAAACGAGGACTACCACCATTTTCAGTCTAAATCAAAGTCGTTGCCATGGAAACTTGAAAAACATTGTTTTTAAAAATTCCCAAACTATCAAAAGGCACCAGTTCACCACTAGATCTATCTATGTGCCAAGTTTGGTGAAGAAATATGGTACGGTTTTCAAGATCTGCTCCGGAAACGAGGACTACCGCCATATGTAAATGTGCATGACTGCATATTCTTAAATATTCGATTCTAGTGGTCACAATAACAAATTAAATTCATGAATGGATACACTTCATTTCCACGAATATGCGAGTAATCTTAACAGTCCTAATTGATACCTGTGGTTGCAGCCTTAGAAATTGTGACAACTGCTGTAGTCCTTGACAAACTGCCCAATAGTTAAGGTACCATAAGGACTAGTAGAAATGTGCCATTTTTGAGGGTTTTGCTATATGTTATGATTATAAGGACTAGTGGAGTAAAAGGAGCAAAAATGTTAGTTTCTAACGCTAGGTTGTTGAAATGTCCAATTTGTTCGATGTTTATGGATTACTTTCAAACTCAATTCGAGGGTTAATCATATTAAACAACACAAATGCAAGCTGAGTATTCTTCTGCTTGTTTTGAGCTTCATCGCAGTATTTTCCGAATAGTGACTGTCACGTGCGACTACATTATAGCCTATAAGTAGCATCAAACATGGCGGATGGGTAAAATGCATGTGTCGAGTACAATTTATTGTCTTCAAACGACCATGTCAAGGCTATGTAGTTGGCATGTGAGAGCCAGCACGTGTGATGTACATATATATTAGCCGTGATAGTGTTCATATTGGTAGTGAGGGTTTGGGGGAGAGGGCGCAGGTGACCTAATTTGATTGTCAAACGACTTCATGAAAATTCTAGCTGCTGCGTACGCACACGATTAATTAATCCTTTAAAAATCACCTTTGCAAGCCTTTCGTGTAATACAGCTTTCACACCAGCCTTGTCTAAACCACGTGTCTCTAATTCCTGACGTAAATCAACAACACGCAACTCAGAGAGCTTCTTGTCGCCTTGTACCGCCATCTTGTTGCAGCGATGTTGACGAAGTGCCCGGATGAAGCAGGTGCCCCTATGTCTAGACTGGTTCCCTGCCCCAAATGCTTCACCTCAGCTCGCCAGCTGCACAGACTTATGTGGTGTGCGCAACAGAGATAGGGGACCAGTCTAGGATACTTCCAAACGGCCTTGGGCCCAAACGGACATGATCTAAATCGTACCACTTATTTGGACAAAGCAGCCTACCGGTATATATTATATACATACACAAAGATTTCGGACAACTTGGTACTTGGGAGGCAAGCGTGACATTTCGAAAGCGAGATCCGCATATTTGCCATGTTTTTTCCTCAAACTTGTCAATCACATTAGTTTCAAAAGGGGCAGAAAATTCAATACTATAAATGATTTCATTGGATTTATCAGAAAAGACAAGATCAGGCTTGTGGGCCTGGATAGGTCCGAGGCTGTATACGGGTCTATTCCATAGAAGTTTGTATTTATCATTTTCCTTGACGCCCTCTACATATTCTGGGTCGTACCATGGATGGACCTCTGTGTCAAAACCACAAGCATGGCGAAGACGGTAATAAAAGGATCGAGCCACTCTATCATGTCGCTGAAGATAGTATGTCTGTCTCAAAGCTGGACATCCACTGACAATGTGCTGGACAATCTCATTAAATTCATTGCACAATCTACACTTCACATTTACACAATTAAGATCTATTTATTGTCTTTGGTGGTAATTTATACAGAAATAAATATTTTTTTCGAAATAAAAAGGGGGGTGTAGAAATCAAAATAAACAAGCCAGCTGTTAACATAACATCTCAATTCGTAGTGAATACTGTTCTATAAACAGTCAGTACACGCAATAGGCAATCACGTAACCAATCTCATTAAAATCAGATCTTAGCTCTCGCTACCGCTAAACGTTGGTTTAGCGGTAGCGAAAACTAAGATCTGATTTTAATGAGATTGTCACGTAACAGACAGTGTATTCATTAATTTAGGCATCAAGGCCCATATTACAATGCAGATTGGATATTAACATTTGTCACGTGATGTACATGATTAGATTTTAAATCAAGTTACACATTTCTCATTATAAAGATATGTTTTAAAAATCATTCAATCAATCTGGGTCAGACAAATCAATGGCCGTAACTGTTAGCAACGATCCATGGCGTACAGGAGTGGGAGTTCTTGGGACCAACATTGCTCGTGTCCCAAGGACTGGGACCGAAGATATTAAACTTGATGGATGACAATTTCAGTGGTAAATCTTGCCCCTGTTTAATCGGTTAACCAGTGGTCTATTAAAGGCGCTGCGACACACCATGCAGTGTAATGATCGAGTCGTGTAATGCAGGATAAATACGTTGATTGTGGGTTCTACTCCCAGGTTATGCTAATCTGTAAGGCAGCCTGGTATCAGCGATCGCAGTCTTCACTATATTAGTAGTGCGGCGACACCGCGGTCGTCCCTCAGACGCCGTTAAACGGAGAATCTCACCTCGACAAGTGACGAAATATTTGATGTCAAAAGACACGTGGATGAGATTCTATTTATCAATTTATTAGTTAATACTTCCAACTTCTTAAAGCTTGTAACGGTGATACCCCAGTCATTAATGTAAAACGTACAGCTAACCAGTTTCAGTGGCTGGTAGATTAGTGATGTTATTTAGTTGTGACGTCGGATGGTAACCGATGGTCTGCATTGTGATGTAATTCCACCGTAGCGATATCCCCATACAGCTTGACCTCACCAAGCAATATACCCCGTGGATAAATGACTGAACCCGGCCCTCTCTCTCACTCACACATTCTTCGCCAACGGTGAATCGCCAGAACATGGGTATTTAGGTGTTAACAATGTATCCCATTTATAACGGCTTTATTGCATTGACTTTTGTGCACAAGTTTCAAGAAATCTATAATACAGTGATGACAATTCTTTCCACTTATACACACATCTTTAAACATTTGTTTACGCTTTGTATTGTTGCACCTCACGTGACCCCATGAGTAGATCAACAGAAGCGCGTGATCTCGTTCACAGTCGAGGACGAGAGCTCAAAGTCTGGGTCCGCAATGTCTGGCTCGCTGATCGAAGTGGAGTTTACTCCAGAAAACATTGCAATTATCCACATGAAGGGAGAGCATAAACGTTTTAATCCGGAATTCATTGACGCTTTCTGTGCTGCTCTTGATACCGTTGAGAGGTATGTTGAGTGTCGTGCATACTGTATAGTAATGTTTTTAGTTGAATATAACCGATCGCATTTATAAATCCTGACTACAATAATGTTTTGTATTGACCGTCGTTATCTTTTCATGACAGTGTCTCCCGGTAACCGAATTGTTGCCTTAGTGATATTATGTTCCATATCTATATTCAATTCAATTCGGTTTATTTTCGTAAGTGTAGGCCATCGACTGGGCCCATAGTTACATTTGTATTACAATGGACGTGATGTACACAGCTGTTATTGTTGTGACAATACTGTACTACGAAGGGACATCGCTTGATAGATATAGATAGCTAGACGTTCAATTAATTTACAATCAGTTGTAGACATAATGCTATTAATTTTTTGTTTGGTCGGATATTCACAATATTTTTGTGGTAAGTGATCCACGCGTAGCTTGTTATAACCGGAGCAAACCAACAAAAAGTGATACTCGTCCTCCACATACCCAGCATTACAACCACAACATAGTCTTCTGTTACGTGGGATATCAGCGTATCTCCCAGTTTCAACACACAGCTGATGCGAAAAACATCTAAACCGAGCTAGCGCCACTCTCAATTTACTGACGGTCACACAACTAAGATACAACTCTGTACCAAACGATACCTGGAATAGAGAATAAGAGAAAGATTTACTACACTTTTCCAGAAGACTATGCCAATCCTGTTCATAACTACATTTCAGAAGCGACATAAATTCTGTCAAAAACGAATGAGAATGACTTATACACTGGTTTTCCCATACAGAGCCAAAACCCAAACCGAACAATAAAGATTTACATTTTGAGACCCAATTAATTTTAACATTACTTTCTGCCTGCAGCATCATATAATAACATTTCTTTGGAAAGCGACAATCGGACATACTCAATAACCTTATCCAATAACCAACAACTCTTTTGTATGCATAAAGATATAATGGATACGCCTACATTCACCTCGAACCATGTTGTTGGGTGTTGACGATTTGACACCTAGAAAGCGCTTGCATGCCACTGTATGTATAGTTTCCATTTCATCATTCTGGTGTAGACCCCAGACTTCGGAATCATAAACCAAAATAAGGACTATTTTCATATCAAATAAATTATAAGTCATGTCGAAGAGGATGTAATTTTATCAATGACTTTAAAATTCCAAACAATGCTTTTTCCCCTGTAAACCAGCATTAGAGAAATGACTTGACCAGGACAGGCTTCTCGTAAAAGTAACGCCCAAATATTTATAGGGAGACACACACTCCAACTTTAGACCTTTATAGTACCAAATATCTTTTCTTGACAACACTCCACCTTTCTTAAAAACAACCACTTTGGTTTTATCCAAATTGACATCTAGATCATAATCATTACAATACTTTTCTAGAACATCAATACGCTTCTGAATTCCACCTATAGTATCTGCGATTAAAATAATATCGTCTGCAAATAATAACAGGAATATCTCTGTAATATCAGGATGAAGTTGTATTCCTGGTCCAGAATGCTGTTCAACTTCAGCAGCTAGTTCGTTAATGAACATCGAGGATAAAAGGGGGCTTAACACACAACCCTGACGTACTCCTATTGGACACTGAAACATTTCAGAAAATGAATGTTTAAATTTAACACTGGCCTTAACAGCTGTACAAATAGACTGTATAGCTTTTATCCTTTTGCCAGATACACCTTTATTGACTAGTACTGACCATAATTTCATCCGGTTTACACTGTCGAAGGCTTTTGTAAAATCGACAAACAAACCATATACCCTACCCTTACGCTTACTGATATATCTCTGGACAATACACTGTAATATTAAGATATTATCTATGGTGGAGTAATCATGACAAAAACCAGCCTGGGACTCTGCAATTTTACCATAGACCTCACGACAAGACGTGACCCTTCTGTTCAAAATAGAAACATACAACTTACTAAGTGCACTAAGGACTGATATACCCCTATAGTTGGATGGGGAATGGATGTCTCCTTGCTTATGTATCGGAACAATAATTCCCGAACGCAAGTCGAGTATGCAGTATACATGTTATTTATTTTCAACAGTAAAGACAAGAAATAGAAATATGGCAAGATTGACAAATATTTGACTGAAGACAGTTTAATGGATTAAAAGGCAGATGACATAATAATAGTATTTTTCAAATGTTAAGGGCTTACATAGTTTCGGGTCAATACCCAAAATGTCAGTCAATGCCTGGTGTGACCACCATTAGCATTGATCACTGCCACACATCTCCTGTACATTGAGTGGATCAGACGATTTGTGAAGGCCCTAGGGATCATCCTGAACACAGCCAGAGCAGCTGTGCGTAGTTCATCGACAGTTGCAGGGACTGGGCGCACATCGTGCAGACGCCTTTGAACCTCATCCCACAAGTGTTCGATGGGGTTCAGATCAGGGCTGAGGGCTGGCCACGGTAGAACACGAATGTTGTGTTGTTGCAGAAAGGCCATGGTAGCTCTGGCAACATGAGGACGAGCGTTGTCCTGCTGGAAAATGTGTTGTTGATGTTGTGGAAAAAATGGAATAACGTGGGGTCTGATCACTTAGTCGATATACCGCTGAGCAGAGACGCTGTGTCCCCGACCTTGACCAACATTTAGAAAGCACATGGGTCCAAGTGTCGCATTAAGTCCAATCCCTGCCCATATCATGACGCTAGGTCCACCCCATGGATCCCATTCCACAAAGTTTCTGTCAGCGAAACGATCACCTCGACGCCGCCAAATTCTGACTCTTCCGTCTGCATGGGAGACACAAAAGCGACTTTCATCAGAGAAGATGACACTCCTCCACTCACGATGACGCCAATTGCGATGACCCTGTGCCCACCGAAGTCGTGCTTGTCGATGCCGTGGTTGGAGAACAGGACGACGTGCTGACATCTGAGGTTGTTTCACTTGCAGTTAGGAACGGATGTTGCTGGTGTTGACGGGTAATCTGCCGATCTTGTCCGAGGGAGGTCATCTGTGGTCTGTGTAGCATTGTATCGATGCAGGAGACGGTAAATTGTGGTTATGTTAACGTTGAAATGACGGGCAACATCTTGGACAGACTCTCCAGCTTCCAAACGGCCGATAGCCTGGTTTCTCTGAATTTGAATTAGGCGTGGCATTGTTGACCAAGGAGTGGTAGGTCCAAGAATCCACGACAGTTTGTGCATTTTCGATTTAGCGAGAAATGGGTGCATCATACCCACATATTGCGTTGGTGCGTTTTGGCGATTTGTTTTTTATGTTGCGTTTTTACTCGGGGCTTCCAAAATGCAACCAAAAATATTGATAACACCATCAAGCTTCACTACATGCTAAAACTCGTATCAATTTATGGTTCCGTGTTTGTTACCTATTTGCTTAAAACCACTTGCGTTTCTTTTGCGTGTGAGTATAGCAACTCATATCATCAAGACTATCATTAATAGTCGGATCGGTGATAACCATATCTTAATCTGTTGAATTGTTAAACACATCTTTAAAATGATCGACCCATTGTTCTAGTGATATGTTAGGTACACGAGTTGCCACACTCTGTGTTCACATGAAGTTTATGCAAAGCAGAAGTAAACATCATTTCATAAATAAATTGTGGACTTATATCATTTGAGGCCATATCGCTGTCGAAGATAGTCAACCAGAGGCGAAAGAGAGACTTTCCATACTTTCATAGTATGGGATTAGTCTTAGGATTATGCCAGGAAAGAGAACTGTGGAAGAGAGAACGTTCTCAACACTGGTGGAACAATGTCGTCAAACGATCATTTGATGATAAACTGTGGATCGATAACTTTCGCATGACACGCGAAACATTTTATGTTCTTTGCAAGGAACTACGGCCGTATTTTCCTGCACAAGAAATGTATGTGAGGGAACCATTGGAGCTGGATCCCAAGGTGGCCATAACAATTTACTGGCTTGCCTCCTCTGCGAAGTTTAGAACATTGTTGTCAAAATGTGTGAAGCTTCCAGTAGATGACGAATTAAAGGTTGTCTTTAATGGCTTCCAGGAGACATGGGGATTCCCAAACTGTGCAGGGGCAATTGATGGAACCCATATCCCCATAATTGCACCTTCACTAGCTCACGGTGACTACCTCAATAGGAAAGGATTTTATTCTATTCTCCAACAGGCGTGGTGTGACCATCAGTACATAATCACTGACGTGAAAGTTCATGATGCCAGGGTCTTCATTCGGAATTCTTAATGATTATCAGTATCTTGATTTAATATTCTTACGTAAGCAAAAAGAGAATCTGTTCACATGACCAGAGATACTCCAGGAGCATTTATACTTATGAGTAAATATACTTTTACTAGACCTCATCAAGTGTAGCAATTATACTTTTACTCATGTCTCTTTACTCCTGGAGTATATTTACTCACGTAAGCAAATGCGTTCACATGCCACCATAAGTAAATTTACTTATGTAAGTATATATACTCACGTGAGTAAAAGTGTCCATGTGAATGGGGTTTAAGAGACCTGGTGTCAAGCAGCAGAGAAATCGGTCGGGTCATGGCCGAATGGGAGGCAACTCCGCATCCGCCGTTAATCATTCGCGATTTTCCGGTCTATCCATCAAAACAGAACAGCACCAAAACAACTGATTCACCAGAACGGCCTCAACGTTTCCTCAAATATGATTACGTATAGAATTGCTCATCAAATGATAACAACTGTGTTCAAACTAAAAGATGTTCAAAATGTGCTTATTTCAATCAAAGTCTGCCTGTTGTTTTAACAAAAAACGACCCCCACCCCCAGACCCCCCTTCCCCACCCTTATGAAAACCAAATGTAATATGTTGTAGGCAGTACATTTATCTGAGAGAGGATATTTATATTATGGACCTCTCCCTTTTAACAATGTTGGGTCCGTCCTTTTAATCTGGCAATAACGTACCGTTGAAAACTTGGTGAAAAACTAGTCACCACTTGTCAAGACGACACAGTTCAGCACATCCTCACAATCGTCAAAATGAAGTTACCATCTTTTCCTTTGTGTTTTGCAAACCGTATAAAAATTAACCATTATTTAATAAATAATATATATCACGTCGACTATGTTCTGTTGCAGGAATCCGACGTGTCGAGCCCTGATAACCACGGGGAATGGACGATTCTTTAGTAATGGCCTTGACCTTGAGTACATGATGTCTTTAGACGGAAGTGGGTTATCAAAATGGATGACCAGGATCCAGGGGTTCCTCTACAGAGTCGTGACATTTCCTATGCCAACAGTTGCCGCCATCAATGGTAAAACCATTACTTTGCATGTTAAAATGAGTATGTTAAAATCTGACGTTATTTCAGCCATTACACGTTGAAAAAATGGGTTGACTGGTTGTAGCTCTCCTAGGAATCTTTATAATGCGTTTCTATTTAAGTTTATCTCTTAACCTGACAAGTATGGATATGCTAACATGAAAATTTTCGGGACGAGGTGTGGGGTCTAAGTGAATGACAGCGTCACTTCTGTTTGTAGGTCACGCGTTTGCAGGCGGTGGGTTTCTGGCTATGTCACACGACTTCCGGGTGATGAGGAAAGGTCAAGGCTGGATCAGCTGGAACGAGATTTTCATCAAGTTAAGATTCTCGGATTTTCTTATGGAAATTTTAAGGTATAATAAAAAGAACGTCAACGCCAGAAACCGATTCCACTGACAAATTATTATGAATTCCACCGACAAATTCTTATGAATGAGTCACTGAAAATGATGACGCCAGGTTTTCGCGAAACGGGTTGGCATGTCCTGCCCTTCCATTAGCCACAAGGCTGCTCACAATGGAACTTGACACGTGGTCCCTCCCTGCATGGAGAATTGCAGCACATTGGAATACAGAACAATCCCAGAAACCACTCGGCTAACTCCACAACCGCAATCATTACTACGATTGGACGAGCCATGCGCCCAAGAAGAGGACATCTGCCATATTGCTTTGGATGATAGATTACTTCGTTGTTGCACGGAGCCTTTGTTAGATCATGCAAACCTCCAATACTGGATTCTCAGTGCACCGTTTGACAGTGCCACAGGATCCTAAAAAGTCCCGAGGTACACAAAAATCTTGAATGAGACGTGTTTTCTTACAAGATCCTATCAGTGAACTGATACCGAGGACGCCATGTGTATAATAACTAGTTACGTGTAGTAGAGTGTCCATTTGAATGTGGTTACCCTGCCTAGCGCTTGACATTGTGGGGGTGAAGGAAGGTTCCGGGCCTGTATGCTGTGTCGGAGTTGGATATCCATGTTTAACTGTGACATGATATCTCAGCAGGCTAGCACTATCAAACAGGCATTGTTCCTGACTAATCCAAGCAGCCACAAGCACGTATCACGCACACATGCATGCACGTCTCCATGTGACATCACCTCAACCCATTTGACTGAGATAAATGTCGACACAATAACAAAACCGTATCGTTATTCCCATATTAGTCAAAACAAACTTAACTGTGCCCTAGTTTGATGTAAGACATGGCTTATCCAAGTGAATTTGGCTCCACGTGTTTTTTTGTAGGTGCAAGGTTCCAAATGGATCAGCACAGTTACAGGCGGTAGTTCTGGGCGCAAGGTTCACTGCTGAGGAGGCGGCTAGGTACGGCATCATCGACGTCGCTACCGCCCCCGAGACGATGATGCAGGAAGCTGTGACTGTGGCGAAGAAAACCCTAGGGCGTCAACCGTATGACCGCGAGACGCTGACGCAGTTTAAAGCGGACCTGTACAGTTCACTGAAAGATAAAGTAGCCATAAGAAGGCCTCGATTGTAAACACAGAAGTATATTTCCCTTGTGCGTGCGTGCGTGCGTGCGTACGTGCGTGCGTGTGACTAGGTAGGCATGTATGTTTCTATGGGTGTGGGTGGGCGTGCTTGCGTGCGTGTGGGTGGTGGGTGTGCTTGCGTGCGTGCGTGCGTGCGTGCGTGCGTGCGTGCGTGTGTCAATAGGTAGGTTTAGGTAGGGATATACGTTTATACGTTTATGTTATGTTTCTACGTGTGTCCTGACTCAGCATGGGAGGTATGCGGCAATCCTTGCACCTAAAACTGGAGACAATGTGTCGGCTACAGATGCTGGTACAAATGGTATGGTTGGTGCCGTATCCCTACGCCAGGACTGGTACTATAATTACGGGGAGTGATGTGGCTCACAATATAGTCCATATGTTACATATGTATGTATTAAGATCATAATTTGTCTTTATCAACTGGATTGTTGATGTCTGAAATAAATCGCAATCAAGCAAGGAATTAGCATTTATGTTTTTTTCTTAAAGTCAAGATTGGAGATTATATCCAGACATTATCAACAACATGATAGAACAGAACAGACACGCATGATAACCGACGCACCATAGGTTTAGACCAAAACACGAGGTTGTGAAGCATTCCTTAGGGTTGGGGTCTTCTCAAATTCCCATAAAAGTGCGTAAGAACTTGACAATTTGTTCGTCAAAACGTGAGGAGCATGCGGCGATATAATTTTGATTGCTACTAGAAATGACACATACCTTAATGAAATGAATATTAACAAGCCTCCGTGCCGTACAGAAATAATTCCTCTCAAAATGATCAAACGTCCTATGACGTTACTAAAATGTTTAAAGAAAAAGATGTTGACAATCTGTTCTTGCATTTTGAAAATGTGGTAACAAATTTTGAAGAACCGATACAATAACATTGTCTTGTCGCTTTGATATACACTCTTCAAAAAGGGAAATGCAGAGGTGGTATGTAGTTCATTGAACCTGACTACACAAAAAATCCGGCATATACATTGGATATATGTTATTGGAAAATGTTGGTGGCCTGAAAACGCAGCCATTGTCGATTTGCAATGTCTTAAACAGCATTGTTTTTACACTTGTTAAAAAATGTCATGGAGGAAAACAGTAAAGCAAATGTGCACGTGCAAGTTATGGCATTCGTAACTCGTGGTAGTGGCTATAAAAAGGCAAGCATAAGCCAATAATTTGTCATTCAATTGTCAACATTTTTCAATTTCGAAAATACCGAGACTCAGCGCTGCCGATCGGAACATCGCCATAGGACATATCCAAAGAGGGCAATCGCAGTCTTCCGTTGCACGCCACTTCAACGTCCACCAGAGCACCATTTGCGACCGATACACACAGTTCAATTCTACTGCAGACCGTCCGAGAGCCGGCCGACCAAGAGTTGCCACCCCTGCACAGGATCGCTACATTCGACTGTTCCACCTACGTCATCGCAATGCCAGAGCTACGGAGACTGCAGGACGCATCCCTGGTTTAAGGAGGATATCGGACCAGACTGTCAGGAACCATCTCCGCGAGGCTGGAATCCGACCCAGAAGACCAGTTATCGTCCCTGTTTTGCAACAGGTCCATCGACAGCGACGCTTGCGTTGGTGCCATACCTTACAGCCTTGGAATTTGAGAAACTGGAGACGAGTGTGGTTTAGCGATGAATCACGATTTCTTCTTCACCGTCGAAATGAGCGTTTTTTCATTGTTGCTTGTTGCTTCATTTTAAAAAATCAGGATCTTAATTCTGAATTAAAAAATGTCTGGTTTTGCAGCTGAACTTGATGAAGTTGAATATTTAATCTCAATACCAAATCAGTGTTTAAGACCAGCAATATATAGGCTTATATACTGAACCGCAAAAGAAACGTCACCTCAAACTACATTGCATGAAAAGTTGTCATTTAAATATCTTGGTAATGTTTGGCAAAGTTTCTAATATCGAACATTATCTTGTCCGGAAAATTTTGATGATAAAAAACAAAGCAGATGACAATAAAACTGATCGCCTAAACGCATCACGGCAACGGCCATGGTAACCCGATGCACGTGAGTTCCGTGCAAATTGAAATGCACATGCGTTCCCCCATTTCTTGCCCTATAAAAATTCACCCAGATCGGATAACATTCATTCGTTATTGAATTGCTACCACATGCCAAGATTGACAAGGAATCAGCGACACCAAGCCCTTGGACGATTGCAAGCTGGACAAACAGCCGTTATTCGGATGCTTGTGTTGTTGAGAGAGACTCGTGGGGTGGTCCGAGCATCATGGTGTCGGGTGGAATTGGTCTTGCACAGAGGGTCGGCCCTGTGGTCTTCCAGAACATCGGTCCAGGGAGAGGCAATAGTGTCACAGCAGCTCGGTACATTGATCAAGTCTTGAGACCACACGCCATACCTCATTTGGCACGTCGCCGCAACCACGGGTTTCAGTATGATAACGCCCGTGCCCACACCGCGAGAGCAACAAGAGACTTCCCCTAGCAGAATGGCATCAGAACCATGCAGTGGCCTGCCCTCAGTCCCGATTTAAATCCCATAAGACTTGTGGGACAAGATTCAAAGACGGCTGAGTGACGTCCGACAAAGGCCGACAACTGCAGCTGAACTGCGTCAGGCGTTCCTCAGAGTGTGGGCTCAAGTGCCTAGGGCCTTCATCAACCGCCTTATCCATTCCATGTTTCGACGTTGCACGGCAGTCATCAATGCACATGGCGGACACACGAGATACTGACTTGTGATGACATTTTCTCAGAGACTAATGTTGTGTTTCACTTTAAGAACATTTGACACTTTAATTTCAACCTTGATGATCAGTTTCATCTTTTTGATATGTCTCAAAGTATGTTTACAGTGTTTGGACAAATAAGGTTTCTCATATATCTATCCATGGTGACGTTTCTATTGCGGTTCAGTATAGATGGAGTTGTTTGTTGTTTAACATCGCACTCAGCAATGTTCCACCCATATGACAGCGGTCTGTAAATAGACGAGACTAGACCAGACAACCCAGTGATTGATATCATGAGCATCGACCCACGCAATTGGGATACGATGACATGCATCAACCAAGTCAACGAGCCTGACCACCCGGTCCCGTTAGTCGCCTCTTGAGACAAGCATGGGTTGCTGATGTAGAGCTCTTCGCGGGTCTGTCCACAAGTGAAAAGGTTGCTTCTGCTTTCTGTCACGGTTCATGGCGCAGGGTCTGAATGTCCGTGCAGCACAGAACCGTGGCTGCACATGCGGTATGAGACCTCATCGCTGGTCCGAACAGTCCAGTCACATTGCTGCAGTCATGCATACAGGCTTGAGTTTAGGCTATCCGAAAAGGTTTTATCTGCGAGGATCTCCCGAAAATGCTGTCCCAGTAATTAATGAGAAATCTTGCTGATAATCATTGTATCACCATTTATCATAACCCTCTTAGGTAAAAGCTTAAAGCTTTCTAGCTTTGTACAAGAACCTAAAAAACCTTGTGGTTTTCTTGTTTATGTTTTATGTGAAAGAATGTAAGAATGAAAGAATGTGATATCTGGAAAGAGATCTCCTGTGCGCCGACATCCCAACTTTCACGGTGTCTTGGTGACGACGCGTTCGGAACCTATACACAAGACGCTATGGAAGTGTTCGAAACCCAATTCTGGATTACACTTCTGGAGAAAGGTTATATTTGTCAACCTATTTCAATTTAATCAGTTGAATGCAAACGTTTCTTTTCAGAACATGCCTAAGAGAAAAGCCATCTCGGATGTAGAAACTAAATTATTTTAAAATGCATTGGCATAGCTTTCCCGTTGATATAATGAACGCCCTTTACACATATCTACATAATTCTTTACAACCATCTGTCCCTTGCATGTAAAGAGTGGGAAAATAACGAAATGATAATTGTCTGTTATTTATCTAGAAACTAATGACACAAACTATAAACATTCAAAGCTAGCTAGCTGCTACTACATGACTCGGTTAATATCCACCCAAAGCAGGAGACACATACATGTCATCCACAAACTAGTCTAGTACACTGTAACACTTTAATTACTATTGGTAAAATGTTAAACCGAATTTATGTAGTAAAATGGTTAATAAATATTCTCTTTGTCTTAGTATCGTCTTGAGTAATGCAATTTGACATTCATTCTATCTTCTTTATTTGCATAGGGGTACAAACACGCGGACACCTACGCCACATGAAATGTATTGTGACGTCAAGAGACCATCCTATCGCAGCAACTCGTGTTCTCCTAGCATTGCGAAGCCCTAACTTCTATGAAAGGAGCTTCGATACGGCTGTCATTTTCCTCACAGCGATACTAGTGCTGTCGTTGTGTAGTGTCTCTTTTGGCAGTGTTCAGAGTTAGAAGCGGAAATTAGAGAAAATGGTGTCTGATGATACAGTCTACGGAGTCCTCTTGGTATTTTCGGTCGCGTTTGGATTGTATACCAAGAATCTTAAAGGGGTTGATACTAGACAAACCGTATCTACCATAGCCGGATTTTGTACGATCCTGCTTATATGCCACTTGCACGTTTTTCACTCAATTATCACCGTTATTGGAACTTGTGTGGTCCTGAAATGTGTGCCTCACCGGTAAGTTGATATTGCGCCGATGTTGCAGCACGGACATTAATTAGATCTGCCCGCGTCTGTGTACTGTAATATGTTAATGTTCTGTGTTGATGTTTATACACACAGTCGATGTGGTGATGTCACTGGATTCGTGGAGCTCCGTATCCGTCATTCAGTCTTATCAGCTGGTCCAGCTGACCATCGGGGATCAATGAATAAGGATATACGGCTTGAGTGACATATCAATAGATAACGATGAACAAATGAATTATAACGTCAACCACAGACATGTCACCATTGTGTTTCGATACCCTGTGTCGTGTCATGACCTCCCTCCACGCATCCCACTACTCACCACACCCTCTCAGATTCATGCTTTTTGATTCCATATACCGTATTCGACGTAATAAGCGCCCCGCTCTAATAAGCGCCCACGGCGATATTTGCTAATATATTGGCCAGTGAACAATCCTAATTAGCACCCCTTCTGATTGATCAATGTACACAAGACTTATTTATTCGCGTACAATATGCATTCATGTGTTATATGCACACTTAATTATGGGCAATTAAATTCTGGAAAAATATATCTGTCGTACATAAACATTTCAGGCTGTCAGCATAAACCACGAAATTTATCTTTAACTCTGTTTTTTTTACTTATATAATATTCTAATAAGAGCCCCCTGTTTCTAATTTTGAGAGCGCCCTGGGCGCTTATTACGTCCAATACGGTAAGCATATATATTTCATGTCCTATTTTATCAAATGAAATGATTAATTATTTGGCAACAATTCAGTTTAATGGACAATAATTGGCTGAGACAGGTTGTTGACTGCCTCACACTTCAGTGAACTCGCTACCTCTTTGATCCTTGGTTTAATTGTGTTCGGGTTAGGGAAGTTGTTTGTTGTTTAATGCCGCACTCAGCAATATTCCAGTCATATGACGGTGGTCTGTAAATAACTAGACAAGCCTGTGATTGATATCACGAGCATCAATCCATGCAATTAGGATATGATGACATGCATCAACCAAGTCAGCGAGCCTGACCACCCAACCACGTTAGATGCCTCTTACAGGTTACCCCAACTCTACCCTTAGTATATGGATCCCCTTTCTGATCAAACACCCCTTCACGATCCTTAGGGTGAGTTGTGATTTAGGGTATAACTTAGCTATCTCTTTTAAGAAATGTATCCAATGAGGTATATTCATGCAGTTTTATCAAGTTTTATTCGAGAAATGGCTATAGTGTAACAGGACACATAAAGGTTAATGATTATGTGTGTACTTGGTAAATGAGTACTAATTGCTTGTGATAGCGCCCATGGTCCCATGTTGGCTAATTAGATAAACGCGTTAGCCTAGCTCTGTTTCAAGCAATGAGAATTCTATCCTTCATGGGGCGCTAATTGAAATCCGAAAAAATGTGCATGGTGAAGTGCAATATTCCTGATTGTAGAATAATAAGAATGGTATAATAATAGTTTCTAGAATCAATAACCATGATAAATCTGTAACATGTGACTGATATTAATAAATCTTCTTTTTTACAGGAACTGTCATATTGCTTGCTTCATTTGGAATTTTGGATATCTGGTAGTATTCCGAACAGTTCATCTTCTGGGAATTCCTGCTCCACCTCCTCTTTCTAATGCTGTGCAACTGTTCCTGACTTTAAGGGTTTGTCTTTAGTTATCTTCCATGATATCGGGGCAGTGGGGTAGCTTCAATTTCCAGAATCAGTTTCAATTCCCCACATTGTTACCATGGGTACAATATGTCAAGTCCATTTCTGGTGTCACCCAGTCGGGGTATGGCTGACATATTGCTGTACCTACAACATGTGTGTCACTATGTCACACAATGAACATACTATGTGATTACAGTACATTGATTCAGACTAAACAATTTGCCAAATTTTGTATCTGTTGAACTTAAAGACATTTTGTATATTTTCAGTACTTTAACATGTTAGCTATGAAGCCAGAACTTAGTAACATCAGCAACCTCATAATTGTCATTCAAATCCAACTTTGTCAGTTCAGGTTTTCTAGCCTTTATCTACCAAATAATTATTACCCATTATTACACAGTCACATATCAGTGTCACACCTACGTAGGAATTCTGGGTTACATGGAATAGGTCACCAGCAACCTGTGCTTCTCAAATAGCAACATAATGAATCGGCTGGTCAGACTGGGTGACTTGGTGACTTGGTCAGACTGGGTGACTTGGTGACTTGGTCAGACTGGGTGACTTGGTGACTTGGTCAGACTGGGTGACTTGGTGACTTGGTCAGACTGGGTGACTTGGTCAGACTGGGTGACTTGGTCAGACTGGATGACTTGGTCAGACCGGGTGACTTGGTGACTTGTTCAGACTGGGTGACTTGGTCAGGCTGCTGTCAATTTCACACATTGCACTAATAACAATGTCTCAGACAGAAAAGGCGCTTCAGACAAAGCATTGTTCCTCCTAACCTTACTGAAACTGATGCCAAAGGGTAACCATGGTAACTACTCTCTACCATCGTAACTGTTGTAAGTCCTCCTGTCTGCTATTGTTGCAGATGATTGGACTAGCGTTTGAGATCCATGACAGCAGGATGGCTGTGTTCAAGGAGGATGCCACACAGGAGGAGAAGAGACTCATAAAGAAATATGTTCATATCGATCCAAGCTTCTCCGACATCTTCTCCTATGCCTACTGCTATATTGGAATGATGACAGGTTGTTATTTCTCATGTGTAACATTCATGGAGTATTTGTGCATTATGATTGATTGTGTATGGTGAGTGGGCAAGCGGTCAATAGCGCCAGGCTAACAAGCGCCAGGTGCTGAGATAGTATCTTGCTAGTGACTGGTTCGTTATTCAGCCTTGGCACCAGCAATGTTTACAGGTCTCTACAGTGTTGTCACTACCCCTAGTGTACAGTACATACACCTGTGCACTCAAAGGAACCCACTCGTCCGATGGTATATGACCAGATGGTGGAAACGCGAATACGTACATACACCCGAAACACAAGTGTCAAAACTTGTGGTGTCACCCTGGGTAAGTGACTTAGTTCAAATGTGCCTCTGTTCACCAAGGAGGGAATGGGCACCCAAACTGTGAGGTGGATGTAAAAACCTTCCAGCGCCCCTAGGCAGGTTGGGTTGTCTATTCCCCAGGGAGTTGAGAATAATAACTGGAATGCGAATGGATTCACTGGTCAAGCTGATACATGTGTATATAATGGGGGTGAGGGGGGCCCTAATGTTAAAGGCAACAAAATTCGCTGTGCAGAGTTGCATCCCTTTGACATCCCCAAAACCTATGATTGTGGGTTCAAATCCCGGTATACCCTGATTATGTTTCTAGGTTTGTCAGCACCATACCCATGCTCTTGAGTTCCTCAAAAGTGGTAAACGTCTCACTCCTGCATCGCTTCTGACCTTCCTCCCACATTAAGCTGACAAGCCATGACTACTGTTAGAAGGGACATTGAGCTCAACTCACTCACTTTATTTGGTAGGAATATGAGTTTGCTGAAGCCATTATCAATATAGCTGCATGTTTACTGAATGTGTGGGTCCGCTGTGATTCTCTTTCATGATGGAATGTCTTTCATGTCAAGTGTCAAATTTTCATGTGTCATGAATTGAATTACAAATTTAACGTTAAGGTTAATTACTAATGGGGTTTGATCATCTCAGGCCAAGAGGACAACTAATTTGCTGACTGATACAATCTGCTCTGGCTTGTTGAAGTAGTATGTAATAAGTAAGACATTCATATACTATTACTTGAACTGGGGGGCAAGGGTGGCCCAGTCGTCTAAGGCGCCGCGATTCGCTGTGCAGAGTTGCATCCCTTGGGCACCCCAGAAACCTATGATTGTGGGTTTGAATCCCGGTTCGCCACGATTATGTTCCTAGGTTTGTCAGCACCATATCCGTGCTCGTGGGTTTCACCGAAGTGGTAAATGCCTGAGACTTACATCGCTTCGGGCTTTCCTCCCACATTAAGCTGACACACAGCGATATAACTGGAATACTGTTAAAAGCAGCGTTAAACCCAACTCACTCACTCACTTGAACTAAATTGTTTTTGAAATTTAGTGAAATATATTTTCACAGTTTTCCCCTGCTAAAGAAGTGTGAAATAAGTCTTGTTTGCGCAGTTTTGCCCCGTCACTAATCTGCGTGTGACCTTGTTACTGTTGTTGCAGGCCCGTACTACAAGTACCGTACCTATCAGGACTGGCTGGAGGAATCCAATACAGAACACATTGCCACTCGTCCACCGTTCTGGGAGAAAGTCAAACCACTCCCCCTCATTCTGGCGTGCTTCCTGGCCTTCTCTCACTATTTCAATATCCAGGTAGGACTGTTCCTTCTGATGGTAACCATGGTGACAAAGAATGTGAAATTCATTGTCTTGCGCTTGTTGGGTTCCAAACCAGAGATGGTCGCCAGTATTCAATTCTTTGTAGAGCTGGAATATGAGGATATATTTTATCATAGACTTACGACAGTCGTAGCCGTACAATCCCTTTGTGATGGTTACAGTGTGTGAAATGACTGATTGTATGACATACAGGCTTGTGTAAGCTGTCAAGCTGGTTTGCCTGACCGGGACTCGATTATTTGCAAGCCACCATAGTTTGAATATGGCAGACTGCACGTAAAACAATACTCACTCACTCATTCACTACTCTGTAATATGATCGATGTAGCCAAATGATTTTGATGTTTATTACATTCATGGACTATAACTTGAAGTAAAATGTTTTTGAAATAAAGTACACATTTTCACAGTTATTATCAGTGTGTCAATTCTTTTTAATTTGTTTGTGTGCATTTTTTACAGTATGTAGAAACGGATGAGTTCTCTGACCAACCGTTCTGGTTTCGATTGTTCTACATGATGCCGATGTTTATCATCTTCCGGACCCGCCTGTACATCGCGTGGCTGCTGTCCGAGTGCATGTGTATCACATCAGCTCTCGGAGCATACCCGGTCAAGTCCAAACCCAAGTGTGGACAAGGCCCTACTGATCTCAAGGCCCTGGAAGACACGTACGTGTAACCTGTCGGCCCTAAAGGCTGGATAGTGTGTCAGTTATCTTGGAGAAACGTCTGGTACAATTCCCCAAATGGAACAATCATTATACAATTTAAACAACCAATGTTGGTGTAACTGGGGTATATTTAGGTTGTCACTGGATATAACAAGGTATAATTGTTACATATGTCATGTATTTAGGAAATAATCGACGAGTGGGAGTCTCCAGAAATGATGTTATGATAGATTATATTTTATCGTGAATAAACCACGCTTCGTTCTTCATTGTTCTTTGCGATTTATCACGTAGTTATCGCATAGATGATATTAATTATGATTTATACCATGTATGGGTAAGCATTGTTGAAGCAAGTATGAAGACACAAGTGTAAACTTTTAGTACAGCACATTTCTCAAGAGATTATATATATTATCCTTTTAATATCCCATTGCATAAAGAGTAATAACATCTTCTAGGAGTCTGCAATTGATTTTGATGTAGATGACTTTGTAAGTTGTTTTTCTGTTCAGCTTAGTTTTCTTGTCGTGTTGTTTGTTGAAGCTGAAACATGACAGAAAGTGTTCTTGTAGCTTTTGCAGAAAGTTTCATGATAGCAGTTTTCTATGTGACTTCAGGCAGAACGAATCTGATAAGAAGTCTGTTGAGTACAACTTCCAGTCTGTGCACAATCTGGACATCTGGGGGTGTGAGTTGGCGCCGACAACCAGGGAAGGTCTTCGCAGCTGGAACATGACTGTACAGTACTGGTTGGCTACGTACATCCATCGTCGCATCCCAGCCAATCTCAAGGCCTACAGGTACTATATTTACTGTTATACACCAGCCAGTCTCAAGGCCTAAAGGTACTATATTTACTGTTATACACCAGCCAGTCTCAAGGCCTACAGGTACTATATTTACTGTTATACACCAGCCAGTCTCAAGGCCTACAGGTACTATATTTACTGTTATACACCAGCCAGTTTCAAGGCCTTTAGGTACTATATTTACTGTTATATACCAGTCAGTCTCAAGGCCTACAGGTAATTATATTTACATGAGAATAAAATATGTTTAAACTAATTATATTTACTGTTATATACTGTTATGTACCAGCCCATCTCAAGGTGTTCAGGTACTATATTTACTGTTATATACCAGCCAGTCTCAAGGCCTATAGGAACTATATTTACTGTTATATACCAGCCAGTCAAACGCTCAAACTCCTCTGTACTGTATATAAGTTTGATATCAATATATCAGTTTGATATTTTGTTATAACCCCCATAGCCTGTGGGATGGGATAGTAGCAGTTAGGATCGTGCATCTGGATGTTAGGAATGTCCAAATGACTGACACAGGTAAACAAAGCTAGATTGTACCTTATACATTCTGATCCTTGCAGGGTGTCGATCACGATGGGCGTGAGTGCGTTCTGGCACGGCATCCACCCTGGATACTACCTCAGCTTCCTGACGGTACCACCGATTCTCATGGCAGAAACAGCCATGTCCAACACATTCCGCCGAGATGCTTCCCCCCTGCAGCAGCAGCTGTTTGACTGGGGTTGCTGGTTCTTCAAGATGAGGGGGTTTGACTACATGTGCATGGGGTTCCTCTTGCTGCGGTTAAATTCCACCCTAAACTACTGGTGTTCCATATACTTTACTGGACATATTGTGGTTGTTTTGTTTTTGGTTATTGGAAATGTTTTTATGAAAAAGACAAGACGTGAAGTGAAGAAGGATTAGATTTGAATTAACAGGGAGAATATGTAATTCCAATGAATGGGTCCAGTATGACATGCCAAAGAGTTGAACACGTGATATTCAAAAATACACATTGTTTAAAAGGGCCACTGTAAAACTCAGGGAAGAAAATGACAGTGATTAATGGAGTTTGAACATGACCTTTTCTCTCTTTATCCTGTTAATAGTAACATGATAACATGTTCTGAATTTGGTACGAAAACTATGGAGTAAACATTTCGGAGTAAACATTGTTGTACTTAATGAGACTTTGCCAGGTTATGAAGACATCAGGATACATTGAAGAACTATATATGTATAAGAAGATCTTTTAAATTATTGCAAGTAATGTTTGGCAATTTTTTTTTTTTTTTGTTGATCAAAAGATTGGTTTCTTAAAAAGAGGTACAATGTTTTGACACGTTAGAGTGTTTTGAAGAATATGGTCCAGAACAATACTCAATATGTTTTATCCATAGGCACCTTTTTGACATATATATTTATATATACTTTCCATATTTTTGTTTTTAATTTTTTTAAATATTCTTTTGGGATACATCTAGATTCATTTATGCGTGAGCAGCATTTCAAACATGTTTCTTGTGTTCAGTTAAAGCCAATTTGGGCGTACTGTGTCCTACGTTTGACTCTTTTCATATTGCAGGTGAAGAGACCACGCCCAAATTATCTTCCGGTTATTAACCATATTCTACACTTAGTCGTAGTGTTAAGGGTGATTGTGGAACAGGGCCTAGGTAATCGGTTTTGGTATCCTGTGTTTCGATATGTGGTGATGATGTGAAGAGTTTGAAACTAGAATAAGGGAACTTAAAGATGTTCCGTGTATGTGATTGTTGCTTCCTCTGGTTCATTGTGTTCATTTGGAGATGAAGACCTCATGTAATTTAACATTGTCAGTTGCATCTGGAGTTTTCACTATCTTAACTAAATGAATATGGAGACCTTTTATTTTTCTGGAACAATATTTGGCTCTGGGTAGCATTTTGTGTTTGACTAGTCAATACTGAGTTATGTCCCCCTGAACAGGCTATGGGATAAACATATGCAGACAACTGAAGGATTTATATAAATTGATCATATGATCTGACATATACCGGTAAGTTACAAGTTTCCTAGTTGAGCAGTCAAATGTCTTTCAATGATGGCTATCATTGATACTAGTCACGTCTTTGTTACTGATATATTCTTACGAAGCCTCCACACAGGAACTGCCTAATGTGTCCTGCCTCAGCACTTACTCCTTGATGCACTGACTGTACATGCATCTCAGCCCTTCTACGTGTGTTTCTGATAATTAAGATAACTGACATTTGTTTTGAAGCCTTGTTTTTGTTTGGCTTCCTGTGTAGGTGTAGTTGGGCCGTCAGTATTCCTTGTAGCTTAAGGTCACACATTTTTTATGTTTGTTTCACAGGCCCTACGTCCCAACTGAAAAGCAGCTGAAAAAAAAAATTAGGCACAAAAATATTTAGTTTTATTATGTCTCCCGCTAGTTAAATAGACCCTCTTATAAAACATAAAACATTATACATAAATTCTATATCTACATCACTGGCAGTCATTCAAGAAGCCAGCTGCAGTTTTAACTCCATGGTAGAATGACTTTATATCAATAAATAAATGATTGACATAGCTATTTATTTTAATTTTTATTTCGACCAACCTTGTGTGGAAAGGCTGGAATAAAACTGTGAAACATAAAATTAAAATAATGTTGCCTGAACATACACAAGGAGGGTATGCTGTGTGAGATAGGATCTGCTTAATCTAGGAAATGAGCAAACCTTTAGAATTCTTATGAAAGTTATCACATGTTCATGTGAATGAATAGACTTTGTTAATTTAAACACTTGAATGATGGATATGGCTAAAATGCGACAAAATATCCTATGTTAGATGTTTTCTAAGATTTGAATGAGAGAAAACCTCTGATATTAGCTGATTCTCTTTCATTGTGGTCACAGACTTGCTCATAGTTGAAGATTTTCGATTGAAGTTTAACAAGTAAGACCTTTTCACCTATTTTACCCATATTTGATACGTACTTGATTGTGTCATAATTCCAACACATAATCTCAGTCACATGAACAAGCCCTGCAGTAATCATGACAAGATTTCAAGTTAGTAGCAAAGGTCAATTTTCAGTTGGTAATAATTCCCTTATCAGTGCTTGTCAACACTATAATTACAGATAGTTTACTGATAGCCAGTGTATTGAAATACAAAATAAGTGTTGTGTGGACAAAAAGAAATGTTTTCAAGTACATGAGGTGTGTGTATGATACACCTGCAAAGTATATCAGGATTTTTGTGATAATTAATATGAAGGTTGCAATACATTGCCAAATACAAATGTCTCTAAAAGATAATAAAAACAATATGAAATACAGATATGACTACCAGATAAACTGCCAAACATTAACTATAATATAGCATTTAATGCCACACACAGCCATGACTAGCGTAACAATAGGTAGATTGGCTGCAGGTTTCACTTTAGGTAAGGAATGAATTAACTTCAAAGAACATAAGAATATGTAGCTGTGAAAGTATGGCCAAATAGCAATACTTGTCAAAGAGTACTGCAATATATCCTGGGACACTTAGTTGCAATCCACCCAAACTACAATGTATTGTTACACTCCTCCAGGACACACTATTGTACTTTTATCCCCTAATCACCCATTTTACAAATCATTAATCCTCTCTTTATCTTCGGACTATTTACACAAATTTTTCATTTTGCCATTTTTTTTCATTGTTACGAAGTTGTTTCATCGTAAAGGATTTTAATGGATTGTTCAATCTTTTTCGAAATTCTTTGATAACTTGGTCTTAAATTCCTTGAGTAGCATTACTTCGATTCTTTCCCTGAAATAATAATCCTTGGTATCAACATTAGACTAGATAAACACTTTACTGTCATCATGTTGAGAGAGACACCTTAAGATGCAGCACTTACTTATCCTGTTTATCTGTTTTGAGGATTGTCCAAGTCTAAGAAATAGTTTTTGGCTATCATCCAACATTCCGACTGTAAACACTTGTATTTTATTACATTCCTCTTCTGAAATTATAATCCTTCATATCAATTTGCTTCTAACACTAGACTAGGCGAACACTTTGCATAATATCATATCATGTCATGTTTAAGAAAGCTGATTTAGCTGATTTGATTATCAAACATTGTAATATTGCTATGAAGTTGTTTTGATGTTGGCCTGGAACTGGGGGTTCCTCCTAGGTTGTGTCCAGCTAAATATCCCTTCCTGATGACCCCCCCCCCCCAGATAACAGAAAATGGACTGGTCCCCAGGACTTTAGGACGAAAGTCACATATATGTTATTGTGATAGTTCTACCAAGTACTTTCACTTCTGTACCTGAATATTTAGGGAATGATAGAGCCTGTGTGATGAGTCGGAGTCTGGTTTGCTGTGGGACGTACTAGTATGTGCTTGCTAAACATGCTGAAGATAAGGTTTAATTCCTGAGGCTGCAAGACAGTGTGTACATTTACTCTGTTATCAGTGACTTAAGTAAGATCAGTAAGTAAGATGTCATAGCTTGTCACGGACTACCTTGGGGTGATACTACAAATGCTTTCATAAATTGTTGCCACTCGTTTACTTGAAGTGTCCCTTTTGGTCCAGTTTATGACGAGTGAGTGAGTAAGGTTTTACACCACTATTTCTAAGCAATATTCCTGCAATATCACAGCAGGGGACACCAGGAATGGGAATCACACACTGTACCCATGTGGGGAATCAAACTGGGGCTTCGGTGTGACGGGCGAACACTTTGACCACTGGGCTACCCCACCGCCTCCAGTGACGACAAATGTACCACACCAGTTTGCCCTTCTATGCATGTTTACACTCTGCCATCATACAGCTGGAATATTGCTCTCTCAGCAGGTGCTGAGAGTTTGCTTGAATATACAAAACGTCAATAATAAATGCTTATTGTGGAGTTTGGTGGGTAGTGTGCAGTGTTATTTGTCTTTATTGTTCAGGCCAGTGTCAAACAAATCTGCACTTTGGATTTGCATGTGTATGTGAGTGTTAGTAGCAGACCAGAGCTCTGCCAACCAGAGCCGTCCTTTTGGTTTCTTTCACTGTCATATCTGTCAATTCATTGAATTACACATGTAGGCACCGATACTATAGACACTGTTGCAGATGATTTATTTATTGCACAGAGATATGAACATGAGAAGTACATTTATATCCCGATACTGCAGACATGCCATTTCATCAAGTGTGCTGACATCAGGGGCAGTGGGGTAGCCTTGTGGTTAAGCGTTTGCTTGTTACGCGGAAGACCCACATGGATGCAATGTGTGAAGCCCATTTCTGGTGTCTTCCGCTGTGATATTGCTGGAATATTCCTAAAAGCGCCGTAAAATCATACTCACTCACTCACTGTCCTGAAATTATGTTCCATGGAAAATGTGAAATCTTTCAGGAAGGTAGAGTATTTGTACATTGAGACGTCAAGGTTGAGCTATAGAGTTCTGGGTCCAGTACCAATAGATCCAGGTGATAGTAGACTGCCATGCTTCCTCAACCTGTCATATAGCAATCTTTGAAAAGTGGAATGTTGTCCTTAAGCAGTGCTTGACATTTTTCTCCTCGGATATATTGGATTTTTTAATTCCATTTCTCCACGATTCCCTCCTTGTACATCTTGCCAAACAAAGACTCATATTTTTCAGAAATGTCATGCCTTAGACTAAACAGGTCAAAGTATGGTTGACATAATATTTATCTGGAAAAGGAGGTGCTAGCATGCATGGTTTTATTGTAAAGTACACATACATAATATTCTATGTACATCTGAACAGTGCATCTCAAGATTCTACTTACAGGTACAATCCGTGCCCCAGACTTCAGTGTCTAGTAGCCCGAAAATGGCCTCTGGCATCATTTTCAGTAGAATTTAGTGTTATTATATGGACTATTAGTAGCTGAGCTCACTGAAACAGACCTTTACTAGACTCAGGCTACAGACTTGTGGCTAAAAGTCGCAGACTGCATTTAACATGAATTGAAATGTCATGTAATATCTTTTACAGTTTATATTAAACTTAAAAGAATTTTAAGTTTGTCACACATGGGTGACCTTTGATCGCTGCTTAATGGCTTGTAAATGACCCATGTCAGTGGACCTTCACCCAAATCAAATATTTCATTTTTCATTTGAATTTCATAATGTTAATAACTATATGTCATTTATATACCTTTCTCTTTGCTATACACATTGAATGAAATAAAAGACATCATACTTAAAGAGGGGGTCTTGTTTCTTCTGAAATATCTTAAGTGTTTCTAGGAACCTACATCTGGATGGTGCTAAGATCATGTGTCAATGATAGCCTTTGATACATGCCGGTACTAAGATACATGCCGGTACTAAGATACATGCCGGTACTATGATACGTGCCGGTACTAAGATACATGCCGGTACTATGATACGTGCCGGTACTATGATACATGCCGGTACTATGATACATGCCGGTACTAAGAGACATGCGGGTACTAAGAGTCATTCATTATGTTCCTGTATCAAGTTCCCCAGAGGAATTTAAGACTTGTAGGCTGTATGACATTTTTAATATGGCTACCTCTTTCTTGGAGGAAACATGGCAGCTTAATCAGTCAGAGGAGAAGATGTTAGCAGTGGACCCTTGGGGCTTGATGGACTGGCAGGTCATGGCAGCTGCTCTCTTGACCTTCAGCTCATTGTGAGTCCAGGGTGAAATATCGGAAGATACATATCCTTGTTGTACAGGACAACAGACATTCAGCACGATTATCATACCTCCATGTCAGAATGATGAGATCTGACTGGTCCACATGACCTTGGTAAACTACTCTGTATCCCGCCCTGGGGGGGGATATAAATGTCTCAGTGGGGGAATAAATCCCTTATACCCCACCACGAGCAGGTCAGGCTGCACATGGATTTCTGAGAGGCAGTGATAGTCACGTGATATAGCACAAGATCACCTCAGCTCAACTGAACAGCTGTTTTCTATCAATTTTTAATTAGTTTTAATTCTTTAACAATGTCATACTTAAACATGTCGGTAGTATACTCTCGGGATAGATGGGGTATTGTGTCCCTCATAGGTTTTATACCACGGACAGATAAAACCCCATGTACCCCTCTTGATCCTGCTACAACTTATAGTGTAAGCTCATATGAACCCTTCATAGCCGGTTGGCACATGAGTGCTGAGTATATTGCTTCAGGTACTGAAATAGTAACAGAAACACAACAAACATTGTAATCACTACAAGGCGTGGCTTTCATTGAGACGTGAACACAGTAAAAAGTAAACTGACACCAATGTCCGAAGTATTAGTTTATTGTTACGCCACATCCACTGACACACATGTACATTATACACAATCTGAAACTATACTGGACAATACCATATATACATCTACTTATCAGAGGACATGTACATCATACAACTGAGCTGGCCACAGCTTACACAGTACAACACAGTACAAACTGATGGTGTATCTGTGACAGCAGCCTTATACAGCAACTGATGCCAACAAAACAATCATATACACCCCATGGGCTGGCCACAGCCTTCTTAGTAGTAATTAGGGCTGGGACCAGTCCAGGTACCCACCACCCTATTACCCGACCATACCCAGGTACCCACTGTAGATATCAAGAGATAGGTACAAACTGTCTGATAGGGAAAAGGTTGATCGTAGCCCTGGTAAAAGGTATTTAGATACATGTATAAAACGATCTGGTCATTCAGACACTGAAGTTGACAGCATGAAGTTTTATCTTTATTCAATCATATAAAAGTCAGAAGGAATGGGTGCATTGTCAGAAAGAAATGGGAACATTACTGACTCATAGTGTAACCATAGAGTTTTAGATAATTTTTGTCATTAAATAATATATCACGTGACTAAGCACGGATCCGGGTAGTCCTGTGGGTACCCGGGTCTTACTCAGTACCAACCCAACCCAATTTACCGATCCCAGCCCTAGTAGAAATTTCACATTCTTCAAATGTGAACCTGACAGAGCACAGAGGAAATGTAAACTTGGCAACACAACCCTGTTACTCTACGTGACTCTAAATATATATGGCATGGCTAAGTGTTGTTTGTTTGTTGTTTAACGCTGCACTCAGCAATATTCCAGCTATATGGTGGCGGTCTGTTAATAATCGAGTCTGGACCAGAAAATCCAGTTATTGACATCATGAGCATCAATCCACGCAATTGGGATACGATGACATGCATCAACCAAGTCAGCAAGGCTGACCACCAGATCCCGTTAGTCGCTTCTTACAACAAGCATAGTTGGTGGTATCCAAGAGGTTAAGCAGATTGAAGACTCAGATCCAACTCCCCACTTGGGTACAATGTGTGCCGCCCATTCTAGGCGCCCTCCATTGCCTTATGGCTGGAATGCTGCTGACTGAGCTAAACCCTTACTCGTCCACTGGAATGTACTGGATTCAAATACAGTATCTGTCAAAGTTTGAAGTGACAGTCACCTCACTGCAACAAGGAGGCTTAATTATCCTGCTTTGAACATTTTTTTCACTTACATCATGCCGTCAATAGTATAGAAAAAATCCAACCCACTTCCACGAGTTTGGTGTCCACACACCAAAGATGATGAATTGGGTGATTGATTTTACAGGGAAGGGACACAACTCTGTATAGCCCTTTAGTGTCCCGAGGACGAGTACAGAATGCATGTTATTGCGAGGGAAGGACGTGTTGGTACGTGTAGCAGAAACACATCAGATGCCTCCAACATTCTTGTTATCTCACAAAAGAGGTGAAAATCTGTTTAAAAAACATGTAGTCAAGTTATCATTCTTAGGATTGGGGCGGTCGGGTAGCCTAGTGGTTAAAGCTTTCGCTCGTCATGCCGAAGACCCGGGTTTGATTCCCGACATGGGTACAATGTGTGAAGCCCATTTCTGGTGTCCCCCGCCATGATATTGCTGAAATATTGCTAAAAGCAGCGTAAAACCATACTCACTCACTCACTCACTCACTCACTCACTCGTAACCAGGAAGAAAGTTAATATAAAACATCATCTTAGCAAGTCAACCCTGAATAGAAGTGTTTGGCAGATGTTCCAGCAGAACACTTCATTAGTCATAGAGGATATTTCATATGTTGAGTGAAATATCATGTTTCTCTCATCGAGTGACGGGAGAATGGAGATATTTTCACAAGTGGCGTAGTTTAGTGAAACCAACAGTCTCGATTGACGAGTCAAATTAAACATTTACAGTTTATAACGAAACGTTTTCGAGAGAATAATAAATGGCAAGAAGTGATATTAACGCCACAAATGACCATCTGTCATTATTTTGCCTTGTCAATGTGCAACTAACATAACAAGAGCGTCAACAGTTTGTGTACGGGCTAGATACTTATGACAAAGGGAAACAATTTCTGGGGAGGTTACTCTTGTATGATAATAGTTCCATCAGAGTGTTATGTTCCTGCCGTCTTTCACACTGAAGTGTATAATAAATCCCACATCTCTCTCCATTATGCATCCTTTACCATGACAAAGATGTGAAGGAAAGAGTCACCAACACTACTCTCGTGGTTTTCACTGCTGCCTTGGATATTTTTGCCTTCATGTTGATAGCTGTTGAGTTTTGGTCTGGTTGAAATAGTCTGCTCAACTTGTGATGTCAACAGTCAACTTACAATCAAACTGCGGTCACATTAGTCTGGAAATTACTGCCTGAAGACTTGGGCAGTGGGAATCATTGCCGTGTGTCTAAACACATCCTGTTTGCCATCTGGTAATGGAAGCCATGAAGTGTTTTTCTTCCCCTTTCTTTAATGTCACATTAAAAGCCTTCCAACGACAGGTGTGACAAGATGAAGGCTGTGTTCTGTGTTGAAGGAGAGGGCGACATATCAAACACCTTGTCCGGCTTGGTGAGACAATATGGAGGCTGTGTTCAGGGAAGCAGGTGGCACATTAAACACCTTCCCCGGCTGGGTGAGAGAGTTCCTGGATAACAAGATGGAGGATCTGGTTCTGCTCTGTGTTGAGGTACGGCCACAGATCGGTCTGGAGTGCCTGAAGGCATCCCAGGTCATGTGACTGACAAGCCATCTGTAAATTAGCAGTCAATTAGTGCTAAAACTTCACAAAATCTTTCAGAATGAAATACTGCCAGGTTAGTTACACTTGCACATTAGACAGACAACCTAATCCATCACCTGATGATACAAAAATTGCATGTCAGCTATTAACTTGCTTAAGTGAGAGAGTTGTATTTTATGAACAATACTGCAGTTATGTCATGACTTGACAGCATCATGTGTCAGGAAAGCTGAAAGTGACGGCAGTTGTAGACACTTAAGACTTGCTGCCACCCATGAGTACAGGATGGTGCTGACAGACAACGGATGACTTAATGCCAAAGCTGGGAGTCGAACCTACAATCAGGGATCTTGGAATGGTTAAGGGAGACAACTCTGCATAGCAATCTGTTTGAGACCTCCCAAGACCTCCCCGTAGGAGCATTTTGTTCTAACATGTTGCAAAGCTACTGACTTACCACAACTGATTGTAGAAGAAGAAACAAGTCCTCGCCCAGGTATTGCACTGTAAAGATGATGATACGGCAGTTAAACACCTAGAAGGGCATTGCACTTGTGATGTAGGTCAATCATTCACTACCATTTCAGTCCAAAACAGTCCCACACAATTTATACATTTTCCACATTGAAATAACCTCTCCATGATGTTTAAATGAACAGGTTAGTGGTTTACTCAACTTGTTGCCGTGTTCTAGTTAATGACGAGCCTAACTTGTTTCTCGTTCCTGCTGACTTACCTGTAAAGTTGTCTTCTGTTGTTTCCCAGGCATACTTCTCTAAAGTCTGAGCATGCTCAGGGCGGATTCTTTGGGGAGTGGGCTGAAATTAACATACACAAAACATCAAACTACATCTAGTCTCTGAAATAAACATATTTAACAGAAAAACCCGTTGTTAAATTATCTTTAAAAAATATAACAAAAAGGAGCCTGGGGATTCTCTTTATTTTCAGAGACTAAACAAATCTGCAGCTATAATTGCTAGGAATTTCACAGCATGTGTAAACATTCTTATCACCCATCACTGACATGTCACTGAAAGTGTGTGTAACAGGAATATGTATTGCCCCCACCAGGGCAGGGCAGGGCAGGGCAGGGCAGGGCAGGAGGTCTTGGCTTAGGGAGTGGTGGGGGTGTCTCACTATGTGCTAATACTAAACACTAATGACAGCTAGAGACTGACTGATGATTACAAGCTCTGTGCTCACTTGTGAATTCAGCAGATTTGTAAAGACCCTGAGACTGCAGTAATCTAGACTTGCCAAACATGGGCTGCATTGGATATATTTGTTTCAAGATCTTTATGACAGACTAATGGAACATGTACAAATATATATACATAGCATAACATGCATTAACCCTTTGAAATGTCTCTCTCATGGTTTTTGGAAATTGGGTTATAATACAGGAATCTTAGTATTTTGTATGTCATACACTTAGCCTGCTATGGCAGTGTGCAATTTGCTTCTTATGGTCAATATCCCAACCAAAGATAGCAAACAGCATGCCCCAAAACACCCAGGACTATGTCATGCATGGAGTTGGCTGTTTCCGCCCACAATCCAGAAATGTGTGGCACCTTAGACCACCTACACATGACAACCCGTGACGGTCAAGGTGAGAATTGGTCATCAGCAATCCATGCTTGTTGTAAGAGGCAACTAACGGGATCGGGTGACCAGACTTGCTGACTTGGTTGATGCATGTCATCGTATCCCAATTGTGTGGATCAATCCTCATGATGTGAATCCCTGGATTGTCTGGTCCATACTTGATTATTTACAGACCCTTTTCATATAGCTGGAATATTATGCATTAAACAAACAAAGAACATATTACAGCCTATTTCACAAGTACCTGCAACAGCATAAGAAGCAGCACCCGAGTCACTTCGCACCTGGACAGGATGTCACAATAGGCTCCAATCGGCTTCCCTGTTGCGGAGGACCCTGCAACCACAGATATTGAACACCGTAAGGCAGGAGGGAAACTGTCAGCCTCACAGGTCATGCCTACTGTCAGCTCCAATACGTCTGGGACATGACAATATAAGTATATCAACATGTTCACGTAATGATCACCATTAACTCAGCATATCAGGCAAGTTTGTGTTCCTGACAAAACCATATCTGGACACGTCTGCAACTACTGTTAGCTTCATGGGGTCTTTAAATAAATGAGGTTTCCTTGTAGTTTGATGTTGTCATGGACAGTTGGATTGTGACACTGAACTTCCTTATAACAGGTTACCCAAAACTTGAGCAATTAAACTTGGAAATCTTTTACTGATAAACTGAAATACATCATACAGTTTGAACGAGCAGACTCTACTATAGGTGAGTGAGGGACCTGACTCAAACAACCTGGGACAGCTGACTGGCATGACCCAAGTCTCCTTTCAATACTTGTTTCTTTGTTGTTTAACGCCACACTCAGCAATATTCCAGCTATATGAGCGGTCTCTAAACAATCAAGCCTGGACCAGACAGTCTAGTGATTGACATCATGAGCATCGCTCTACGGAATTTGGATACGATGACATGCATCAACTAAGTCAGTGAGCCTTACTACCCGATCATGTCCCTTTAATACTAGGTGAGCTGAGGTAGAAATAAATGCATTGAGCCTTGCAGAAAGTCTATATCACAATGAGCATCCTAAATGCAATGTGAAATCATGTGGATATCTACTCTACCCATTCCAACCTACCTCCCCTCTCTTGAGCCAGATACGCCATTTCAGTGAGGACAGCAAGGGATCCTTCATAGTCTTCTGTTGAGATCAAGACGTACAACACATAAAAACATACTGATGGCACCTTGTGATTACCAAGACAGTACAATACATAGAAACATAGTGCTGGCACCTTGTGATTATCAAGACGTACAACACATAGAAACATACTGATGGCACCTTGTGATTACCAAGACGTACAACACATAGAAACATACTGATGGCACCTTGTGATTACCAAGACAGTACAACACATAGAAGCATAGTGCTGGCACCTTGTGATTATCAAGACAGTACAACACATAGAAACATAGTGCTGGCACATTGTGATTATCAAGACAGTACAATACATAGAAACATAGTGCTGGCACCTTGTGATTATCAAGACAGTACAATACATAGAAACATAGTGATGGCACCTTGTGATTATCAAGACAGTACAATACATAGAAGCATACTGATGGCACCTTGTGATTATCAAGACGTACAACACATAGAAACATAGTGCTGGCACCTTGTGATTATCAAGACGTACAACACATAGAAACATACTGATGGCACCTTGTGATTATCAAGACGTACAACACATAGAAACATAGTGATGGCACCTTGTGATTATCAAGACGTACAACACATAGAAACATAGTGCTGGCACCTTGTGATTATCAAGACAGTACAATACATAGAAACATACTGATGGCACCTTGTGATTATCAAGACAGTACAATACATAGAAACATACTGATGGCACCTTGTGATTATCAAGACAGTACAATACATAGAAACATACTGATGGCACCTTGTGATTATCAAGACAGTACAATACATAGAAACATACCGATGGCACCTTGTGATTATCAAGACAGTACAATACATAGAAACATACTGATGGCACCTTGTGATTATCAAGACAGTACAATACATAGAAACATACTGATGGCACCTTGTGATTATCAAGACAGTACAATACATAGAAACATAGTGCTGGCACCTTGTGATTATCAAGACAGTACAATACATAGAAACATACTGATGGCACCTTGTGATTATCAAGACGTACAACACATAGAAACATAGTGATGGCACCTTGTGAATACCAAGACTTTTGATGGTTGTATAACTATTGTATATCGCAGTGTATAAGGCGAGTTTTTCGTACCTAGAATTAGGAAGCTTTCAAGGGTATACAGTTCTAAGGAACTTCTGGCAGTATTAAACAAACCCATTGGAATAATTTCTTCCTTTATAATAAAGACTCATTTTTGTCAACTTTTTAAAAAGTAAATTAACATTGCTAAAAATACACATTAGTTTTTGTTACTTGTGTCAATCTTGGCAATGGCTACCATCTCCAAGGCATCCAGACAGTCCAAGGGACTCTGTAAACAATACATGATACACATAAAAACAACACCCTTGTGGTAACAATACACACTAGATCAGTGGGACGTTGCTGCCGTGTCAGTACATACGCCTTACATCAACAGAGGTACAGAAGCTCACCTATATTCAGGGATATAAAACTTGTGTTGTGAGCATCTGCTGTACCAGCCAATTTGTCTTAAAAGACGAAGACAGTTTTATTCTTTTGATAGAGGCCTCCTCTGGCGTATAATACAATTGTGAATAAAACCTACTTTGATTATTAAAAGTTACATAGAATTGATCTTAAAATCACATGACTAAATACTAGGACATGACAAAATGATGTTCATTAATATATTTCAAGTTTCATTTTGTGATACTTAGGGATAGGGATATATGAACAGAGAGGTGGCTCCGGCAACAATCACACGAGGACCTATTCTGCTGGGGCTCCCAAGGGTTAGTTATTGCTTGTAAAGTACAAGTGGTCGAGTCGTACCTGTGATTGCAGCTCTGCCGCTCTTTGGAAGTGGCCCATCGCTTCTACCTGCTTGTTCAATTTCTGAATAAGATTACAGAGTGATGAATAGAAAACACAGTATCAGCAATATACGTCATATGAAAACATGTCAGTGTATGTTCAGTGAATTGAGTGAGTGAGTGAATTCGGTTAAAGCTGATCTGCAGAATTATGTTCCTCAGCTTTACATCATGTGTGTCATGAGTTCCTCAGCTTTACATCATGTGTGTGATGTGTTCCTCAGCTTTACATCATGTGTGTGATGTGTTCCTCAGCTTTACATCGTGTGTGATGTGTTCCTCAGCTTTACATCGTGTGTGTGATGTGTTCCTCAGCTTTACATCGTGTGTGTGATGTGTTCCTCAGCTTAACATCATGTGTGTGATGTGTTCCTCAGCTTAACATCATGTGTGTGATGTGTTCCTCAGCTTTACATCATGTGTGTGATGTGTTCCTCAGCTTTACATCATGTGTGTGATGTGTTCCTCATATTTACATCATGTGTGTGATGTGTTCCTGAGCTTAACATCATGTGTGTGATGTGTTCCTCAGCTTTACATCATGTGTGTCATGTGTCCCTCAGCTTTACATCATGTGTGTGATGTGTTCCTCAGCTTTACATCATGTATGTGATGTGTTCCTCAGCTTTACATCATGTATGTGATGTGTTCCTCAGCTTTACACCAGCTTTACACAACGAGCCGGTTGTGTGTGTGTATCACATAGATGACAAGCCGGTTGTGTGTGTATCACATAGATGACAAGCCGGTTGTATGTGTATCACATAGATGACAAGCCGGTTGTATGTGTATCACATAGATGACAAGCCGGTTGTGTGTGTGTATCACATAGATGATAAGCCGGTTGTGTGTGTATCACATAGATGATAAGCCGGTTGTGTGTGTATCACTTAGATGACAAGCCGGTTGTGTGTGTATCATGTAGATGACAAGCCGGTTCTATGTGTATCATGTAGATGACAAGCCAGTTGTGTGTGTATCACGTAGATGACAAGCCGGTTGTGTGTGTATCATGTAGATGACAAGCCGTTTGTGTGTGTATCACATAGATGACAAGCCGGTTGTGTGTGTATCATGTAGATGACAAGCCGGTTGTGTGTGTGTATCATATAGATGACAAGCCGGTTGTGTGTGTGTATCACATAGATGACAAGCCGGTTGTGTGTGTGTATCACATAGATGACAAGCTGGTTGTGTGTGTGTATCATATAGATGACAAGCCGGTTGTGTGTGTGTATCACATAGATGACAAGCCGGTTGTGTGTGTGTATCACATAGATGACAAGCCGGTTGTGTGTGTGTATCACATAGATGACAAGCCGGTTGTGTGTGTGTATCACATAGATGACAAGCCGGTTGTGTGTGTGTATCACGTAGATGACAAGCCGGTTGTGTGTGTGTATCACATAGATGACAAGCCGGTTGTGTGTGTGTATCACATAGATGACAAGCCGGTTGTGTGTGTGTATCACGTAGATGACAAGCCGGTTGTGTGTGTGTATCACATAGATGACAAGCCGGTTGTATGTGTATGACGTAGATGACAAGCCAGTTGTATGTGTATGACGTAGATGACAAGCCGGTTGTGTGTGTACAGTGTATTACCATCAGCACATTCCCCAGCTCCAGACACAGAGATGCTGCCAGTGCCACCTGTTTGTTTTCAATGTGCACCTGCAAATAGTCAGTGGGACAACAGCATTGAACCAAGCCTGCAGCAGCATCAGTACTATCCCTGAAGGGGCCACTAACAATGTGTATACCAGAATGTACCCTACCCCCATTATAACCTTAGACCAAATTGCTAGACCAAAATGCAAAAAAAACACATTTCAAATCCTGAATAGCAAAAGGCAGCAGTTCATCACTTGACTGATGTGCAAACAAAGTTTCACAAAGAACTATTGAAGGATTGATGAGTTTGCTCCGGGAAAGAAATGAAAAGAAGTACCGGGTATGGCAAAAGCCTCTTTTTATGTCCCATGCCAAATAATACACTGTAATACCTCAACACGTTTGTGCCAAGTGACTCAGACAGGAGCCAGCAGTATCACTGGGCACTGTACAGTCATGCACTGTATTCTCGAGAAAGAACAATGACTGACATTAATAATATAGTTATCCTATTTTGATCATACTGAGTAAAAAGTTCATACTTATATCCAGAGAAGTATACAGTAAACTACGTTTATAAGGAACTGACCAATAAAACGAACTTATTTTTTTATATTATTGCATTTATGCTGTATATATGCTAATAATGAACTACAGTTACTACAAACTAAATTAGTGGTCCCTTTGAGTTTGTTATAAGCGTAGTTGACTGTATTTCATCTGCTTACCCTGATGGCGTGCCCATAGCAGTTGATAGCAGCTGTGAGATGCTCCTCAAACCCAGGATACTTGAGCGACCTGTTGAAAAGTTCAGCTTCCAGGAACGACCTTGCTGCTTGTGTGAGAGCCTGGGCCTCCCCTGGAGCATTAGCCAGTGTGTGCTCACACCTAGGTAGCCATGGCAACAATTAATAAAACACATTGGAATTAAACAAACTTTTACCTTGTGTTGTTGCCCCAAAAAAGAAGAAATGATGCATACAAATAATATCTTGTAACTACATTAATATCACATTAAAGGTATGATCATATTTAAGATTTGTTCATGTTCTGTCTGAAAGAAAATACAATCCTCCCTCCTCAATTTTAATAAATATACTACTCAAAGAAGTTATAGAACACCCATTTCTTTCATATGACTTTAGTTAATCTCTCATGTACATGACGGATTACCTATAGTCATATCTTTTGAGTAGTGGGGTGGGCCCAGTTGTCTAAGGCACCGCGATTCGCTATGCAGAGTTGCGACCCTTGCGCGCGCCAGAAACCTATGATTGTGGGTTCGAATCCTGGTTCGCCGATTATGCTTCTAGGTTTGTCAGCACCATACCCGTGCTCGTGGGTTTCACCGAAGTGGTAAACGTCTGAGACCTGCATCACATCGGGCTTTCCTCCCACATTAAGCTGACACGGCGCGATATGACTGGAATACTGTTAAAAACAGCATTAAACCCAACTCACTCACTCACTCTTTTGAGTAGTATATATAGCTGATCATCTAACATTCTAGTTTGGGATTGTGTTCAGGTACCAGTGACATAGCTTCTCTTACCTGGCCTGAGCTAAACAACAGAAGCCTGCATACTGAGGACACTCTTGTTGCTGCAAGGACTTGGCTAGACTCGCTGCAATGTAAACATCCATGATCAATACAGGGATACTACTAAGAACTAGTATGGTGAAACATCATCAACTCGAGTCCTTTGACCATCGAAAATATAACAAGTGTTGATATTAGGTAATATCCCCGATAAGAATTTTGGTACAAGGGACTGCCTCCATGGTCTAGTGGTAGAGCGTCCGCTCGGATAGCAGAAGGTCCCTGGCCGTGTCATACCAAAAGACTGGTCGGCTTGGACTAAGTTGGAGTCAGCATAAAGTGTCTGAGTGGGGTATGCATGTTAAACTGTGGCATGGTATCTCAGTGTGCTAGCACTATAAATCGGCATCAGTACGGACTAGTACAAGCAGCCACACACAGACACACACAGACAGACACACACACTTGGGCATGCACATCGCTATGTAAGTGTAATAATCTTGGATGCGACGTTAAAGCATATTTCACCTCACCTTTGTTACAAGGTACACTCAGGCCAATTGACAGCCCTAGCAAGTTTGATTTGTCATTAAAATCCCACTTTGTCTTCCAAATCAAATTTGATGCTGTATATTAATCTCACATTTAAAAATGTCCATAATTACAGTACACAGACAATGTCCCAAGTCCCATACAACATGTACAAGGCACTAATTACAACATCCACATCTTGACTGGAAATGAGCAACTGATTAGTCCCCCTAATTGAGTTTCAGTTAACAAGGCACAAATACATGCAATATGTGCAGTTCAATAAGTACTGGATGAAAAAACATGACAAATCAATCATTTAACTAAATAAAGACATTAATAACAAAATATTCATTCGTACAGATTGCCATGATCACCAAATGACATCTGTTTACAAAACAATATTCAAAGAGGTTTTACCCTGTTGACAAAGACACATGAGTAAATGTGCTTAAGGGACCAAGCTAAACATAGCTAGCAAAATGTGTGGGCTCCAAAATCATCTGCTGAAGCTAAGCAAATTCCGAAATCTCAATAAGCACATGCACACGGGCCCCTGAAGCAGGAAAGTGATAATACTGAAACACTGGACCCATACATATAAATAATGGTTTAATAGTGGTTTAATAATTTCACTATCCTGCTTCAGGGGCCTGTGTACATGTACAAGTAATAACTGGTCACAATATCACTGTTATTCCTTCACTGCAGATCAATGTGATGAGGTATCAAATTAAAACACAGTGAAATAAGAAAACATACAAATGTTTGTTTGTTTGTTGTTTTATGTTGCACTCAGCAATATTCCAGCTATCTGTAAATAATCGAGTCTGGACCAGACAATCCAGTGGTTGACATCATGAGCATCGATCCACACGATTGGGATACGTTGACATGCATCAACAAAGTCAGCGAGCCTGACCACCCGATCCCATTAGTCGCCTCTTACGACAAGCATAGTCGCCTGTTACAGCAAGCATGGGTTGCTGAAGACCTACTCTGAATCTTCACGGGTCACTTTCAAATGTAGTAATATCTACAGTTCCTTTAATGTTTGAGACCATGTACTTTCCTACACTGCAATATGATAGTTTATGCATACCTGATATATGCAGTATGTTTGTATTACTAGAGTGAATGTGTGAGAAGTATGTTATTTTCTGTAAAAACAACAACTAAGATGTACTGATAAGTTGTGCTTGGGCTTTCTGCTACCCTGGGTGGAAGCACATTTTATGTAACAGGTACTTCTTTTTAAAAACAATAAAAGAAAAACAACAACCAAAAACAAAAAACATCTACAGTTCCTTAGTCAACGTCAATACTTTTGCTGATGTCACCATTTCTAACTTCAATAAAACACCTTCTTAATTATTAAACTTTCAACAAGTATTCTATTCAGGAATATATTATGCTACATTCCCATGTACCTAAGTCAAAGCTGAACGAAAACAATAGATCTAATAGTGATTTTCTTTTTACTCATCAGAAGGCAACATTACGCAATCGTCTAGGAAGCTGAACGAAAAACAAACATATCATTCCTCATTTACCACGTTAACACTCTAAATTGCAAAACAAACATCTAGATCTACTCTGAACCTATCACTGTCACTCATTTGACTACAAAACACTTGTAGATAGAAAGAAAGAAGAGATGCTTACCAAACTGCTCACTGCCTTCGGATACATTTGGTTTCTTGAGAAACCTCCTGCAAGAAAGGAATATTTCATAGATGATGCGCGTATGCTTAGGACCTTTACAGGCATATGTAACGAACATACAAGCACTTGTTAAAGAATTGATTCCAGAAAATATATATTAACGTTTACCACTGTGAACAGCCCAAACCTTAACCACAATCTCCAGGTTCAAAACTCAATCGCAGACTAAAACGGTCCTCTGTTTGTCAAACATACTTTCTCAACTTGTTGGTGACAGCGCGATATTTACTGAGAACATCGTTATCCTTGTCCATGTTGACATAAACCGGAAGCAGACCAAGGGAAGTAACTCAAAGTAAAGCGACGCAAAGCCACGCCCACTTTCCCGACCATCTCACGAGCCTCTCTGCTGCGCTTGAGAAGATAGTTGAAAATATTTTATCTCAACAATCCACTAATCGGATGCTGCATGCAGGAAACCAAAAATATTGTGGCCGCATATCCTATTCATAATTTATAGATTCTTGAATTTTAGAAACAATTATTATGTAACATTATTTCCGAGACTGCCCAAAATGGCCTATTTAACGTATTTGGGAAAGACTTCCGCCCGTATCCCCTCTCCAAAAGTAATATATCTTTACATATATCGTTTTTCTTCCAACTATATATATTTTGTAGGGGAATACGGGCGGACATCTTACCAGTATTTGCAAAAAACTTGTTTTCTGGGAAACAAGTGTTTTTCCCTTCTGGTCGTGAGTGATCTAATAAGTCGTGAAACCATGACTGTTGATCTGAGAAATGTAATTGTAGGCTACTGTGGTGTATATATCTGCCAATTCACTCCATCCATACTGGAAAGTCTAGCTCGGAATTTCTCAGAATCTGCTGTGATGTGTAGGTTTGACCGTACGTGCAGTTATTCATCTAAACCATTAGCTGAACTTGCCTTTAAAACCTGGAAAAAAACTCATATCTTCTCCAGTTGAAACTGCATTATTAAAAAAAACAATACAAACAATGATTGAGTAAATACATGTTTATTCTTAGTGAAAAACACATTCATGAACATTCACATCTAGATGATAAGGCTGCGATGAAATTATATCAATATGAATCAATTCCAAATAAACAATATTCAACATATTTCATCAGATGAACAGTACTTCAAAACAAATAATTCATTTAATCAAATTTATGTAAATAGAATTCATACAACATTTAGATCCTCTACAGCATAAATAACATTATGCAACATCAAATATTGAAAAATACAAATGGCATCACTTCTCTAAGTTAATATCTGCAATTAACAATTTAAAAGAAGCTAATCCAAGCAAAAGTGTAATAAAATATAGCTGTTCTTAAACTATACTAAAAAAATAAAAGCAACAAATATTGTACACTATTCAAATGTTTGCCCATTGCAACATGTTATTTTTCATAATTTTTGTAAAAGAAGTTTACAAGATCAAATACATAATTCAGAGTTATTCATTACAGGTAATTATACACCACAGTGTATACAAAAAGAGACAAAAATAAACCCCTACAGTGGAATCGTCTGAACCGAACTTAACTTCCAATTGAGTACTTATTAGTCACATTCCTGCAAGAGTAACATCCCTTACTTTTTAATAAAACTAACAACTGAATCTGCTGGCCAAAAATATAGATTGACTTGGCTGTATAAGTTATGTGTTTTTTTCATATCCTCAAAGTGGTACTGCATTCATTGGAGCATAAAAAATATTGTAAACTAAGGGGTACAAGGAGTCAATGTATGTCTCCGGCCTGAAGACTTTTATGCTCCGAATTCCAGACATAATTTGCAGGAGTAAACATCGGTTAACCATGTAATCTGTGCACCCTCATTCAGAACAGTTTTCACAGAACGCATTACAGACACTGACGGGCTAAAGTTATTAAATCAATGGAACTCCCAAGTCCACTCTGACAACTAAATAGGTTTCATCCGAATCTGTAGACTGTGCACTATGTTCAAACATCAACTGTTGCGAACCATGGACAATTCAACTTACAGTAAACTACGGTTATAACGAACACGCTTATAACAAACTGATGGATATAACGAACTCATTCTTTGGTCCCGACTATTTGCTGTAGTTATGCTGTATATATGCTTATAGCGAAATACGGTTATAACGAACTAAAATTAGTAGTCCCTTTGAGTTCGTTATAACCGTACTTTACTGTACATCCTAAATACTTATGACTTCTTTTATTTAAACTGTCAACGTATTGAGCGAAATCCTCGCCTTTTCACCGACAAATGAAGGGTGAATATGTCAGTTTACCCACCTGGGGTACACCCTCTGAAACATCTGATAGTCAAACCACGGACTTTACCGCTCAACCAACAAGGATGAATAGATGATATTGCACTTGGAAATTATTTATATTTTTAGACTGTTTTTGTGAATACATGTGTATTATATGTCTGTTACAGGTACTTTTGTAAGCTGTGATAGGGAAAACATTTACTATACAAACAGGCTCAACAGATCAAATGCGCTTGCAATGAACGACTCAAACAATGTACTACACTGACTAATTCACTTTGTTAAGGACCAAAGTTGAAAGTTAGTTAGGCTTAGAACAATTTGACCAGCCCTTGTAACTGTTATATAAGTGAGACAAAACCTCTACTGTCCTCGGTGCATCAGCCAACACACCAACAATTTTGTTTGTGTAAACATAGAGCCACATTGGTCTGTAGTTCGCCTGAACTATGAAGAAATAATGACAGCAACGTTTAAAGTTGGATCGGAATTCTGTGAGCACGTATTAGGGACATCATAGCAGGGATGATTCTGACAGATTTCAGCACCAGAGGCCTTGTAGTTTCAGGGGGATGTCGAATTGCCGAAACACTCAAGAAACGGATACATGAAAGTCAGAGGTTATAGTTTGCTATCATGAAATATCAAAATATGCCCCAAAACATATTATATGATATGCCGCCTACAAAATACTTGCAGCATTTCAAATTTAAATGATACATGAAGGAATGGCTGAGTAACGGGCAAACGATATTTTCAATATGGCCACCATGTAAGATCTGAGTTTTGTGAAAAGTAGGAGTGTATAAAGCTTAACATATATTGGGTGGTCTCAATTAGGAATAAATAAGGTTACTGGTAACTGTAATCTGTTTGATAATAAACTTTTGTGAAATTGCTCTGGTTTTGATGGAAGCTATAATAAGTCCGGTTCGGAGAGATTCCACTGTACTTGGTACTCAAGTTTCAGCCAAGCACAGGAAGCTACACATACTTATATTCGGTATTGATGATCAAAGTGAAATACAATTTCATGTTCGGTTAATCAATCACTCAATCAAACTCTCTCAATATTGGCATTAACCATTTCATATAATACACTGGGTGTTCATATATATATCTATATATATCTATATATATATATACATCTGTAAATAAATATATAACAGTGATAAAATATAGGCACGATTGTATTCACAGTGGTCCGCGATGGATGGATGTTGGCAATAGAGCATCACAAGAGGAAAATACATTTGTCAGAATGTCTCTACACATCATTTAGGCTTCAAAAAAGCCATCATATCAACATTAATACATTTTCACACAATTGTAGTTTCAATGTGGGAGTCAAGCAATAGTTGCTCAGTGTAATACTGCTCTAAACAGTATTTCACGTCAAATACTCAAAAGAAGTTAAATTCTTTCATATTACTACAGTTAGGTAATCTGCCATGCCATGATTAACGAGACCAAGATTTACTACAGTAATATGAAAGAATTGGGTGTTCTTTAACTTGTTTGGAGTAGTACACATCAAGGCGTGTCAGCTTAATGTGGAAGAAAAACACACAGTATTTCAGGGTGTAGACGCTTACCCATAACAACGTAGCTTTATAACAGCTTGATGATTGTCATAACTCCCACTTAACACAGAGTGATGATGCTTGCAGGGCAAAGACGGCGTGGTGAATGAGCCCTGGTTGTGTCTCAGCATCTGAGAATCAGCATTGACTGCTAGTTTGTCCTTTGGCTATTTTGAGAACAAATACTGTAAATTCTTGAAGTGAATGCGTCTCCAAATGAATGTGACTGCTGGCCCCTAGCCAAAAATGCGACTCAATGTGAATGCTACTCCTTACCTTAATCCATGTGATGTGGATTATATAGTTTTTATGTCCAAGTTGGTATTTCTGCTATCAAAAATGTGAAGTAAGGCTGTCTTATTTATTTTTGATAATATTGAGATATATATAAATGCGATGTTTAATCAATGCGAGCAAAGACCACTCACATTTTTCGCATTTAATTCACGCCGCATTTATTTCAAGATTTACAGTACATCTGATGAGTTTATGTAACATACACAGACACAAGTGTGATTACCAGCTGCAGTCGAACAGCGGACTCGCCTTTAGATGAGTGGGGCCTCAGGTCTGCTACGTAGTCACCCCATGAAACATCCAGTGTGACCTGACCCCACTTGATACTCCGTACATACAACCCTCAATGACTGACATACTAAACAGCGGACTCGCCTTTAGATGAGTGGGGCCTAAGGTCTGCTACGTAGTCACCCCATGAAACATCCAGTGTGACCTGACCCCACTTGATACTCCGTACATACAACCCTCAATGACTGACATACTAAACAGCAGTACAGTGAATCAGAAGACCCTGCTAAGGCAAGTGTTCCCTAGCTATGAAAACTGAAGTTAATATCACTCAGAGCTGTAATAATCAAAAAGTGTAGACATGTTCGCCAAGATCTACACATATTCTACTGCCTAAAAAGAAGACTACACAAGCACCCTGACTAACACCATCCTGTAACTGTCTACTACACAAGCACCCTGACTAACACCATCCTGTAACTGTCTACTACACGACACAGTAAGGATTTAAGACATTTTCAGCCATGAGGTTCTGTAGCTCACCCGCAGTTGATGATATTTGATCCTTAATGGACTAAAAATAACATTCTCAAACAAGAGCAAAAGTGAGCGTAGCTCACTAATACCCCCGACCCTCCTAGTATGTCAGTAGTTTCAAATTAAATAGCTAGGATAGGGTTAGGGTTTGAAAAATTCATAAAAAAATGGAAAATTAATAAAAACAATTGTTTTCTTTTGACTGCACCCCTCCATATGACACAGATTATATGTACTAAGTTTGAGATAAATCCACTGAATAGTTTAAGAGAAATCGCGCGGACAAAGTTTTCAGACGGACGTTAGGGTTTGAAAAATTCATTAAAAAAATGGAAAATTAATAAAAAGAATTTTTTTCTTTTGACTGCACCCCCTCCATATGACACAGATTATATGTACTAAGTTTGAGATAAATCCACTGAATAGTTTAAGAGAAATCGCGCGGACAAAGTTTTCGGACGGACGGAACCTTGGTATAACTACATACCTCCGACCTTTTAGGTTGGGGGTATAATAATGAAGATCATAAACATGGGTATATACAAAATATTGTTTCTACATAATAACAGTTTTAACACGGTCCCCCCAACAAAATATCAAACTTCACACTGATACCTGAATAAGTGGCAGAATTATGTGCAAAAAGTGTCATGTGTTAAAGTACAGATGTGTCAATACAACAAAGACAACTTGACTTTGGCTGCCAAAGTGTCATACTTAAAATCAAATACGAAGTCTGGGCATCAATATCTAAAGTCTCAGCACATCTGAAGTTGTGTCTTCCATGGAGATGTAAACCATGTGGAAGAGTAGAATGGATGGACGATGGATGACACAGCACCAAGACATTCACTCACATAAATCAAGCGTTCAGGCGAGTCGAAAACTAACTATCTTTTACTACGCATAATGGTAATATATTCTTTAACACATCAAAAGAAATATTGAATATGAATAATTTTAAGTTTGTATAAAATGTTATTTGCTGAACAGGTTGAACATACAAACAAATGCTGATACTTAGTGAGAAACAGGCTCACACAGGCTAGACATACACCTTTTATATCTCATGAAAAGTAAAACAAATAAACAAATAAAAAAAGTTTAAAATATTATGAAAATATGCAATAAAACTAATTCTAATCAAAATTGATGGTTTAATATACTTTTCTTAATATCTTCAACATTTGGCAATGAAGTCAATACATAATTCAGCAGCCTAGCAAACTTTGGCTCCACATGGATAAGTCAACAGTACCCTAGGAAATGTACAAAACAATCATTTTATGCCTCACAGTGGTTCTCACGACCGCGTTACACAGACAGGACTTGAGGACACCAACAAATCTCCTATGGTTTGAAATGATGTCATGAATATTCTGATCGTTGTCATAGTTTCATAGTTGAATATGTAAACTAATCATACTCAGAGCTATTGTCATAAAAAATATGTGGATACTTGCATGAATTGGTTCAACTTGGAATTAACCCATCAGTGACACAAACAAAGTTGCTTGGTTTAGAGCTAAAAAATTGAAAATTCAGAAGAAAAAAAATCAGAATAAGAAAGTTTTTATCACAGTGCCGATGTTAATTATATATGACTAATATAAGTTTATGTGACTAAAACAGACGTAGGACCCAAACAAGGCCAAGATTATCAATTACTGATCCAACGCAACTTTGATTAAACAAATCCTGAACAATCCATATTTTACCTAATCTACTGACGAAATCTTTCACTATCAATATCCATAACCACCCACCAAAAAAATATTGAATTGTCTGCACAAGTTGATCTTAAGTACGTTTTTCACAGTATTTAAGTTAAGTTTAATCATGTCATGTGAGCAGAAACCCAATAATGATGCAGTTGTTGACCAGGGTGCAAAACAACCTTAGCGCTATGACTGTCGTAAGTCTATATTAAGGTATGGGAGTTAGGATCTCCTTAGGGCTAAGATCGCTTTGTACAACGGCACCCAGGTCTAAACCAAGGAGCACAGGTACTATGATGACAGACCAGACATCATAATCTTGGATTTCGATTTAGGAGCAAATATTAAAAAATATATGATCAAATTGAACTACCGGTACCATTGATCGTTCCAGGTTGCAACATATTTTTTGTCCAAAATCTGTCCAGTTCATCAGTTCATCAGTTCATCTCATATGCAAACTTTCCAGTCACTTTCCCCACAACACAACAACCATCCTCGATTATCCAGTCCATCATATCTCCATTCAATTATGAAACATACTACTGTTAGCACTGTCCTAGTCAAATGATGCAACACTAAAAACAGACGTGCGATCACAGTACCCTTTTTAATGGTTGACACAAGCAGTAATATCACCAGCACTCTGTCTCAAATGCAACCAGAACGTCTTGTAGCATAAGGACATGTAACCCTCTCCATACTCTTAATTATCTTAAAGATAATTTATAACGGTCTTCTGACTCAAATATCAATATCGGGTGCTTGCTACGTCCTGAAATGTAGTTGTATGCCCAACTTGTGTTCAGAAGAGATGTCTTGATTGGCTGTTGAGACAGAGACCATGTTTGTGGTCTAGTGGTAGAACGTCTGCTCGGAGAGTGGACGGTCAGGGATCTTGATCAATGGCCGCTTCATACCAAAAGATGTTAAAAGATGGCGCTCGGCATTAAGGGGCTAAAACAAGGACTGGTCAGCTCAGAGTCAGTATACTGTGTCTGAGTGGGGCATTCATGTCAAACTGCAGCATCTCAGTGGGCTAAAACAAGGACTGGTCAGCTCAGAGTCAGTATACTGTGTCTGAGTGGGGCATTCATGTCAAACTGCAGCATCTCAGTGGGCGGGCACCATAAACATCAGCATTAGTCCGGACCAGTACAAGCAGCCACACAAACACATGCATGCACGTCGCTATATAAGTGTAACAATCTTACACACGACCTTACCCCCCAGCCCATGAGCCAGAGCAATTCAGTACGGAGAGTGTGATCAGGGAGGTGGATATGGTGACAGCACTGCGGAAACAAAGCTATGAGTGATGCTGAATGGTACAGGGTACATATCATAACAGAATGGAGATTCAGTACACTGTATAAACAAAGACTGAGGTTATCTTTCCACACTGCGGAACATTACATCACAAGAGGACATCTCCCTCTGTTTCAGTGCTGAGTCTTCTTGAACCCTTGTGTATGGTTTTGAGAAATATGCTGGCTCCTCGTCTGCTTATAATGTGTGAAAGTTGCATAAAGAAATAAACAATTGTTTTTGCTCTCTGGAATGAATTGCATTTAAACTGAATCTGAGACCAACTTGATTCTTGATTATAACAAAGTAACATACTGTAACCGTGGTAACACATCTCTCACAAGCTAAAGGCACCACTCCACCACTAGATTGATATGTTGTAGAAATTGAACACACTGTGGGAGATTAACTAACCGTATGACAATCAGCAAACGTAAGTGCAATATCTAAACAAGACATGGATTCTGAAAATATCAAATGACCAGAATAACACAAATATGAGGATATAGGTTGACAACATATTGACAAATCAAAGGAGAAGTTGCTTTGGGTGTGGAGAGGCATTTCTTTGTCCGAGTGTTGGATTCAAGATGTTTGCAGTATAAAGAGGTTAAGCTTTATGGGTGACGTACACGACAGCACAACTGCTGTAACTGACTCCTGCATACATCAGGCCTAACACAGCACTACTGTATGGAAGCCGGCCATTGCTCATTCAATCAACCAATGTTAGCTGCATTCTCATTGGTCCTCCCAGGGCTGTGCTAACCAACAGCTGTACATCTTACATGCTCACTCCATCTAGAATAAACTATATATCTTATTTACACAACATTAGAATTTGTCAAACAAATGGTTGTGTTATTGTGAGTTTCTAACAGGAATGTAAATGTAGGGCTGTCACTAAATTTGAAATCTTGTTATCCATACATCGCCTGAAAACTTTAACTACAAATTGCTACCTAAGAGACAGAAGTTCCAACATATGTGAAAATCTTGGGAGCAAGTTGTTGAAATCCTCATTAATAGGTCAAGATAGATATTTACTAGGGCTGGGACGGGTAACTCGGGTACTCGGGTCGGGTGGGTCCTGAGTAGGACCTGGGTACCCACAGGACTACCCGGACCCGTGATTAGTCACGTGATACATATTGTTTAATGACAAATACTATCTTAAACTCTATGGTTACACTATAAGTCACTAATGTTCCCATTTCTTTCTGACAATGCACCCATTCCTTCTGACTTTTAAAGGTTTGAATAAAGATAAAACTTCATGCATTAAACTTCAGTGTATGCATGAGCGGGTCGTTTTACATGTTGTATCTAAGTACATTTTGTCAGGGCTACGGTAAAACTTTTCCAAATCGGACACGGACAGTTTGAATATCTACAGCGGGTACCCGGGTGGGGTCGGGTAATAGGGTGGTGGGTACCCGGGTAGTATATTTTGACCCGTCCCAGCCCTAATATTTAGGTCATTTACCATATTTCTTAGATTTGCTTGCATTTACAAACATTTTTGAAGTGACCTACCAGTGCACCTAATTCTTTAAAAATGTTCGATGTTCAGGTGAAATAATAATAAAAATATTTTTACAAGTAGAACTTTTGTGTCACCACATCGTATTGTCACTCAATATTTGAAAGTCAATGACAGCCCTATGAATCTGTCGTATTCAACAATAAAATAATGGGATATTCAGATAACGAAAATGTATAGAGGTATCATCTAGAAGATTTCTCCCTGCTGTAATATACATGCATCTATATATTCTATGTATTTGGCTGACAGCGAAGGTGGAAAGTAGATCTCAAATGTGGTTGTTTGTTAAGGCATGTACCATTTTGATTCCACTGCTACATGTTTGTTGACATCAGGTCTTGTTCAAACTGCTTTCTTGTCATTCATATTATTGTCTATGAGTTCCTTAGCACCTCGCCGTGGAAACCAGCCTCGAATTCTCTTGGAGGCTGCAACATCAACAGAGCATCTATGTACAAGTGCAACAACTCATCAAAGCACATCATGAAATCTGGTGATAGGTTCAAGGTATGAGGCACTTGTGTTAGATCCCTCGGTATTCCATATTGTACCCAACAGTCAAGAAATCATACCTGTGATATGTGTAAATGTAAATACTGTTGACCCCTACAAATGTACATGGTGTCGAACAACTACCAGTGTTCATGTACCACACAAAATGTATATGAAATGCCTGATAAACCCTCCTTTTTGTAAAGATGTGTCTCAGTGACCTACATTCTTTAACTTTAACCCACTTCAATGAACAACTAATTATTTCTGTCCTAGTTCAATACAAGGACATAATACTGAAGACATTATATACTACTCAAAAGAAGTTAAGGATAATACGATTCTTTCATATTACAATAGTTAATCTCTCATGCCATGACAGATTAACTTTACCATTATGAAAGAATCGGGTGATCCTTAACTTCTTTTGAGTAGTATACTAATACACTCAATAACCATCAGCTGCAATACTTGATCATGTTGATATTTTAATGACTAAAGCTACTCACCCACTTTATTCTTGCCCCCGTTCTCCAGCACCTTCGTCCCATACAGCCAGTGTCTGTCAACGATAATGATGTTGTGATCAGAAAATACATAAACAGAAAACATTTATCCTGTGTGAAATACACGATCATTGCTGTTGTAAATTCATGCTCTTGAAACCACGACAATTCTCATTGTGGTAACAGTTCTACTTTCTGACCTCAAACATGTGAAGGGGATGTTAAATCTCTCCATGATAATGGAACAACATGTCTATTAAGACAGCGTAACTTTTATTGTCATGTCAGGATCTTTAACAGTAATATGGTCAACAATTACCAGTATAATTCTCGAACTACGAATAACTAAATATACTACTGGTGCATGTAAACTTACCCAACATTAATCTTTACACATACCTATGAGCTTTGTTTACTATGCTATATCACTATCCCCTGTGTTATGTGTAATTTGTCACACTTTCTTAGGCTTGACGTCATCAAACTGTGGGCACTTCAAGTTTATATGCACATGTTTCTAAAACATTTTACAGCAATGCATCAGTAATTTATGTGACACTAGCAGTAGGGGTGACTATTGGTCTGGAAATTACTATTGCGATAACTATTGATATTGCAAGCAACTATTGCAATAAATATTGATAGTTTTCAGTGTATCATTTTAGATGGATTTTAGAGTTGAATTAAACCTTGGAACTGAAGTTTCCTTTGAATGTGATAACCATAACTATTGATATTCCTAACTGAAATCGATACTATTGATCAGAAACTGATTTAACAATCGATTTATTGACTTTAAGTTCTGACCAACAGCAATATATATTGATAATTCGATTTATCGTGACACCCCGAACTAGCAGCAGACCAACTAATGTTTGAACTTTGGTACATGTATATAACCAGGGAACAACCTGGCTTTGTCTGGGGAACGTGGCTTTCATGTCAACATGCACCTGGTGCAAGTTAAATCCAGTTACTTCAGTCAAGCCCTGCTGATACCTGTGAATAATATGGACCAGACAACTGGTGGATCACAGCACGGGTACAATGACATACGATTTTCTTTTCATTCTCCTATGACAAACATGGGTACATGTGTACTTAGCTACTCTCACGTGGAAACCTCATGAGGGAATCTTTGTACAGTATCCATGGTAACAGGACATGAAACACTCCCTATTTACAGCTGACCACTTACTTTTTCCACCTTGTGACCATCACTCGGTCGTTTTCCAGCACGGAGATCCGAGGTTCGTCAGTACATGGCACGAGACAGATGACCCTACATCCCTTAGTGATGGGGAACATGGCTCCGGAGTACGGCTCCATTATCACATAGAGCAGGGTGCGATCTCGCTTCTGAGCTTTCTGTTTAATTTGCTCAACCTGCATGAATAAAACACGGAAGTCATATAGCAGCTGACACACACTCAACCACACTAACAAGTGGTGGTGGGACCATACACTGGTGCATCTAAGCATCGCGATGTTATACTTCACAAAACAAGTATCGATCACAGTCGCACACAAAGTCAAACATATTGATTTATACCTTAAATGTTTGCTTTAATAACTGTAACATCACACACTAATTAATAGTGAAAATTAGTAGGGAAAAAGTAAAAGTTTTCATCCATTGCGCCAATGCCAACTATAAATCATCAGTGTGCCAGGTATTTGGCCATACTGTCTCTGAAAAAGATGGCTCATTCACCACAGATAAGAGCACATACAAGTATTGCGATACTGTAAATCTTGTAATAACACGATCGTGAACTAAATGTGAAAAAAGCGAGTTGTCTTTGCTCGCATTAATTAACTTCGCATTTATGTCTCCAAATGACTATCAACAATATCGGCCTCGCTGCACACATTGGAAAGTGGAAAGCGGAAATACCAACTTGAATATAAACAGAAACATGGTTTATTGAGCAGCAGGTGTACCAAGTATATAACAATGTCATTCAAAGAATAGGAATTACACAATAGGCATCCGGTGAGTTATCACTGCTGGGGTCAAGAGTTCTACCCACTCATGTCAAGTTTGTTGACACCTCCGCATACCAATCAGTGAACTATTGATGGTTCAATTATTTGATTGCCTTTGAACTTAGTAATCATATAAACTGTGTGTTGTTTTTACGGAAGTGCTCTACTCAGTGCTACTAAGCGGTGCTATTTGCTGTTTGATTGGATTAAGGTAAGGATATGTATCATTCCACTGGGGATGGGGTGGGAGGAGTAGCATTGATATTGAGTCGCATGTTTGGCTAGGGGTCAGCAGTCGTATTAATTTGGAGACGCATTTATTTCCAGATTTACAGTATGTATCTGACCGTGAACAAGGTATCCCTAAGGTATATTGATACGTATCGGATCCTGCAGTTGGTGTATTGTCCCAGCCCTACTAACATAGTCGTGATAATGTACATCATTTGATTTTACTGATTATAGTTTTCATTGAAAAATGTTTCTGGTTCATCACGCAATTTGTAAGCAGCCCACGCTGGAGTACATCATGTGTACTTGTTTGTTATGCAGTCAACAGCACACAAGTTGTTAGGGCTGAAACAATACAGCAAGGTCACGATACAATGCATATCACGATACAATGCGTATGCCAATATGCATTTTTACATCAAATCTCATGGAAACTTCTTGACAATAAATATTTCAGAGCAGGTTCAAAAGGGAAAGCTTGCTTTGGACACATGTTCGTAGTGGCTATTTTCAGTTGTGAACTTGAAACTCTAAACACATTTTGCGATATCTGACTGACAAAAAACGCCAGCGGCCATCAAACAAATAGTAAGTAATTTATCTTTTTTTATCAATACAGAAAAAAACGTATCGTGTATCGTATTGCCACATAAAAACTCACGATGCACCAGTGCACCGATGTCTCGTTTCACCCCTAGACGTTATAACACTTACAGTGAGAGTGTACTGGTCACATCCTTCCACTACAGTCCATGTTATTCCGTCAGAGATCGGCTTGCCAGTGAATGTAAACACCTGTTTGAGGTTGTCCCGCCACCCAAGGTCGTACGGGTATATGAAGTCCTCCCCCTCGTCCTCTTCGCGCTCTCGATCCTCAGCCTGTTTTAGGAACATCACCTACATAATTTGTATTGTTGCGATATGCCATGTGTGATGCCTTGTATCTGTCCTTGAACAGACCACACTCAATCCTCGGGTATTTTCATTAGTCCACACTACATCACTGTTTCTGAAAACTCTGACTTCTACAGTATTTATGTAGCAAGGGGGACTTGCTACGTCGCATACTAAGTTAGTTCTAGCAACTTATAATACCAGTAGTTGCATATCTGAGGTATGTTGACAGTTTCATAATTAGAAGAGAACCACACTCAATAATACTCAGGGTATTTTCTATAGTCCACAAGACACAAATCATGTTTCATGATTAGATTGTTATTGTTTCCTACCTACTGACCACGATTACATATTCATCCCACAATCTGGATGACATAAATTAAATTGAAGTCCTTACCTTATCTATAATCCAGGATTCAATACCAGTCTCATTTCTCCAAATGCTTTTCATCTGAAAGTAAACAACGGCTGTTCATTCTGGTAGACTGGAGACAAGCTTGCATTGTGTGCACAAATAGATTCAAAGTGCATTAAGTAATCAAACACAGTTACAAGCTGACCCAGCGATAAATCTAGCATTCCAAACTAAGCGTCCTTGGCAGGCAAATTGAGAAAAATCATTACTTTGTTCAAAATTGGGATTTTATTAAAGTTCTTTTTTTCCAAAATCATGTAAATTCAAAGGTTCTTTAACATCAAATTTTGACATTGCATTCAATACAATAATGTTAAACGAAGCTTAAAAACCTCTTCCTCTATATTGATTCTGTTATGAGTGAAATGCCAGTCACCTTACAAAGCCATAACATTAAATATACTGGGTAACAGCATGAATTGGGAAATGTTTAATTCCGAATTGGGAATTTGTACTGGCATTTGCTGCACACTTAAGGCCAAATATTGGCCTCTGAGCAAGTCCAGATAAATCCATGTTAACCTTTTCAACTTTCTCTTAACATCTTGAGGCAACCTACATGTTCCAACTGATCTTTGTTCAACATGTCCAAGAACACTAAACATACACAAAACAAAACCTTCCCCTCAGCATGATTAGTGCCATTGGATTAGTAGGTGTCATACCCAGATCCCAGTGATTTATATATTTGTACAAATACCGTGGCATGCCACACATAAAACCCCTGATTCTCGTGATGTCTCACCTGTACATAGAACAGCATTCCTACTGCGATGACAACACCTATAGCCAGCCCCACACCAAACATGGTGAGAACAAAAGCCACGATAGACAGATGTATCAAAGGTTCACCATTCCCATAGTAGTAATAGTAAGTCTGAAAAACACAAGGAGCACAACATCTGCAGTACTTGCCAACATTGTCCATAATTACTCTCCTTACCAAGCCACGACAAAACTACATTGTTTATATAAAATGATTTGGAGTGAAAGGTGCGGACGGCATGTGCACTGCACTTTTATAGTGCTCACGGGGAACAGCATGATGGGAAATCCGAAACATGGAGATTACCGAGACGACATGAACGACTGAAAGGCACGGGCGTCGGTAGTTAGGCATTTTGCCTTTAAGCAAAATTTAACAATTAAGATAATTAACAAGGAATTACTTAAGTGAGTAATTGTATCTTTAACTTTTCATGTACAACAGTTTCAGAATACTCATACACTGTAAGTAATTGACAACTTTAATGTGAACTATTTTGTGGTCTTGCAAATCTTTATCATGTTTCATCATGTCATATGTATAGCATGCTGGACAGTTGATGCTAACAGGCTTAGCTACATAGAATGTACATCAAATACATGTGAAAGGTTCTCTTTGCAAATAGGTATGATTATTTATGTTAATGACCCGTTCAAACTGTTCAGGAAGGATAAAAAACAGTCAAGCCACTGGATTTATTACAAATTACTTTAGCCAGTGATGTTATTTAACTGGTCTTTATTAAACCTCTGTTGACACTCTTCAGTTGAAGAATTTCAAGGACTAGTGGAGTCCTTATTTCACTAGACCTCAGAGTTTGTAGCTGGTCAAATGTTGCCTATGTTTGCATTTTCTGTCAGTTTTATTCAGTTCCAATTTGAAGCAAATTTGAAGCACTGAGAACTGGTTCAGAATTATAGCCCTCAATCCTACAAGCCAATGAAGACTACCATCACCAGATTTTTACTTGTCCTCTGCACAATTTCGTAGTCTCAGGCTAGGAACTAGTGTGAATTTCGAAGGCTGCACTAATCTCATGAGTTTGCGGTGCTACTTACATAATTTAAAGCTCTGTATATAGATGGTATAAGTATAATGACTGCATGGACACAGCCACATGGTGCGAAGAATAGAAACCACACAAAGTTGCCGTGATTAAAGTGACCACAGCAGGTGTTGATCCATGGACAGTGGTGGTCCATTTTCATCACACATCTGAAAGAAAAATTTACAAAACAATTTGTTTAGTTCCAAGTAGGGGGACCAGATGTTACAGAAGTTGTGGACACGGTAATCAAATGGATGAGCAGTCAGAAAATAGGCAGTAATACAGAATCCGAGACTGAAGCAGGTAGACTGGGCACTGGCTTGATGTCATGATTTGTTGAAACTGCCAGCATATCAAACAGAGAACCCGTTCTGAGGGGCATTCACAGGGTACAACAAGTTGTATACAATTTATTGCATGCAACACATTGCATCTCATAACGTATGCAACTTGTTGGACGAATTATATGAAATAGGACATGCTCTATTTCATGTGACAAGTTGTACACATGCAGCCAATCACAGCGGGTATCACAGTTGCGGGAAAGTATCTATTATGTGATGCCAGTAACAGTTATTTTGGGCAAAGCATAAGTACAATAAACAACATCTAAAAATAATGTACAATGAAAATATTGCCATTATCACATTTTACTAATTCCCCATTCTCAATGAAATTACTTATTCGAATAACGGATAGCTACATGGGAAGTACAATTACAAAACTATCGGGTGTCTGCTCTTTGTCCAAACACCAATAACCACCACCAAAAGACACCAATAACCCTTTATTCGTTTCCAAAATATTCTGAAAACTCAATACACACAATTCTGTTAGACTGCGAAGTCAGAGGCAGGTCCAGAGTCATGCAACAGCAATTGTCACACAACGTTGACTTCACTTGTCCTATTAACTTATGTGAAAGAATCGGGTGGTCCTTAACTTCTTTTGAGTAGCATAAATTACAGGTAGCATTGTCATCTAGCACTTCATGTGCATGTGACCTAAAGATCAGATGACATAAGCAGTGTTACCTGTTACACTTCCTGCAGTGATGAGATCGAGGGGCTTTGAAACCTTCACAGAAATCACAATACTGTAAAAAGTTGATATCATTCTTGTTCTCCTGTAAAATACAAAAGGAATTATGCATAACTTGCACATGTTGTAAATACAGTTTGACATTGCATAAGTCTAGCGCTGTAACCATGGTGACCATTTACAAGTGGTATTGTAGCAGGACGTGGAGTCATCCCACAGATGACACCCTTACCATGTCAGCTTGCTAGGGCTGAGCACTTTCATATTAAATTTAAGCAAAATAAGTCTCAGTACCCTACTATGCGGCCCAGGATGTGCCTACTGTTGACCATGTTGACGGGGAAGTATGTAGCAGGATGTGGAGTCATCCCATAGATGATATCCTATCCTTGTCAGCTTGCTGACGGTGTTAACCTCTTTGGTAATGTGGACAAGGCGTCCGACCTCTGATCAGAAGGTACGTGGTTCGAATCCCATCACGGGACTGGGAATATTTTTGGCCGCTACAGTATGGTGCATTGCGATGCTTTGTGGTACAATACAATAATACAATCACAGAACATGTATATAAGCAGGACATTTCAATATTGCTTAAAATGATATCACACTGAAATTTTATTGAATGTTTTTATATTTTATTTATAAACAAATGATAAATATACATTAAACGCATTTCTCCCTATTTCATACATTTGAATTTTTAAATGTTAAATAGTAGTTTATTTCTGTTAAGAAATGAGGATGCTATGAAACTTGTAATCCAAACATTTGAAAGCAGTATGTAAAATGTACTCTGGCAATGGCCATTTCAATTTTTGATATTTGAAACTCTACTTTGTTGTAAACAGGAACATGTTGAACATATTCTGTGACAAATAGACCCCATCACTGCTCTCGGCTAGTTATTGGTATGTTTAATATTTTGGAGGGGAAGAGGTTTTAGTGCAGTGTAACAGACCCATGACAATGGCTCATACTGATATTGTCAAAAACTTGAAATCATTAAATCAAAAGCATTAATAAGAAAATTAAGGGGTTTCTCAGAAGTGATGATAATTCCAACCTTGCATCCTCCATGTCACAATGAAACAGTAGCTCTAGGTTTGGGGAATAATTACATATTATTCCTTCCAGTTTGGCTTACCGGTGACCAGTTGAGGGGCACAAATCCTGGTCCCTTCCATGCAGCGTTGAGGTAGTTGTAAAGTGTTAGAAACACCCATATCAGGAACACAATGACATTGAGAGCACCTCCAACTGTTGTTATTGGCCACCACATCAATGTACAGTTTAATGCAACTCCAGCAATAGTGAATATAACAGACAGTGCCAAAATTGGCCCCCAGTGGAACAATTGCAGCCACGTTCCTGTCCTGTTGAAAGCCATTTTCCTTCTTCAACAGTGTTGATTAGGTGTGAACGATGAAACAACTGCAAACTTAGTTGCCTCCCTTTTATCAGAATACGGACCGAACGCCAGGCCACGTAAAGACAAATATCACTGCGTGTCTATGTTGAAATGAATATCAACTTTTAATATTGACCATCAGCACCAATCATTCAGCTCTCTCGTAACTATGATTTCGTGAAAAAGGGTACTTCATAACACAATTACGCATTTAGCCAAAGCATAAATATAAGTGTACATGGTCATGTAATTGTGGTATTCCCCCTGGCAAGCACGACACCATTCGTGCGCTAATGGTTTCATTAAGACAAACTGCACTCTCTGAAGCTTAGCTGTGATCCTGGATTTCGACCTTCACCTTCGATGGATTACCTCCCCGTGGGCTGTTTTCTAAACGACAGATAATAGCTTAGCATGAACGTTCTCTTCCGGTTCTGTACATCGATTATTACCGGGGGGGCTTTTAAGCGGGATTACTCGTCTATATATATGATCCAGATTGAACAGATGTTGGTTAATCGTGCGATATTTCTGATTCAAAGAGCCAGTGGGTATCACAGTTTCGAATGGATGTCTACGCCAGCAGAAAAGCTTTTTGTCTAACAATATAAGATAGTTACTGTCATTGTTTTGGAAAGTTCTTTGCATGCATCATACGTGGTTGTTCATGGTGGGTGACATCAATCTAGTTTAATCAGAACGTTTACTCCAATACGAAATCTCTCTCCGTGAAGAGGTGTCGAGATTATGCTACACCCATGCTAAATATTTTCAAAGATAAAATTCTTAATTTCTTTGGGTTTTTTAAATGGAGATTGACTCAACCGGAAATGGTATAAACTTCTTAATTAGTATAATACGAGGAAGCGTCACGTTATCTCTGTGTCATTAGATCAATCAACATAATAAAAGTTCTTCCTAAAATAACTATTGCGTTCAGTTTCGAATAAAATTGACATGACATTGTATCAAAACCTTCAAAATGAACACAAACAAAGTGGGTATAAATGGCAGACAAAGAAGGTTGATTGATAAAAGCTAGTTCATTTCAAAGTTAGATCTTTGATCTGTGACGACCTAGTGAGATTGAGCGAATGACTACTTTAAACACGATGCCGTCGGAAGTACAATCCCATTGACTCAGTCTGTCATGGGATGGGCCAGTTGCTGGTCATACAGTTTGCACCTCTTTGGGATAATTTGAATAAATTGTAAGATTTTGTAACTAATGTTATATTTGGAATAACACTTTCTTCGTATAGTACAGATTTTCGTACTTTTTGTGTTGAGTCACGACCGGATATTCGAACCCACACTGTGTTAGGCACCTAATCGCCAGCACACAAAGTCAGCGATCTTACCCGCTCAGCCAACGAGGCTTCCACAAAAATGAAAGTCCGACAACTGATAGTCTTGCCATATCCTTTTCACCAAAGGGTTTGATGTTCGCCCCCAGAACGGTAATATTGGCTGCTCTCTTCTTAGTTTCAATGGGAGTTCTCCCGTTTCTACTTGTAGTGCTTCTAGTGAAGTGCCTGTTGCTGCACCTGTGGCCAGCATTAGGGCGTTGTATTGTATTATGTCGAGGTGGCTAAGACAGTATTTGATGCTGAGTGAAAGGCCTCACAACCATAGTCTATTTTTTATCTGTCAAGTGATTTGTAGAGGTCCAGCCATCTTCCTGAGGCAAGGGAGTTAACTGACCACAAAAGTCCAGTTTCCACCCTTGCCGAACTAGGCTGGAATTCCTGGTCCCGATCGTAGCATCACCAGTGGATATCACGAAATATGTCCCTTCCATGCCTCTCCTATGGAGCAATCAGATTCTACCTTTCGTATCACTTGCATTTGTTTAAAACAAAATGGCGGCGCCCATTCAGGACGATCTGATCTATAATCAAGATCTATATTGTAATAAAACGGGTCTTACATCGCGAAGTGCATCACATCATGTGAGCACCTTGATTAAAAACATGAAACGATTAGGAAAATGTCTGTTGACAATGAGTTGGCGGTGGAAATGTTTTGCAAATCCTGCAATCGACCGAAATCTGCGCGACAATTTACGAACTGGATTTCGATTTCGTTGCGCGATTTTGATTGGACTATGTTTAGACTCGTTAGTCCAGCCAAACTGTAACTCCATATTATCAGCCTAGTTCGGCAAGGGTGGAAACTGGACTTTTAAAGTCAGTTAACTCTCTTGCCTCGGGAAGATGAGGTCAAGCTGAATGTCCCTCGATGTGCCCAAAGATGTGCTTGGAATTGTCCGTAATACGTTCAGGTCTTTTTGACATCTGTTATCCATATATTCTATTTGTTTGCGCCAAGAGAAGGTTGATCAAAGATCACCCCTAGAAATATTGCGGATTTTTCGAATTTGATTGGTTTGCCTTTTATGGACACGGGGTATCATAGCATCTTTCACCTGCGTTTGAATAGAACTCCCACAGTTTTTTCACTTGAAAGGGTGAACCCCCATTTATTGCACCATTGAACTACTCCGTCCAGGGCTGACTGGAGTTTTGGGGGGATTTGTGAAATAGTTTTGTGCTTTACCCATATTGGCGTGCCATTGATTGCTCCCTATTTTAACTGATAGCGACCTGTCTTGCAGGTCTTGTAACGTTTGCAAAAAAGTGATTCTCAACCGTTTTTGACGACTTCAAAAATCCTTTTATGAAGGGTGTTACAGTAATGTATTCTCACTATATTTGGGACAAGGGATGCATTGGTGAAACATAATAAAATAATGACATCAATTGCTAGACTAGTTAGCTATATAAAATGATTTCACCGAACGGGGACATTTTGTGCTGCAATTATATAAGCAATGTTAGTCCTTTGAAGAAATTTATCAAAACGTGTTCAAATTCCACTAATCTGAACAATGTTGATCCTGGCATAATATTTTTGTTTTTACAGTATATAAAAAAAGGTATTAGAATTTGAAAGTCCTTCTTAAAATAGCGTTTAAAACTGTTTGAATCTGTATCCGACTAGATTCAGCATGCTGCAATCGGATAACGGCCCACAGTGTTGTATGCTGCATACAGCTGGGCCTTCTATGGTATGGAGTGAAATGCTATCCAATTTTTAATCAAACTCCTGGGCAATGACTTGTAAATTGTAGTATTTTTCACTTCCAACTGGTTTTAAAACGGTAACTAATTGTTAAACAGTATGTTATGAAATTAACATATTGTTGTTGACACCATGAAGTAAATTAGAAAGACAGCACAAGAAAACCCTCCAAGAAATCTACAGTAAAAGAGACACAAATAACACTATGTTCAACAAACTGAACCCCATAAACTCGCAGCCCCCTTACGCCACATCCACTGTCAAAATCCACCAAGATCCGGTCAAAGTCAAAATGCTTGGATGCTCCAGAGGCTCAGTCTTCAACAACACAGCCCAGCACCTTGCCAAATTATTAGTACCATTGGTGAAAGAAGGAAAATCCTACATCAGCGATTCCATAACCTTTGACAACAAACTTCAAAAATCAAAGCTCACGGGTCGCATGGTCCTCTTCACCGACATACCTCTGCAAGAAGCCCTCAAAATCCTACACATCAAGTTATAGACCAGTTAGACACACCCGTCTCCATAGACAGCATCACACAGTTAACTGCCTCCTGTTTCACCACCTCGAACATCACATGGGGTGGCATGATCTATCAGCAGATACATGGCCTCCAAATGGGTTCCCCCTTGTCCCCACTTACTACAGAAATCGCTGTGACATATTTTGAAAAAGCTGAATTGATATCTCCCCCTTCCAACCTTTATGCTGGCATAGAGAAGTAGATGACACGTTCACCATCCTAGAAAAAACTAGGACCCCGAAGTCCATCTGCACCACCTCAACCTACAACACCAAAGAACCAAGTTCACCATGGGAACAAAAAGCCACCACCACTTACCCTTCCTCGATGTACAACTCGACAACAGTCATGACCACATCCACACCGCCATCTACCCATCTTCCCGGGGCAAGGTTGGAAACTGGACTTTTATAGTCAGTTAACTCACTTGCCTCGGGAAGATGCCGTCTACCGCAAACCCGCTCACACGGACCATTACATTCACTACATGTCAAACCACCATCCTCAGATCAAACAAGCCATAATTGCTACCCTCACCCGACGAGCTAAACCATCTGCAATTCGGACAGTCTCGGCAAAGAAATTCAGCATCTTAAACACACCTTTATCGCCCTCAATGGTTATCTCAAACATCGGGGAGAAACCCGTACTGAAACCCAAGAAACCCAGCTAAAGGATCCCCTTTCCCAGTCCAAACCGGCCCAATCACCCGTCCTCGTCAGCATTCCATACCAAGGCCCTACCAGCCACCAGATCAGCAGGCTGCTCACCAAAACAACCAACATAGACGTGACTTTTCACTTCACACTGAAAAACATGTTAAGGTCTACCCAGTCCACCCCAAACCCCATGGGATGTGTGTATGAGATATCATGCAACTGTGGACACAAATACATTTTATGTACAGTTATTATGTACATTGGAGAAACTTCACGCCCCATAGCCCCCAGAATAAAAGAACACAAGACCTCTGTTGAAACATCTGACATGACATCTGCCCTTGCACATCTCATCTCATTCTGACCACCATATTTCCCGGCCACAAACCAAGACTCTCCATACCAACATCAGTCATTGGAAAAAGAGGAAACTTCAAGAAAGCATCGAAGTCCAAAGAATGAAGCCAGCCATTAACAGAGACCAGGGTATCTTCCTACCTAGTGTGTACTCCACTGTGATATAATCACATCATCAACCTGATGAATGAGCAAGAAGTAGCTCTGAAACGTCGTGACAAAGAATAAAAGTTGCTATCCATGAAAAAGTGTCATGTATTCATGTTCTTCCAACTTCTAAATGCCTCTCAAAGACTTAATGTCTATGATTTTGTTTGTTTATTTGTCGCTTAACGCCTCACTCAGCGATATTCCAGATACTAATATATGGTGGCGGTCTGTAAAAAATTGAGTCTGGACCGGATAATCCAGTGATTGACATCATGAGCATCGATCCACGCAATTGGGAAACGATGACATCTATCAATCAAGTCAGCAAGTCTGACCACCCGATCCCGTTAGTCGCCTCTTACGACAAGCATAGTCGCATTTTACGGCAAGCATGGGTTGCTGAAGACCTATTCTATCCCGGGTCTTCACGGGTGAAGAGTATATGATTACATGCTGGAACCCCCCATGCATAGCCTCTAATATGTAGGAACAGTCCATGCATGCCAATTGGTTCCAGCGTGTAATTAGATTCATACTGGAAAGTGTGTAAATCACCTTCATTACACATTGTAAAATAAAATATGTTAATTTTGTTTAAAAGGGGACTACGCTCCGGGGGCTAAATTACAGTCGAGCGTGCATCAGGAACCAACGCACCTTCGCCAAAATAAAGGTATGATACTAGTTGTAACGGAAATAGTATGGTCAACCTGCAGCATGGGTTACGTCCCTTACTATCTCTAAGTGTTGATGTTTTGTGGAGTTTTCGTGCCTGACAGACGTAAAATTGATAGTTTGTGTTATCCACAGCGTCATTATGTCTAAAATGTTTGAAGACGAGGTTAGAAAGGCACTATTTCAATCGCCTGGAGTTCCCGAAAATGCTAGGAATAACTCAAACGGTCAGTTTTGCAGGTTGATGTGTTAAAAACAAAGCGGTAAAATAACTGTTCAGTAGCTTACATAAACTTCAGTGATAAGTTGGCTACTCTTTCATTTTGTGTTGCAGATTTCAAGGTTCTTCTGAATAAGCTCCAGATAGACCACGACATAGAGACGATGCACACCAATCTACAAAAAGGTACTACGCGCTAGTAGGGACACAGGTGATTGTAACGCAAAAATCAGCGTGATATATTTGGTCACTCCCGGGATCATAGTATATAAAAATGATAGTACTATGGCCCCTGTAGTTACCATATATTTCTTGCTGCTAATTTTTGTGTTACAAGCCCCTGTGTATTGGAGAGACAATAAGGGATTTAAATATGATTTAGGGCTTGTCTTTTCAAGTCTGGTAAGCGAGATGGTAATCCTGCAGTTTACCAGACATAGTTTAGGACTGGTTCGGACTTCCGGGTGTGATTGCATGGGTGATATGGTTTTACTTCAATATCAGGGTGGATCAGACCGGAAACTGGCTTCACACATTGTACCCATGTGGGGAACTGAATCCGGGACTTCAGTATGACAAGTGAACACTTTAACCATTGGGCTACCCCACTGGCTGTGGCTCTTGCTTCCTGTTTCCAAGACAACATCGAAACAGGGAATTGGTCATGGCAATTTATGTCAATATGGGGGTGAATATATTATAGTAACTGGATAATCAGGGAATACCGCTTGGAATCGCTGTACCCCAGTTAGTGTGGGATGTAAATCAATGCAACATTTTTGTGAGATGTTAATGAGAATTGGTTGAAACCTTCAATTTACCATTGATTATGGAAATGCCACGCAGGAAGTATGGGGGCCGGCCACAGTGAAAGTGCATACTAATGCCCAGTATTTAAACTCACTTTCAGTATTTTAAAGTAAATAAATGATTTCTTGTTTTTCTGATGAGAGTGAGAGTATTAATGATGATAAAGTAATGAAGTTGATAATTATGCTGCTACATGATCTATTCACTATCGCTGTTCACAGGTTGACACACTTGATTCCAGTATGATGTGTTTAGTCAAGTATATATATTTTCGTTTGATTTTTTTTCAGACCTCCATGAACAGAGAATGAAGCAGCTACGACAATTACTGAAAAGTCTTAACGATGATGACTGGAAGTATCCTCCCATTGATAAGATGATAGGTCTCCAATGATGGATGGTCTGTGCTATCAGACAATCAGTGCATGTGGAATCTCCAGACATTCTCCAGTGACATCTACTTCAGTTCCAGAGAGAGTTCGGGTGTGGTCATTATGATGGTCACTGATTACATGCAAGCATGTGAGGTGTCAAGATATTGTCAAGAGAACCTTGCCTTCCTCCCACACTGGCCATACAGAGATGAGTGATGTCATGGTGTTGTGTGGACAAAACTTGGATGAAACACTGTTCAGAGTCCATACTGATTTGTTAAGATGTAAATTGAACACTGTTATTTCTATACAGAGAATATGTGAGTTTGTTTACATCCCATGCTTTTATTTGCTTTGAAAGTTTTCCATATATATTAGTGAATGAAATATTATGGATGATACAGCAAATATATCATAGGTATTACAGTGATAATATAGCTTTCATTTCTAAAGAGGTGTGGTAGAGTAGCCTAGTGGTTAAAGCATTCGCTTGCCACACCAAAAACTTGGGTTCGATTCCCCACCTGGATACAATGTGTGATGCCCAATTCTGGTGTCCCCAGCTGTGATATTGCTGGAATATTGCGAAAAAAGCAGCTTAAAATAATACTCACACCTTACTAAGATAATTTTTGGTAGTGTGATGTGAAGGGCCTGAATTCTGTGAAAATGAAGGATCTGCCGATTGTACTGTATGTTCAAATCCCATGTACGTTCAAATCCCAGGTTTGTCCTGGTTGTGATCCTTTGTTTTTCAGCATCATATCTATGCTTTAGGGTTTTTTACCTAGTGGAAAACCACTGAGTGTCTGCATTAGATTTTCATCAATCTGACACACCCTGATAAAACTGAAATACTGTTCAAAGTGGTGTAAGACCCAAACCACTAAATATCTACAATTCTTGTGATTATTCATTGCTGAAATCTGGTACCTTTCTTGGGGAGTTCATTTTATGTTTAATCTTGCTGCCAAAATATCCTTTGACTTGTTCTCTAGATGACATTTTACAAAGTGCATTTTGTGATATTTTGTAATAAAATATGTAATTTATTCAGTTCCCTTTACTCTTTATGCGTTGTATTTGGTCAGTGGTACAACCCTTCTGTAAAGGCTTCTTGTTATGTTCTAATGTTTGAATTCAGAGGGGAAGTAACTCTTGGCGGACTGCTGTGACAGAATTTCAAAATGGTAGTTGCATGTGTAGAAGTAGCATATCTCACAAAACACCATCAGCGATTGTCTCCCTTACACTTTTGACCAGAGACCATTAGTCATACCATTATAACTATCAGTGTTATTTGATTAATCTTCAAGTGCTCACGTGCATTGTGTAAAGGGCTTACCTATTGGTAATGATGGGTGCACTAAGGGTCTATAGTCCAATCTATGATAGCTACGTGATAAATCACAAAGAACAATGAATAACGAAGTGAAACGTCAAGATCACTTTTGTGTTGCCTTTTCTTATCTATGTTTTGAATTTACTTAATTTGCCATTCGCCATTTAGCAGCTGCCGATCCTCACACATTTAAGGGTTCTTTGAAATCTGATGCTGAGTTTTATTCCAGCATAAAACGAAGTTTTGTAGGGGATATAGACACGGCACCGTCCGTCCATCACGTTTCCTCTCCGGGGCATAAGTCGTAAATCGTTCAACATTTTCTCCATGAACTTACTTACTTACTTACATTGGAGATTTTACGTGGGCTTTCCGACTGAGAGCGTATTTCGCACGCGGAAACTTGGTATACAGATCAGTTCCCGCTTGCACATAGCTACCTTTGGGCTATGATTGTCGTAAGTCCATGTTATAGTATGCACTAAGATTGCTTTGTGCAAGTGGACCCAGGTCTGCACTGAACTGGCGTCTTTTGTTATTGAGAAATATTGTATTTTTGTGTGTTTCCAGGGCAAGAAGTTATCTTGGGTTGAAATGAGTTATGATCACGTGGTTACAATCCAGGTAAAAGGTCGTAGTTCAGGTGACTGCTCCGGTTGTAGTTATCAGTGAACTTGGTCAACAGCCCTTCAAATACTACATATGCGCGGATTGTTTTCTTTCAGTTCGTTCTGGTATTGTACGTTCTCAGCACTTCAGCAATCAGCTGCTACATAATAGTCGCCTGCAGTCAACTGCGATTGAGACGATTGAGACTCAATGATGATGTTTATAGCTAGCAAAATTGATAAGCGCACTTTGCAATTTTTTTCGTTACTGTTATGTTCCTTATCGCCAAACTGGCTTCATTTCACTTTATAAGTATGAACATACATGCAGCTATCTTCGTTTATGAATCATTGCGATATTTCGCGGTTCTGTTTCATGTGGCGAGGACTATATCTAGTGTTTGTCATGCGTTATAACTGGTGTACAGAGAAATTATTGAAAACATCACTTCAAAATTGAGAAGTACATTTCGTATATGTATGGGTCATCGTGTATTTCGTAAGGCAGAGGTGGTTGTACCTGCGCTCTTCCACATATTTACCTATGTCTGAAATAACACATGCAATGATTTCGGCCTACCATTAGCTGCACAACGTTTACAAACACATTATACCCTATGACGTAATTTGTGAACTTTTGTTGCAAGACACACCGACGAAACAATGCCCTGAGACAGGGTTGATTGGGTTATCGAGTTTGCGCAAGGCGCACAAGTGCAGCGGATTGTTCATTCTTCTTGAATGACGTCACAAAACGTTGACGTAACAATAGTGTGACGTCACAGAACAGCGTCCACTTTCATGTGGTTCATTCCGCATGTTGGTGTCCACGTTATTAGCTTAAAATGTCACTTTGCTGTTTCCGACAAGAGCCTTGGGTTACAGGTAAGTCATATAGAATACTGTTGAAAGATCCCACGTGTCCGTTACAGACACACTTGATTCATTCGCTGTACCCATGTGTCTGTCACAGACACACTTGATTCAATCGCTGTACCCATGTGTCTGTTACAAACACACTTAATTCAATCGCTGTACCCATGTGTCCGTTACAGACACACTTGATTCATTCGCTGTACCCATGTGTCTGTCACAGGCACACTTGATTCAATCGCTGTACCCATGTGTCTGTTACAGACACGCTTGATTCAATCGCTGTACCCATGTGTCTGTTACTGGTATATACACACGTGATTCCATCACTGCACCCATGTGTCTATAACATAAATAAACATCAGTAAATACCTGCAAGATGGATATACCAGTAATAATAAAATGTGACAAAATCAGACAATAAAAATTGTAACGAGAGCGAATTGACTTCAGTGTTATCCTTGCCAAGATCGATAACAAGAGATACTTCTTGTTCAGCGCTTGTCTAGTTGAATGTAGCATTACAATGTTGCCCAATATAGAGGACCATTTATAAGCTTGGGTAAATACATCCTGAAATCAAGTATCAATTTGTACACATATGATTAAAACAGAAATGTAGTTGATCTGTATGTAGTGTTTGTGTGGGGACACAATTGGAACACAAATAAACTGAAGAAAAACTCTCCATAGTGTTTGCTTCCGAACATTATTCAAACATTAACGAAGTTGAAGTATCTGTTTTGTAGAACACAGTTAAACGTAAAAGTAATCAACTCTGCCCCAACCAGTCCCTGCACGCCAGGCTCCAAGGAATCCCTTTGTTTCAGTGGGAGAACTACCATGGTCGGTGGAACTGCGCGAGGAGTTCAAAGCTATCAGATGGTGGCTCCATCTCATCAGAGAAGTTTGCATGGAACAGAACAGGGTGAGCGTTACCTTTTGTTAATTAATCTGTGTCATTACAAAACCAATGAAGATCCGGGGTAGAATAGGTCTTAAGCAATCCACGCTTGCCGTGAAAGGTGACTATGCTTGTCGTAAGAGGCGACTAACGGGATCAGGTGGTCAGGCTCGCTGACTTGGTTGATGCATATCATCGTATTCCAATTGCATGGATTGTTGCTCCTGATGTCAGTCACTGGATTGTCTGGTCCAGACAAGATTTACAGACCGCAGTCATATAGCTGGAATATTGCTGAGTGCGGCGTTAAGCAACAAACACACAGACAGTACAAAACGACCAAGAATGATATCTAGAATCGTGACCATGTTTTAAAGAGCACATTTGACTGTTCATAGGAAAGGATGATTTAACCCCTCAAGACAAAGATGTACAAAAACTGAAAACAATGAAGACAACAGCTTGTCTTTCAGGTATCGATGTAATATGGGCCCTGATGATAGCGTACTTGGTCCCAACCAACATAAGCTTTCCGCACGAGGCGACTTAATGGATCGGGTGGTCAGACTCGGTGACATGGTTAATTGAGTTGTTCATTATATCAATGATTGAATTGTCTGCTCCGCACCCCAGTTTTCAAGTCATTCCTTTAGGCTGCCCGTCAGTTTAAATGACGGCAAGAATAGGTTCCCAGCACCCTATGCTTGTCGTAAGTGGCGAGTAAATGGAACGGGTTGTCAGGCACGCTGACTCGGTTGATAGCGTGTTGTAGAGCGTGGACCGTTGCTCACAATATCGGCCACTGGATTGTCTGGTTCGGACTCGATTATTTACGAGTCATATAGCTGGCATATTGCTGAGTACGGCGTTAAACAACGAATAAACAAACACAAACACATTACATATTTTGAGATCTACCGCTATATATGCGTGGTATAAAGAAACCTTACTATCGATATGATGGAACAGATCTTGAAGTACGATGCTTTTGTAACCTGATTGAGTCCATGGCGTTTTACGCCACTGTCAGCAATATTGAAGCTATAACCCGGCGGCGTGTAAGTTGTCGAGTCTGGACCAGGCAAACCAGTGTTTCATAGCGTGCAAAAACCGGCTCAAACCGCCGAGATGCAATGATACACGATCAGACAAGACACATACTGCTACATCCGATTCTCTACTTCGTCAACGATTACGTCATAAGCGTGATGTACTGGGTACGTCTGCTCCCACGTGTTTTTATTGTTGATTGAAACCAATTACCAAGGCTGACTTTACACCCAGACAGTAAAGTGCATGTCACCAGTTGATGTTTCAGACCAACGATCTGCGAATCGTCAGCAGACGAATATGGAAAGTACACAACGCAGTCAATGAAGGCGGGGCGGAAGTCTCCAGACAGTTCCTCTGCTGTGACCCCAATGACCCCAACGTCCACCAAGCCCTCGTCAACGTCCAAAACAGCGTCATCGCGGTTGCAAATCGCTACAAACTCCCACGGATTCTTCCCCCGCCCATCTTCGTCAATGGGGTGATGGTTCGGCCTACCTTTCCCTCGGAGCCAGGGCGGTTCCAGAAGTTCATCGGTGATGTCCGCAGTCGATTCACATTTGTCACATCCAAGCCTAAAGACCCGGTGGCTTGTCAGAGAGAAGACCCTCCCTCACCAAACAGCAAAGTCACGCCGGGGGAGGACAAAACATCACCGTTCAGGCGGTTCCTCCGCAGAGTGAGAAACATTGGCCGGGAGGGGTCTACTTCTGCACGGTAGATTCTTCAAAAATATTATGTGAACCGTTTTGTATAAGCAAAATGTTCCTAAACAGCAAACTTCAGCCATAGTGTATGTTAAACTGATTTGTAAACAAACTTTTAGTTCTGTTTCATGGCTTCACTGGCAATTGTCTGTCGATCGTGTTGGTATCTGGCTCATCGTTCTACCTCACACTATTCTGCATCATCTGCCGGTCTGACGAAGACATCTAAGCCGTCACAAGTTCGATATTTTGATTAGCCAAAATTGAACGTGATTGCCTCTAGATACGGCCTAGATAGAAAGGACTTACATTTGTAACCCTCTTCAAAGTCGGAATGAAGACATAAAGTAGCATATGCTATTGTGTGGTGTTATTTCTTGGTGTGTACATAGTTCAAAGGGGTTTGACGCATTTGCGTTGCTAGTCGTGGAGAGAGAGAGAGAGAGATAGAGAGAGAGAGAGAGAGAGAGAGAGAGAGAGAGAGTGAGTGAGTTTGGTTTTACGCCGCTTTTAGCAATATTCCAACAATATCACGGCGGGGGACACCAGAAATGGGCTTCACACATTGTACCCATGTCGGGAATCGAACCCGGGTCTTCGGCCTGACGAGCTAACGCTTTAACCACTAGGCTACCCGACCGCCCCGAGAGAGAGAGAGAGAGAGAGAGAGAGAGAGAGAGCGAGAGCGAGAGAGAGAGAGTCCAAGTTAACGCTGCTGTGAACATAATCTCAGTGACATCGCAGCACGTCAGGTTACATGTATGGTTAGCAAAACGAATATATTTCTTAAACGTTTTTCTTTACTTGTGACCAGCCAAATCTTGGCACTTATACACATCAGATGTAATTCAAACTTAGCATTTGGTTCATCGATCACTTGAACGTCTGGTTTGTTCACAGGCCACAGGCATGAAGGATTACTACTGTGCGTCGTCAGGCAATACATAGTTACTTTTTTATGCAAATTGTGTGAATGACGTTTGCTACCGGTAGGGCAGGACATGCTTACACTTTTCGCGAACACCTGGTGGCATCACTGATTTTCAGTGGTCCATTCATATAAATTTCACAGCTATTTTGCCCTTTACGCCAAATGGAATCTGATTCAGTGGATAATCTAGACTGGTTATTTGCTTGCATTGACAATATATATTTACGCATGTCGTGGACCTTTACCATTTTTGTGAAACCAACGAGCACGGGTATGCTGCTAGGCAACTAAATACGGCAATCTGAGCGAATATGGGGAACAACGACCACGACCCACGCTCCACATGTTTCGAGGCGAGATATGGGAGGAGTGAGTGAGTTTGGATTAACGCCACACCGAACAGTATGTGTACCAGTCCATGGTCCGTCAGCTTGATGCATATCTTAGACGCTTACCTTTTTGATGAAACATACGAGCACGGACACGGTGCTGACAAAGCAAGAAACATGATCAGGGATTTGAACCCACGATTGTACTCTATAGGTTTCTGCCACACCTAACGGTCGCAACTCGTGGAATGCGGCGCCTTAGACGAAGGAGTGTGTCGTCAAATATGGGAGGTGTGCCGTCAAATATGGGAGGTGTGCCGTCAAATATGGGAGGTGTGTCGCCAAATATGGGAGGTGTGTCGCCAAATATGGGAGGTTTGCCCTCAAATATGGGAGGTGTGCCGTCAAATATGGGAGGTGTGCCGTCAAATATGGGAGGTGTGTCGCCAAATATGGGAGGTGTGCCGTCAAATATGGGATCTGTGTCGTCAAATATGGGAGGTGTGCCGTCAAATATGGGAGGTGTGTCGCCAAATATGGGAGGTGTGCCGTCAAATATGGGATCTGTGTCGTCAAATATGGGAGGTGTGTCGTCAAATATGGGAGGTGTGCCGTCAAATATGGGAGGTGTGTCGCCAAATATGGGAGGTGTGCCGTCAAATATGGGATCTGTGTCGTCAAATATGGGAGGTGTGCCGTCAAATATGGGATCTGTGTCGTCAAATATGGGAGGTGTGCCGTCAAATATGGGAGGTGTGCCGTCAAATATGGGATCTGTGTCGTCAAGTATGGGAGGTGTGCCCTCAAATATGGGATCTGTGTCGTCAAATATGGGATCTGTGTCGTCAAATATGGGAGGTGTGCCGTCAAATATGGGAGGTGTGCCGTCAAATATGGGATCTGTGTCGCCAAATATGGGAGGTGTGCCGTCAAATATGGGATCTGTGTCGTCAAATATGGGAGGTGTGCCGTCAAATATGGGAGGTGTGTCGCCAAATATGGGAGGTGTGCCGTCAAATATGGGATCTGTGTCGTCAAATATGGGAGGTGTGCCCTCAAATATGGGATCTGTGTCGTCAAATATGGGATCTGTGTCGTCAAATATGGGAGGTGTGCCGTCAAATATGGGAGGTGTGCCGTCAAATATGGGATCTGTGTCGCCAAATATGGGAGGTGTGCCGTCAAATATGGGATCTGTGTCGTCAAATATGGGAGGTGTGCCGTCAAATATGGGAGGTGTGTCGCCAAATATGGGAGGTGTGCCGTCAAATATGGGATCTGTGTCGTCAAATATGGGAGGTGTGCCGTCAAATATGGGATCTGTGTCGTCAAATATGGGAGGTGTGCCGTCAAATATGGGAGGTGTGCCGTCAAATATGGGAGGTGTGCCGTCAAATATGGGAGGTGTGCCCTCAAATATGGGAGGTGTGCCGTCAAATATGGGAGGTGTGCCGTCAAATATGGGATCTGTGTCGTCAAATATGGGAGGTGTGCCGTCAAATATGGGAGGTGTGCCCTCAAATATGGGAGGTGTGCCCTCAAATATGGGAGGTGTGCCCTCAAATTGTGAAACTCCTGACCACGGATTAATATTCAGGGTGAATCTGGGATTCGAACCCACGATCATTTGTCTGGCTCGACTAAGGGACGCAACTCTACACAGCGTATTACGGTGCATTGGATGACTAGTTGTTAAAGCGTTCGCTCACTCCGACGAGGGATCGTGCTCGATTACCATAACAATCGGTAACCTAATTAACCAAATGACCATGTGCTCACCAACACTCGTACAGTAAATCTCCCATGCACATTAACCTAGATCCATTGTGACCATATAAGCTGTGGGTAATCACATTAACCTAGATCCATTGTGACCATATTAGCTGGGGGTAATGAAGACTGATTAACAAGAAACAAACTGAAAGTGACATATGTGAAACGCAGCACTTTTCTAACTTACAACATTGTTATGAAACCACCAGGGTATTCCTCATGACATATTTGTCCTACTGTCAGCTCACTCTGAGAGCATACGGCCAACAAAACATTATTTTCCCACCCCACTATAAAGATGGCACAATGTCGTTTTGAGCACATCGTGTCATCGTCCTGTGTAATGAGCGTCGTGCTTTGTCACGTCAGTTTTGTTTGTTCCTTTCCATGTGACAACTATCCCTATGGAACTTGCATGTTGGATTCACCAGACTAAACATTAATTATTTGACAAAAAAAATGTTGTCAACACGAGGAGAAACACATGTGACACACGTTCGGCTCCCTCAGTCTGGCAAATTCAGAGAAGTTTACATAGCCAAATATACATTTTGAGAGAATCTAAAAGCATGGTCAAAGCAAGGTTAAAATGATAAATATATGCAATTATAAACAGAACACATGTCTTGAATCCCACAACACATATCAAATTTCATAAGAATTTGTACAAAACTGACTGAATAATGGCAATAAGCAGTTTCAGCTAACAGTATGGTTTAAGTACAAAGATCATACTGAAATTTTGATTTAAACGTCTTGAACAAATTCTGATGTCATCAACAAATGCGAAGTGTCAGCTACAATGGTCAATTTTCTAATATGATCACTGGCAGCCATATTTGATTTCTGATCAAGATAAATTGTACAATCTCTGTACTTCACAAGGTGACCATCACACCCAACAAGTTTCAGGACGCCTACCCTTTAAAAAGATGTGTGGATTTTACTTTCTGAAATCAAAGATGGCCAGGTGGGCTAAAAACAAGCTCAATCTCCCTTAATCTTAAATTCCTTAATCTCGAAAGTCACACTATCTTTGACCCAAACGTCTACCCATATAAGTATCATGAAAGTTGTACACATATTTCGAGCTTGTAGATTGACATTCACACGATATCTCGAACCTCGACATTAAAATACTGTAAAATTTGCATTTCATCTCGAACCTCAATTGAAGTATTTCAAATATTTCACATTCACACATTACTAACATACACTTTACTAACAACAATTAGATAAATCACACCAACAAAATTTATACACACACAAACATCTAATTTGTGGTCAAACAGTAGTGATCGGGTTGAACAATAATAAAAAAATAATATGGCCTTGTAAGATATTACCACTATGTTTTGATAAAGGAATGGTATCACGTGACTTGCAAAAAAGCGCTCATTCGTTGTGTCACACGACATCTTCAAAAGAAAAAAAGGGAGTCAAGTGTATGCTATTCTGCGCGCGCGCACGCACGCACGCACGCACGCACACACACACACACACACACACACACACACTGCATACTAACTTTCATTATGATCCAGTAGAAAATAAAATTGGCTATAGCGACCGTGTTTGATATTGATCTTAGATATGTTTGTTTGTTGTTTAATGCCGCACTCAACAATATTCCAGCTATATGATGGCGGTCTGTAAATAACTGAGACTGGACCAGACAACCAGTGATTGACATTATGAACATCGATCTACGCAATTGGGATGCGATGATATCTTTATTGTAGATATCGCTGCAATGAAATTGCATGACAATGCTTTGCAGACTATTGTGACGTCATTGTTATCATGACGTCACAATTAAATGACATCTCTAATGGCTCAGCTACTGACTCTGTTAGCAGTACTTTTTACACTTAGGACACTGCTTACTACTGTCTACAAACTGTAAAAGTTGGGAAATGGCGTTGGATGATAAATAAAATCTCACCCTCGTGTCTTTTTATATCAAATATATCAACACTCGTTGATAAAAGTGGAAAAAATCCTCGTGTTGACATATTTGACATCGATAGACACCCGGTAGAAATTCTCTATATAACAACTGTTTTACTTCTTCTGTAGAATGTGTTTATTTCAGAGATTAGATGTTAGTCTGGCCCCTCCCTTTTTCATATGTTTATGTATAGTTACAAATTGAAACACATGAGTGCACATGTTAAATATATACAATTATTAGCTGTGGTAACCGTACCTCTGTGCAGGTCCCTATAAACTATTTGGATTCTGACTCCTTGCTAGACAGAGCTACGGGCTGTCCCATAGTGTTTTCCTAACAGATGCCTGAGCCAAATCTGCATCACACTATACACGCTTCAGGAAAGTGCATGCACTGTGACCTCGCGACAAATGCAGCATGATTCACTTCCTAAGACACTTGCCTTCAAAAACGTGCACATATTATGCAGATTGTGCTGTAATATATTTACTCGAAAAGTTAGAAACTGGACCAGTGAAGATTTATTACCTGGCATTGTACTCAGCCATGGCAGCCACAGTTGCTACCCTTTTGATGATTTCAACCCGATAAGTACATAGAAGGTTGCACGATCGAAAATAGAAGTACAAATATTTGAAGGCAAGTGTTTTAAGAATTACATAATGTTGCAAATGAAAATGTGACAATAACTGAAAATAGAACAGCCCTACTGGCAAGCTCTCGGTGGCAGCCAATCAGAATTAAGTTTCAATACTTGCCAAGGGGTTTGCCTGTCAGTCACTATCAAGAATAGGTTGTCATATTTTGACAAGTCATCGTCAATTGATGGCCTAAAACCCACCCTTTTTCAAACAAGGTGGCAGTGGTAAATCTGTTGATCTGACAGTAGAATCAGATGAATCGGATACAGGTACCAGTGACTGTTCAAATGAAACACGACCACAACCACTTCGGGAAGAAGTGCTTAAGCAAAACATATTTTATTTATACAGTAAGGATTAGTATATGCATTATAGTATACCTTAAATTACCAGACAACAGGCTACCACTTGCTACTTGAATTCCAGAATGAAATAGGCTGATGTTTGCAAGTCAATTGAATAATTGTGTGTGGTTAAAATAACGGCACACGTAAAAAGACGTTGAGACTCCATTGTATACAGTACCGAGTCTGGTGAGTCCCATCATTATGTGAAGAGTTATAATATTATATAGCAGTTGCCTTGTCAGACTTTATCAATCTGTTATCTGCAAAATATGATAAAACATATTGGACATTACGATTTAATTGGATCAGCAATAAAACATGATTTAAACAGCATGATTAACGAAACAAGATATATTTTAGATCAAAAATGAAATTTATCATGGAATCTAACATCAATTAATATTTTGTTAAAATTACCCCCTACAAAAGACATTTTACCCCCTGTAGTACATCTTAGGAGTCATGGCGACCCCCAGTTCTCAGAGGCTAGGGAAAACCCTGTAGTGACCAGGCTCCATGACCTAGTGCATAACATTAACAATGTAGGTGTAAACTAGTTGTTAACAGAGGTCCCCAGCACTTGACTGTACACCTTCCACAATCAGCCTGTCAGCAGAAAAGGAGAATAACAATTTTCTTTAAAAGGTTCACTTCTTCCAATGAAGGTGGGAAGAGTATTAATATTAATACCGGAGGGTAATATTATACTAAAATATATACTTTATCTTGAAAAATGCCAAGCACCGGTTAAAGTGATGGTGATTCGCTCATATTACTTTTCCCATTTCTACTAGATGTGAGACACTTATTTCAGAATATGATGAGCAAACTTGACTCTTGTCAGGTAATATTATCAATACACCAGGTATGCACCTTGCCCAAATATAACTTTAAAAAGACAGAGGCAGGGGATGTCGGGTGAAGAGTTCAACAAAAATACCACAAGGCAGTGCGCATTTAGTTCTGTCGTGATGAACATACTGATTTTACCACTAAAGTTGGCATTTTCTAGCACCTCTTACAAACATACATAACCCTCATTAATTTTGTCATGAAGCAGCATGTGAAGATTGTTGTGGGGAATCTTGGCTTGTGTCTCCTACAAACAGATACAAACATTCTGTATTCATTATAATCAATAAAATATAGCATTATAATACCAAGTATAAGATTATTATACAATGTAAATTTCAACTTTGTTGTTTAATCGCACTCAGCAAAGCACTGTAAAGAATCAGATCTGGACCAGACAATCCAGTGATTGACATAATCATCATCATCATCATCATCATCATCATCATCATCATCATAATAATAATAATAATAATAATATTGCACTTACATAGCCGAACACTTTAAACTGATGTATGTTCAACATAGCCGAACACTTTAAACTGATGTATGTTCAACAAAACACTGAATCATGAGTTTAAATGAAAGTAGGACATGGGAAGGTTATTTGGTTGCAGATGCATACTGGAAGGATCTTTTTGCATGGGTCAGAAAGCAGCATCTCCTTGTACTGTTGGTTGACAGGAAAGTTTTCTTTCCATTGTTTACTTCCCTCTATTTGGGTACAACACAAATTGACTCAAACACTGTCAAACAGATCACTATGAGAGTGCTACACTGAAAGATGCCTCTCTATATGACGGCTAGCAAACCCCAAACATATTACATCATTATTTAGTTTATAATAAATTCTATTTCTTCGGAACGAGAGTCTAAAACATAAAGGTAGATAAACGTGTTGGTTTTTTTGTTTCATGTTTCGATAAGGTAAATAGCTTTGTTATGTTCATGATGTTTTTACTGTAACTACAAGGTCAGTGGTGTGCCTGCGGCATGATCAAGATGGATTGCGTTATTTACATATGAATTAATTCAACGTAGTTTCATGGTTTACGCGTTAATCACCAATGTCAACATACACACCCATGAAGATCCGGGTTACAATAGGTCTTCAGCAACCCATGCTTGTCGTAAGAGGCGACTAACGGGATCAGGCTCGCTGACTTGGTTGATGCATGTCATCGTATCCCAATTGCGTAGATCTAAATTGTCTGGTCCATCCTCGATTATTCACAGACCGTCGACACATAGCTGGAATAGTGCTGCACAGGCAGCTGATGACCTGTAATCTCTCCGCAAACATGCAAAGTCGATTCGCAATGTTAAACAACAATACATGCAACAGTTACAACAATTATGACTCATGATGATGATGGTTTGGTTTGGTTTGTTTGTTGTTTAACGCCGCACTCAGCAATACTTCAGCTATATGACGGCGGTCTGTAAATAATCGAGTCTGGACCAGGAAATCCAGTGATTGATATCATGAGCATCGATCCACGCAATTGGGATCGATGACATGCATCAACCAAGTCAGCGAGCCTGACCACCCGATCCCGTTAGTCGCCTTTTACGACAAGCATAGTCGCCTTTTACGGCAAGCATGGGTTGCTGAAGACCTATGATGATGATGATGATGATGATGATTGTATTTCATTTTAATACAAAGAGAGCAGGTGCGTAAACGGAACTTGTATGTACTATGGCGGAGCAAAAAGTAATAACGTCATTAGTCACAACTTAGACAATCACTCTTCTACCCAGAGTTCCATGCTAAGTCACCACTCCGCCGGAGTGTGTTAGACAATGTTACATGACGTCATAAAGTTTCTTCTAGTTTGAATAACGTACAACCAGATGACGTCACGGGGACATCAGTATACTTTTTGCATCGCGCAGCTGTTATTGTCGATACACATAGGTACAAATTTGGAATATCCTTAGGATTGATACACTACTTTTGGTTTTTAATATTAATTAAGTAGGGATAAGGTATTTGGATGAACAACTTATTCATTACATTTAGGAGCAATGTTTCCGTGTAGGTTCTAACACGTACCGTTATCACGCAAGTGTTAGAACCTACACTTAAACGTCGCTCCTAATTGTAATCCATGTTTTTTATCCTTACTTAGTACTCCAATTTCTAAATGTCTCTCAAAGAAATTTAATAGTAATTGTTTAAAACTACATTTGCTTTGATTCACGTTTCCGACCATTTCACCACACCCATGCTCATAGATTAAACACTGACATTATCTCGTTGTACAGAATTAAATATACTGACAGGACAGTCAGCTCGTTGATTGTTAAAATGGTAGCAACACGTCACATATAGTCACCCTTATTAATATTTCTCCATTGCCAGCTCATTTCCGAAACAGTCAGCTGTTGAAGCTGACGTAATGTGGGACTTCCCCTCAGAGTCGTCTCCCTTTACAATGTTTACTTTTTACCTTGCTACCCAAACAATAATAAACAAAGCTTCCCGAGGCCCGTAAGTGACACATTTAGACTTGTAATGCATATTTTAGATCTCCTCAGTGCTATATAATCAGACGGAGGCCACACATATGGAGCGAATGACCTGTTTTTATCAAATGCTAATGAGCGGTTGTGGCCATGTGACTGACTTGAGTCAGTGCCTGTTTGTGGTGTGCGAGCGAGTCGAGAGGCGAGCGTCAGCGTGTGTGTGTTCTAAAGATAGGCGGAGTTATATGCAGGGACAGTCGAGTGCGCTATCATAATTCTCAGGAAACTTCGTCCGTCAACAATTCTAGATGTCATTGCAAGGAACAACAAGCTCCCCTCGCGGACGAGAGATTCCCAGCCGCAGAGTCGTTCTCAACAACTTAGAACAGTTACCAGGAGATTACAGTACAACACCAGGGGGGACGCTGTTCTCCACTACCCCCGGGGGTCAGTTTGCTTATTTGTGCATTAATAGATAATGAAGAAAATGTAGCGACGAATATTCAATGCATTTTTATATGGTCGGTTATATAACTGCACATGCATAGCCACCGTGCGTTCATCCCACCCTTGTTTACTTCAGATCATTCAAGATGGCGGATCATCATGCCATGTGACTTTTGTGTGAAAAGAGCTTATCAGATGTTGCATCGTTGCTTGGTTTTGAGGCTTGTCATGCCATCTGTTAGATATATATTTATATATTTCAAATGCAAATTATCTAATCTAACTCCGTCCGCAACGTTTCGGTGTAGTTGGTCGCATTATTAATCGCCTGCATTGGTAAATAAATATACATTCTTTGTGCGAAGGTAAGTTATATGGTAAACGTTCATGCGCTTTAATTATGAATTTTTTCAGATTTTTCAAGTCACCTGTGACGGCATTTGGGAATCGTTATAAGTCGGCATGCTTCTGTTTATGTTGTCAATGATGTTTTTTTAACGATTCCTGACCCAAAAACGATTTGTTTACATCAGCACTAACATGACCTTGGCACTGGAAGCACGATGTATTATTGTGACTAACGATAGGCCCGTGGCAGATGGCTCCTGTTTGTGATGCACTGACACTGGTACTCATCTCAATAAATGAGCAGTGTATTGACTGTATTTAGTTACATTCCTGTTACGAAAGAAATAAAGTACCTTTTTTTTTCAAGAATGCTAAATATGCAAAGTGTTCAATTTGTGTCATATTTCATTTTTATCTAAGTTTGTCTTACTATAAACTATTTTATAGGAGTGATAAAACACTATTTCATTAAATGTTGCAAATTTAGCTATAGGTTTTGATAGGATGTTTTATTTATGTCTCGCCTCATAAATATTTCATTGAGGAAGTATTACTGAACATTCAGATATGGCTATGGATCTAAATTTGTAAAACAAATATTATGACCTTATTTTATCATGTGACACCTGTCTTTGTGTATTGAGCTTCAGTCAGTTAAGGCCGATAGTACTTACAGATACTATACCATGTATATACTCTGCAGCAGCAGAACTAGGTCACTATCCTCTAAAATGGGGTCACCAAGTTTGTTGGTTGGTGGCAAGTCTTGGTGAGTGTATGATTATATTTGTTATGAAGGACACTCGTAGAGGTGTTTTCTCTGCTTTTGCTGCAAGTGGAAATCAGGAATTCAGTGAAATTTAATTAAAAGATATGTCCATTTTCAATACTGATTGTGGCTTTCATCGCCATGCATTAATTATCAAACTTGGGAGTGGAGACTGGTCAAATTTGCTTGTTTGAAAGAACACAGACAATTCTTGCATTGCCTAATATGTGAACGTAGACATCCTTAGGCATTATTTCACTTGAGTTTTAAGATTCACCAAGTCACACTACCGTAAATGAAATAAGATTATGAATTTCTGAATTATTTCAATTATATCTGAATTGAATGCAGTTATCAACACAGTTAGGAACTACAACCCGTACATCAGCCGACCCCTTTCTATAGAATCTTTTTTCTTGTCCTCAAAATTTGGCTCATGTTAGGTCAAATATGGTAGTGAACATAGATAGCACTGTTTGTGTTATATATTTGTATCACACCTAAGGCATGGTAGATAAGGGTTTATCAGTAAACAATAAATCTGTCATGTCTATTTTTTAACAGGTAATAATATTACATATTTCCCAAGCACTGTTGGCAACACTGAACATATTTAACATATGGCATACATTAGATATATAATAAATATATAAGTATGTATAACATGGTGTAAATGTGTCCTGTGTCCATTATTGTATCACAGTTGTTTATAGATATGTTGTAAGTGACTCTGTGACTTTTGATTGGTTTATGAAGCACTCACACCAAATTGACTTCTGTTTCCTGATTGGCTGATAATGGAATGGAGTGTGGTTTTTTTGCATTATTGCGCTGAACAATGTCACTGATATCTTATTTATTACAGTGTTTTTGTGTTAATGATTAAGTAAGCAGTCAGTGAAGTTATTCTTGTTGACATTTAGATGTCAATATGTTGTTCTGTTTATGGAGTTATAAACGTAAAAAAACCGATAAACATGCTTTACATTTATGACTCCATAAACACACACAAGATGTTGAAGTCATTTTTCTCCTAAACTCTGCATGACACCTACTCAGTATGTCACTGTGACAACAAACAATGTTTATCTCCACTCACTCATGCACTACCAGACTGTATGTCCTATGTTTATTCAAGAAACTGAAACAATAGCATGTGTTCATTGTTATAGAATACCCTCTGTCCTGTGATGGTTATGTACTTGTTTCTAGCATACATCCGCTGTTGAATGTGTCCTGTATATATGGATGTAAATAGCCACTTTAATATGACGTTTACCATTTGTCTTGCTACACAGAGGTACTGTATTCAACACTGGCAGCTTGATGAAATGCATTTCAACGTAAATCTTAGCCTGACAGTTGGATGTTGACCATCTGTCAGTTACTCACCTGTCAAGAAGTCAGCTGATTGCTTCACACCTGTTTTTGTTATCATTGTCACATGCTTAAGAAACAAGATTGCCATAAGACCTCGTTTAGGTGACTTATTTTTCTTATCGTTTGCAAATATTTGCTAACCAATTAGCCTGGGTCAGCTGAAAAACATATTTTCATGAATTGACTTCAGTATATTTTCCACTTGTTTCAAGTGTAAAGCTGGTGTGTTCACTGTGTATATATGCTTACTGGATTTAGGCGTGTGCACACCAGTTGTTATGTTATAACGCCATAAACACAAAAACATTTTGAATCAATTCTTATCAATAAATGTGTCAACAATAACAACTTCTCAGATTGCTTTTTCAATGATTGCCACACAACTAACTGTAGATGAATATCCGAAAACTATCCAAATAGTGACATCATTCAGCGCAATTCAACAGAAGCCCCACCCATTCTATTATCAGCCAATCAGAAAACAGTACTTTGTTAGTGGGCAAGGCCTTTTTTGTTTGTTTATGAAGATCTAAAAAGACAAGAATTTGCTTGGTGAGCCAATCAAATGCCACAGAATCACTTGCAATGTATCCATAATTGTGTGCCTCAAGAATTTCTTTGTTCTATGTGACACACATTAAGTTGTTTGGGCTGTTCGGCTAACTTGGATTAAATAAATGCTGATATGGCTTATTGTAGATTATGTTTAGTAGCTTTACAGTAACACATATCGCAGTAAAGGCATTTACTTCTGAGAAGGCTGTGCTCTCTTTATAAGATGTTTGCAGTAGCCATGGACTACATACAATCCATTTGATAAATTATGATTCAAACATCCATAGTACATTAGTTAGTGAGTGAGGTTCTACGCCGCTTTTAGCAATATTCCAGCAATATCAAGGCGGGGGACACCGGAAATGGGCTTCACACATTGTACCCATGTCGGGAATCGAACCCGGATTTTCGGTGTGACAAGCGAACGCGTTAACCACTAGGCTACCCAACCGCCCCCTATTTTACATTAAGTTTGTATTATTTCTGTAGCATATATTATATTATTCGCCACACATAGGAACGCAGTCTGTCCATCTGGTTGTACTTCTGCTTCTCAGAAACAATTTAAGTTGGAGAAATTATATTTTACGCTCTGTAACTGGCCACTGAAACTACTGAAGTTACATAAATGAAAGTTAGCATGCTTTTCTAAGAGATACTTATCAAGACTGAGTTCGAAAACTGGTGTCGTAATTATGTTCATCCAGAATTACATCTCTTGCTGCATGTTTTTAGATTTTTTGCATGCACAGTTATGGCCCTTGATCCATGGTATTTTTTATATATATACTGCATGGTGTCTGCAATCGGGAAAGTTTCTCAGAAACTACTGAAGTTTCTTAAGTGAAACTTTGCAAGCTTATTTAAGAGACTTATCAAGACTGAGTTTGAAAATAAGATTTTCTCATGACAAAAAGCCACCCCAGTGTTTATCTCTTACTAAGGATATATAGGACTCACTTTTTTGTAGTCAACATTAACGTCCATGTTATTCACTTCTGTATGAACAAACCATATTCTAATGTGCCCCATGGCAGTGGTAGTGATAAAGCTATGTGTCTTGTGTGTTGCTGTACACCAATGGATCCTTCCTCACAATATCAAGCACTGGATCAGACGTGATTATTTGCATGTCATAACCTTATACATTATATAGCTGGAATATTGCTGAGTGTGGTGTTAAAAAAACCCCAGGCAGACGGACAGCATGATTTTCCTTGTCAGTAGATGTAATAAACAGTGTTTATGTTCTCTTCAATTTGCTCATAATCTGAAGATCCAGGTGAGAATCGTTCTTCAGCCACCCTTGTTTGTTGCTAAAGGCGACTGCTTGTTGTAAGAAGAGACTCACAGGATCGGGTGGTGAGACTCGCTGACTTGGTTGATGCATGTCATCGTATCCCAATTATGTGGATTGATGCTCATGAATCTGTCCTTGGATTGTCTGGTCCAGTGAGTGAGTTTGGTTTTACGCCACTTTTAGCAATATTTCAGCAATATCACAGCAGGGGACACCAGAAATGGGCTTCACACACTGTACCCATGTCAGGGGAACCCGGGTCCCCGGGGTGACAAGCTACCGCTTTAACCACTAGGCTACCCGACCGCCCCTTGTCTGGTCCAGACTTCATCATGTACAGACCACCATCATACAGCTGGAATGTAGCTGTGTGTTATGTTCATCAAGAAACAAAACAAAACATCTTGCTCATATTCAGTCGCTGTATGTTATATATGATTTCTGTGATGTTCCAGGTACAAGATTAATTTATGATCGGTCTTTCTTACTGGAATGTCGGAATTCCCCATTAACAAAAAGCCCTCCAATCATGGCTAAGATTCCTGGAATCACTGCACCAGGGGAGATAGAAGTGGCAAAAGAAAATGGTCGTAAAATACCCGAGGAAAAAGAAAAATCTGGTAGGTTTGACCTTCTAGTGTAGAGAGTGTAGATGTTTCGACGTGTTAGATCACGTGGTGCATTGAAGATGCCAAAGTTTGTATATTGATGCTGTGGCTGGTTTACCCTTGTAATTTATCTTCTATTGTTTTTTTGCAAAGAACAACAATGTTTTCTTTCGTGTTATCACACTTTGATATCAAATACCAGTGTTGGTGCAGCCCAGCACCTGTTCCATAACGAACCTGTTCCATAACGAACCTGATGATCATGAGTGTTGGTCAAATGTATGATAAACTCAACTGGTTGACAAGGACAGTTTGTAGGTGATCTGATGATCAGATATGCCAGTTTAATAAGACTAGGATAATAATAATAGGCTTTGTACTTGAATCAGCAACATGTTACTTGGATCAAGGTTTACATTTATCATGTGTATCAGCCATAGCTGGGACCCGTGAAGATCAACAGTAGAATAGCTCTTCAGCAACCCATGCTTGCCGTAAGAGGCGACTAACGGGATCGGGTGGTCAGACTTGCTGACTTGGTTGATGCATGTCATCGTATCCCAAATGCGTGGATCGATGCTCATGATGTCAATCACTGAATTGTCTGGTCCAGACTCGATATTTACAGACCACCGCCATGTAGCTGGAATATCGCTGAGTGTGGCGTTAAAAAACAAACAAACAAACAAATTCTATGATAGTTTTATTTTGTTTTTCAGACCACCCTGAAGAACAGCCTCAGTTTGAGATGGATATCTAGAATTACCCACAATGCCTTTCATTTCATTTCCCCAACAACTGCCTGCCAGTATTGACTGGTGGACCTTGGCAGTCCCGATGGACAGGATTGAAACACCAACGAGTTTCAATAACTTTCTCCAAGTACTTTTATAAAATCACACAGCTGAAAAGGAAAGTGAAGGTCCAGATATTTTCAGCCAGTGAAATATCTGTTGCTGCGGTTACCCAGGAGAGAATGAATGTGACATTTTGACAGATATTAATTATCTTAACATTTATATGTTTTTAACATTTTCCAGTGCTAACATACATATAGTATGTATGACAGCGGCATTACTCTGGTTTCTTTTGATGCCATGGTTACTGTGTGAACCTTGTATCAAAGATGCAACTTGTGTTACTTGTTTATCTTTTAGTTATTTACCTGTTTTCAGTTTTATCTCCATCTCAAAGTGCTCAATGCCTAACTATGGGACACTCTAGTTACCTAACTGTGGATTACTCTTGTTTCTTATGCCTAACTATCTAAGGGTTCGTTTATTAAGCATTACTATGGGACCTCTTGTTTCTCAATCTAACTATGAGGCAGATTTGTTCATTGAAACTATTGCCTTTATCAGTGAAGCATTTCTTTCTGGAAGTGATAGAATTGCATTTCTTCAGCAATAATAAAACTGGTGAATTATTGACAATGAATGTGGCCAAAATCTAAACTAGATTTGTCTTTATCAGTAACCAATGCAATAAGAACTTTAGTTAACATTTCAGCGACATGAATATGATAAAAATATGTCCGTTCTCATCAAAACAGTGTTCAGAGGGGCACAGGCAAGTCATATATTCTACTCAAAACATTTGGAAGGCTGTGTGTTGAAATGACCACTATTCATGACAGATTCACTATAGTGGAAGGGGAATATGTTTTATAACTTCTGTTGAGTAGTATATCTATTTTGTAACAAAAGGGGATGACCTAACATGTTTTCAATGATATAGATACGGTCAATATCAACATTAGGCTATGTGTCATTTACAGGTTCATATCCCTTATTAAGGACAAGTCATTTATTTTAGGTGGGGATAGGAGCTTTGGTCACTGTGATAACATGATTCCCCAATTTGGTCAAATTTGGGGTGATGCAGATTATTGTTCTTTTCTTTCTTGCCCTTTTCTTTCTTGCCCTTCACCATGGCGACTCCCCTTATAATAAATGGCTGGTTCCTCATGACGAACATTGGTAATGAGACCCAACCATCACACGATGGCTCATTGTCATAATACTCTGTTTATTACGTACTACTGTCTCGGGTAAGTCTCATGGCTGTGCTTTCCAAATCTTAAGCAAGTATTACTTTGTTCTGAACTCTACTGTGTTCTGTGTGATGTCTGTGTTGTTGCCTCCCTTTAAATGTTACGATTTGATACCGGTATACATTCATGACAGTGAATATGCAACTAGAGGAACTAGACGCTCTCTTCTCCAGTGCTGGAGGTAATGGGGCTGAGCCTCGATCCCCCTGTGCACCACAATGCTTACATCATGAAACATGTGCTGCTATGCACTGAACTCATGACCATGTACTGGCACATCGAAGATGACAGCATAAAAAAAAGGAACATTTAGAGGCTCAAAATATTTGATAGAAGAATAGTGAAAGTATACTTGGAACCTCAATATGCATAGATTTTTGTTGTTGCATATATTTAAGGCTTGTTTGTTTTTTGGAGGGGCTGAATAAGAAAAAACTGTTCGGATAATACTATTCTGCATTTTTAGTTACTTGATGTATGGATTGTGGCACAATGTATTAGGATACTCCAGTGAATCATTACGTCACTTGTTTTTCGAGAAACTGCCGCAGTTTGTGCTACACCTGTAGGGTTTGTACTCTGTACTGTTTGTGTGTGTTGATATGGTAAACGTCGATGAATCCTACAGGAAAAAATTGCAATGTTTTCGTGATATATGCAGTTGAGTTTGCACCTATGAAACTCTTCTCAAATCAAAATGTCATTTCAGTTACTTAATTTGTTTATCACAGTGGAATCATATGCTATGAACATTGAAAAATTATTTTTTTAAGAATAGTAGTTGTGGTTTCAGTTACAAAGCTTTATCACAGTATTGGCATTAATGATTGTCTTCGCCATTGGTCATGTTATGGTCACTTTACTGAAATTGCATTCCAAATGTTCAAAACTGTATTCTAACCATTCAGTATATTTGACAGGTTTTGAAAGATTTAAAACGGGTAATTGCCAGAACAGTAATTTGAAACCACACCGATTATTTTTATAAAAGCAGAAAATCGTGAGAACATCTTTTTCTGCTCAGTTGGTCATTCCTCACAATATGTCTTCGGGCTATTTCAACTCTCTAGTCGTGTTGATAGGGTTACTCTCTTATTAATTATTAATGTGACAGCTTGTGTGTGTATATATGTGTAATGTTTTTATTTGTTGCTGTTTCAATGTGATATAAATTGGAATTTTGTTGGTGTAAAAAAGTCTAAGTTCTTCAACATAAAACTTCCAAAAAACGTGTTTTATATGTTCAGCATTTGTATCTTTGAGAGTAGAAATCTTTTTTGATAAATCTGCATGTAAAGATAACATGGCTGAAATATTGTATTTCATAATGTTGGTATTCATTTTTTAAACAGAGATACGTGTATATTTCACAACTCAACATGTCTTTTACAAAAATATGACAAATGTTTATGTTTAAGGGGAAGTAACTCTGTCATGTTAAGGTGTCTACTGCTTAGTCCCACTAGGAGAAAGAAGAAAAACATGAAAACTACCAAATGCTGTCTGCACAATAGTGCTGTTTAAACACCTGTTGGGCAGATGTTTATGTAGGCTGCTGTTAAATCCGAAATATTATTATTTACAAAAATTGAAATAAAAAAAAAGAAAATATGTAAGTTTGTTGTTTGTGTTCAGTTATGAAAGTGAATATACATGTATCCTTGTGGAGTAGGAGAGATCTGTACTGGATGTTTCATCAACGTTGTTGCCGTCTTTGACCTTCAACATTTTGGGATTTCCTCCTACATCTAAGGCACCACAGACCAATGAAGATCCCGGTTAGAATTGCTCTTCAGCAACAGGGCCCACTTGCACAAAGCGATCTTAGCGCTAAGACTATTGTAAGCCTATGTTAAAGTATGGGAGTTACGATCATCTTAGCGCTAAGATCGCTTGTGCAAGTGGGCCCTGGTCTAGTGGTAGAGCATCTGCCCGGGGAGCGGAAGGTCCGGGTTCGATACTTGGCTGTGTCATACCAAAAGACGTTAAAAGATGGTACTTGTTGTTACCCTGTCTGGCACTTGGAATTAAGGGGCTAAAACAAAGAGTGGTCAGTATACTGTGTCTGAATGGGGTATTCATGTTAGACTGTGGCATGGTATCTCAATGGACTAGCACTATAAATCGGCATCATTCTGGGGCGTGAGAGAGACAGAAAAAAAGAGACACCTACATATACATGGCTATGTCAATGCCAAAATCTAGGATGCCACGATAGACCCCGTTTCACCTTACCTTTTCAGCAACCCATGCTTGTAATATAAAGCGACTAAGAGGGTCAGGGGGTCAGGAGGTCCCAAGTACATAGATCAATGCTCATGATGTCAATCACTGGATTGTCTGGTCCAGACTCGATTATTTACAGACTGCTGTTATATAACTGGAATGCTGCCGAGTGCAGCCTTAAACAACAAACAAATAAGGCACCAGAAATCGTTGTGCAAAGTTTCATCCCTTGGCCATGCCAGAAATCTCTGCTCAGATTTCATAGTGGGAATAAAACAAGACTGGTGGTGGTGTCTGAGTGGGGTATTCATGTTAAACTGCTTCATGATATCTCTGTGACTTTTACGGTCAGTTAACACGCTTGCCTCGGGAAAATGTTTAAAACAGGAATGTGTCCGGACTTGTACAATCATCCACACAGACGCAGACTAGCCACGAACGCACGCCGCTATATATGTGTAATAATCTTTCACCCCCATTTCACCAACCTTGGCAGAATCTGGTTAGAGGACTTAGGGCACTTTCAGCAATATCCTAGCAACATCTCCACCGTCTGTATGTACAATCATGGCAGGGACAGCATGTCAACCAGGGCACACATTCTTACAACCCAATCCACATTTCATTCGGGGGCACGGGTGGCCCAGTCGTCTAAGGCGCCGCGATTCACTGTGCAGAGTTGCGTCCCTTGGGCACGCCAGAAACCTATGATTGTGGGTTCGAATCCCGGTTCGCCCCGATAATGTTTCTAGGTTTGTCAGCACCATACCCGTGCTCGTGGGTTTTTTCCCGAAGTGGTAAACGTCCGAGACCTGCATCACTTCGGGCTTTCCTCCAACATTAAGCTGACACACCGCGATATAACTGGAATACTGTTAAAAACGGCGTTAAACCCAACTCACTCACTCACTCACTCACATTTCATTCAGCTCAAAGAGGAGTAGTGCACAGGATCTATACTGCCCTGGAATTGTCAAGGTAAGAGTGTATTGGGCAGGAGCACCAAACAACATGGTGGGTTGTGTTGTGTTAACTGCTTAGATCTCCAAACACCCAATAATTTATATATTATGCTCATTTGTTTTTTTGTTGTTCTCTGGACTGGCGGGAATAGCGATAACATTTATTTCTCGTAAGTTGCAAAAGAAAGCATTAAAACATGATAATATTCGGATACTCGCCGAAGCATTGGGGATCATATTTCAACAGCACTGGCTGATTGTAAGATATCCGAGGATGAGTCTCGTTTAGTGCTGTCAGAACTCACCAAATACAACGCAATGAAGCAGGAGATTCGATCCAATTCTCGTAAGACCAGTGGTATTAGCGAAGACGAGAAAAAAAGTTCACAGAACAGGGGAGGCAACAAGCGCGTCAATTATTCCGTGCCAAAACCAAAGAACTGGTTTGAGATTAAAAATAGATTGCATGATCACGTTGGATCACACTACAATAATTTAGACGAATGCTTACATAAGTATATAATAATGTCAACAACATTTATGCTCCAGGACAAAATTATCAAATGGCGATAATTACCACAGGGTATATATTATATCAGTGATGTCAAACCACCTAAATACGGTCATCAATTGTTTCTTTCCAATTTCGAAAATGAGTATATAGTCTGGTCTCCTAGTAAAATGAAGGAAGAACTTAGTAAAAATGTTGAATATTACTTTGTTCAAAATAATGGTATGCGTATGAGTAAAAATAATAGAGAATATTTTCCTTACAATTTAGTTCAATCTCATGACTATCGTTGAATCGCATCATCATATTTGCCAAAAAAATCCCTCTGTAGTAGCAGTATAGGTATATAAATCTGGCTCCAGTTGGGTTGCGGCAGAATCACCATTACCTATACTACTCCTTAGATCTCCAAACAGCCAATAATTTATATATTATGCTCATTGGTTTTTTGTTTTGTTGTTGTTTAACACCGCAATTGGTAACATTCGAGAAATATGATGTCGGCCTGTAAATATCTAAGTCTGGATCAGACAATCACGTCCTTGATAAAATGAACCTGACCATCCTATCCACAGTCACATCTTACGACCACTGGGTGATGACTGGGGACTTGGCAAACCTGGTAGATTGTAGGGAAAGTGGGCCTTGAGCAAGTGTAGACCCCTCTCTTCATTCTTACAGTACTTGATATGGCTGCAATGAACAGGGCGAACATGTGTGCCTGGATTACTGATGCGTGTTCAGCTGTGGGTTCCCTAGTTTAGTGATGCACCCTTGGCTCCCGAGGCCCCTTACTGCTGGTATCAGCGTCTGTGTTACGATGAGGTGGACACACCATCTTCAATACCATGAAGTACAAATGTATCTTTTGATCAATAAGAGCGTAAAAATGTCACTAAACCAGACACGCCAGTTCTGTGCGTTGACCTGTTTTAGTCAGATTCGGAAGATATGTGGTGGTGTGTGGGATATTTTACGTGAGCTTCGTTTAGTGCAACCATGATGATAAGTATCGCTTACAGATTTGTAGGGTAAGGCATGTGTACGGAAGCCTTTTAGTGCCAAACACAATATGACCCTAAAAGGCTTCTGGGATGTGGCTGCACGGATGTTATCTCGTGAGCTGGATTTGACACTGCTTTGCACAGTTTAAATAAGTTCTACCAGGGCGTGTCAATCTCTGGGGAAGAAAATCCGAAGTCATGCAGGTCTTAGACGTGTACCACTTAGTAGTGAGTGATGGTTTAACTATGTGCTGGACAATATAGTGTTTTTGCCATGTTTCCACAGATACAGTTTGAACCAGGTGAGTTACATAGTGCTTGGCCCTGTTTAGGTGTTATTGTCAATAAATATTCCCAGGTCTATGTCTGTCAAGTTTCAAACGTCTGCATCCCTTCTCTATTTCAGGTCGAATGTCATCATGTACGTTCACGTCAGTTGTTTCAATTACAGACGCATGTGGGACGGTGGAGAGCCTAGTGGTTAAAGCGTTCGCATGTGACGCCGAAGACCCGGGTTCGATTCCCGACATGAGTACAATGTGTGAAGCCCATTTCCGGTGTCCCCGGCCGTGATATTGCTGAAATATTGCTTAAAGCGACGTAAAACCATACCCACTCACTCACTCACTACAAATGCATGATGTACAGCCGAGTGGACGAAGCGTTCGATCGTCTCGCAGAAGAGACAGGTTTGATTCTTTATTTATAGCTATATTTTTAAAGCCCCGGGGCGTACCTTGAGATTACATGTTTTAGAGGGGAGGTAGAGAATATTCGGACACCACTAGAGATCTCACAGGTCAGGGAGACCTGGCACAGCTGCAGCCTACACTGAGAAAAGGGTCTTGTGAATTCTACTAAGTTAGTTAGTCACGGCGGCCAGAAAGTTACTAAACAACGAATGTACTACCCTACCTGGTAGACTGCACGAAGATAAATCATTTATTAATTTAGCTTAATTC